GTAAGTTTATTTTATTTACTTGATGATATGTATTCTGAATCTGGTTTACTTTCGTGGTATTTATAAACTTCTAATGAAACTACTTTTTAATCACTATCAGTAGATCTGAAACATAGGTCTAAGTTCTAAAATTCATCTTATGCCTTTAATTCAATCTTTCCTTCATTTATATTTTTTTATAAATCTATCTCTTTCTTTGTTGTAGACTCAATCACCTAAACATATTTTTAATAATAGGTAGGTAACATTAAAGTTTGATTGATTTTATGAAACAAAATGCTATTACATAAATTTCGAAGTTATTTTCATTTTTTCCAGAAACTTAGTAAGTAATTTTCGAGGCTTCTCTAATTTCTAACTTAACTTAATAGCAAACGTACTTTGAACCTACTTTAAGGTAAATGCATTAAACATTTACTATAAATAATAAGGCTAAAACAAATCCTAAATATTTCATTTCTGTCAATTTTAAATATCCTTTTTTAATATCAAAAATCTTTTGTTCCCAAAATCTTTGAAATAAAGAAACTAATAAAAAATAAATTAAAATTGATTTTTAAGATATACTTTAAAATGAAAACATCTGGATTCATATCAAAACAGTATTTTTCCTATCTTTATATTAATTATTATTTGATACAAAAGTATTTTTAATTAAATTGATTTTAATTAAAAAAAATTAATAAACTGAAATTTTTATTAAATCCAAATAAAATATTTATTTTTTTTCAATTTAAAAAATAAAATTATTGTAAATTTAAAATTAATAAATAAAATGGTGAATTTATAATGAAATATAATTCAATAGCGTTTAAAATACATATAAAATAGTTAATTTGACATTTAATAGATTTACTTAGAAAACTAAAAAAATTTTTATTTTTGCGCAATTTTCAAAAAGAAAATGCATACTTGAAAGATTAATGGAGAACTGGATGATTTTAATTTTTTCTTGTTTTTTGTCAGTTTGCTTTCTTTTAGATTGAAAAAATTTCTAAGTTTTTAGTGTTTAAACAATTTAACCAAATATTCGTTGAAATGATGAATCAATTTTTAGACAAGGATTAAAAGGCATATAAAATATCAGAAAATCAACCGATTTAATAAATAATTGAATTCCAGCATATTTGAAAAAATAAAAAAATAATTATAAACTAAATAACGAAAAAAAAAAAACACTAAAATTTAAAGAAAAAAAGTAAACTCGCTCAAATTGTTATAAAATGGCCTTCGTCATTGATAAGGATTCAAAAAATTTCCACATAGAAGCAGCATAGCCAGAATTAGAAAGGTATTAAAGAACAGAAAAAATAGGTGAAGGTACTTATGGTATCGTATATAAAGCAATCGATATGCAAACAAATGACATTATTGCATTAAAGAAAATTCGTTTAGAACATGAAGATGAAGGTGTTCCTTCAACAGCTATTAGAGAGATTTCCCTTCTCAAAGAAATCGATCACCCTAATGTTATTAAATTAAGAGATCTTGTTTATGGTGAAAATAAGCTTTATTTAATATTTGACTACCTCGATCACGATCTTAAGAAGTATTTAGAATTGAATGGAGGTCCTTTACCTCCTGCTGTAGTTAAGGACTATCTTTTCTAATTAATACTAGGTATCGATTTAATAAATTAGCAACAAATACTTAATTAATTCTTTTATTTTTGATAGCAATTTGATTCATTTAGCCTTCAAAAAAAATAAAATTAACACAGTTAACTTTTTAAAAATGTAGGTATAGCTGTTTGCCATGCTAACAGAATCGTTCATAGAGATTTAAAACCTCAAAATATCCTTATTAACAAGAAAGGTAGCGTTTAATTGGCTGACTTTGGTTTAGCTAGAGCTTTTGGTCTTCCTTTGAAGACATACACTCACGAAGTTGTTACACTTTGGTACAGACCTCCTGAAATTCTGCTCGGATAAAAGTAATATTCAACTCCTGTTGATATTTGGTCAATAGGATGTATCTTCTCTGAGATGGCTTAGAAGATTCCTCTGTTCATTGGTGACTCTGAAATCGATTAAATATTTAAGATATTTAGAATTATGGGTACACCTTCTGAAAGCACATGGCCAGGTGTTACTTAACTTCCAGACTTTAAAAATACTTTCCCTAGATGGAACCCAATACCTCTTTAAAAGCAATGTCCTAATATCTGCCCAAAGGGCATTGATTTGCTGACCAAAATGCTTCAATTAGATCCCACTAAAAGAATCACTGCTGAAGAAGCTTTAGACCACGTAAAATATCATCCATATTTTTATTTTAATAAATTCGTATATTTTACTGATAAACATTTTTTAATAATGTAAAGCCCTACTTCGATGATTTAGATAAATCAAACTACAAGTTGCTAGATTGAAAAACAAAAAATAAAATAAATAAATAATAAATATTTACAAAAGAAAGCAAATAAAAATACTTATAAAATCTTATTACACAATTAATAATTTAATTAATAGAAAATATCTAATATAACATATAATTAACTATCTGAGTACATCATTTATATTAAAATATAATTGTCCATATACTCTTTATATATTTATCATTAAAAATTATTTCCTTAGGCTGTAAAAAACAAACAAACATTAATTACATAAAAACTAAAAAAACAAAATTTGTAAAGTAAATTTTTAATTGAAATAAACAAATGCAAATAAATAAATAAGGGAAGATAATTTTTTTAACTTACTTGCTACTTAGCTAGCAAGCAGATAATTAATTAATTAATTAATAAATAAATACTGTGAAGTAATATGGAGAAATGGGTATGATATAAATAATAAATAGAATAATTAAGTAGATAAGTAAGTGTTATTTTATAGTAGTAGTTGATTAGTTAATTGGAAAGCATTTAAGAATAAGAATTGTATAAATTAATTAGTTAATTATGGCTTAATATTTCATATGGAATTTTTAATTTATTAGAAGAATGGATAGTTGAAATTTATTTCTTTATTTATTTATTTATTTTTGTGTGTTTTTAAGTGTTTTTGCTTGGATGAATTGCTCAGAAGAGAGCTAAGATTTATTCCTTATACTTTTTATCAAGCTCTAAATTTTGGCTGAGGGTAATTAGTTATTCTTTAACATCGCTCATGTTTTCCTATTTTCCATATAAATTAAAGTAAATAAATGAGTCAAAAAAAAAGGAAATTAAATTCTCTTTATCAGAGAGAGTATGAAGCTATTATCTTTTGTCAGTCCCGAAAGATGGTATTTATGAACAATTTAATCAGAAATCATATTCATAGTTATGCATCAGTTGAGATAATAGCTTCACAAGATGTTTAACATAAATTTTATATAATTTTTTATTATTTAAATGTTTACCTATTTTAATAAATCATCAAGTCTTTGTTTCTTGTCATCGTATATTTCAATTGTTTTTTTAACATCCTTAATAATTTAGTCTCTTTTTTAAATTATATCAGGAGTAAGTTGAGCATTCTTGAAGCTGGATTCTTCTTCTTGTTCGACAGGAGGTTATCCCAAAGCTTCAGTGTTATTGGAAGCAATGTTAGCAATCAACAAGTCAGTTTCTTCTAAAGTATTTTTCAACATTTTTACAGTCTCGTCGAGAGGGGTAAAATCAGGGAGAGGCTTTTCAATGTCTACTTCTTTTAAAAGCTTGGCGATCTCGTTTTCGGATTCATTTTTAGGAGGTTCAGGACCCTTAGAGTTTTTGTTGCCCTTTTTGTTGTTTTATTTGTTTTATTATTCTTGATGATTATTTTCTTGGGCAGAGATATTTGCAGGATGATTTATGTATTATTCTAATCTCTTTTCCTCCTTAGATTTAGTGTTGTTTTTTGGGTTAGTCTTCTTAGGAGCCATTTGTTATTCTTCTCAATAATACTTCTGAGCTTGCAAGAACTGCTCTTTTTTATATCTTTGTTTCCCTTTTTTTATGGGATTTAGATATTTTAATTTTGTTTTGTTTTTTTAAATTAATTCAAATTATTATATTTCCTCTCGGTTTGGTAGTTTATAAAGTTAACTAATAAGAAAAAAAAAAAATATTTAACCTTGAATTTCAATCCCACGATAAGAATCTTTGTTAATTAGCAATAAAAGTTAATAATTGCTTCGTATTGCTTATTTTAAATTTTTAAATATTTCAATTTTATTCATAAAAATATATTTATTTGATTTTATCTAACTAACTAAATAAATAAATATTTAATTTAATCGAATATTCTTTTTAATCACAAGATATTTTTTTGAAAAAACAAACAAACAAACGATTTTTGTTAGTTTCTTTTTGTAAAAAGTATTTAAAGTTTATTTTTACTTTTTAAAATATATATATAAATTATAAATTTTATCTTTTATTTAAAAGTAAAAATAAACCAATATATTAATTTTTATTTAAGAGGTTTTTTTCAATATAAAATTATTGTGTCTATTTTTTATTAATTAAGTTAAGAAATAAAAACAAATATTTTTTCGTAATATTCTTTTCTTTTCAAAAATAATAATTAAAGTTTATTTATTTTATAAGAAATAATATTAATTTATTCATCTATTATTGTCTAATTCATATTAATTACTTAGATTAAATCCATCAATATTTCTTTGATTAGTAGTTTGCTGTGGTTGTTTCTAGTTTTCAAATTTAAAAGTATTTCTTTTATAAAAATAGAATTAATTTATTTTTACTATTATATATTTGTTTGAAATTACCTCTTAATTGCTTTGATTAAATTTATTAGTATATATTTGCTAATTACTTAAAATAAACTAATATATTATATAAAATATAATTATTATATGTTTTATTTTTATTCTTACATTTTTTAGAAATTATCTTTTTAAATTGCTTTTTGTTAAATTTATGAGAATTTATTGGCAAATTATTTAATTTCTTTTAATTAAAATAAATTTGTTTATTTAATAATAATAGAATTATGGTACATTTTCTTTTTATTTTCATCTATTTTTTTAGTTTCTTTATATTAATTAGATAGGTCTGTCAAATTTTTGGAAACATTAATTTATTTTAAAAATTAACTATTTGATAATAATTTTAGTTCACAAACTAATTTTATTTTTAGCAATTAAACTACCTATAAGTTTGTTAAAAATTTTCACTTTTTTTTGTATTGGATTTTTATAATTTTATTTTTTTAAATTATATTTTTTCAAATTTAAAAGTATTTTATATATTAATTTTTTTTATTTAATTAGAAGTTTTTATTAAAATTTATTTATATTAAATTTAACTATTAGATACTATGTTTTGAATTAAAAAATTATCTTTAAACATATATTGACAAAAAAATATCTACATTTTTCTTTAAAAATTAGAAATATAAATATTTATTTAATAAATAGTTTTTTATTTTTTATGTTTAATTTAACTAGATATTTATTTAAACAAAATTTTTTATGAATAGATCCTTTTTAAAATTATTTTTATTAGGGTATTTGCATATGTTAAAGTCACTCTTATAATCTTAGTATTATATTATCCCTGCAAAAGGGGCACTTTGAATTAGATTAGAACCATAGCTTAATACAATCATAATGGAAATAATGCTTACATTTAGGAAGAACAATTACTATTTCATCTATTTCATATTCAATCAAGCATATTGAGCATTTATCTTTGTCCCCTAAGCTCACACTTAAAGAATTCATAAACACATTTACAGATTTTATAGAGTGCTAAGATTTATTTACTGGACTTACTGATGTAAATTTATTTGCTTAGATAAGGGAATTATTTTTAATCTAAAAGCTATTATTATTATTATTATTATTATTTATATTAATGTTATTGTTATCTATATTATTGAAATCATTTTATTAGTTTTTAATTGTCTTTTCTTTTAAATTGCTTTATTAATTTTGGTTCTGAGCTTAATATTGCTTTTAAAAATTTTCATAAGTAATAGATTCAAGTTTTTCTAATTCATGATCGCTTAAACCTCTATTAATGTTTAAATTTTGATCCCCAGATAAATCCACCATTAGTACAAAGCAAACAAATGCAAATAAGATTACTGAAAGTATTAAAATGCATATCATATTGATCCAAAAAACAAAAAAAAATAAATAGTATGATATCGTTTCATAAAAATTCATATATTTTAATGGGTAATTATCACCCTCAAGCATATTTATGAGATAAATCAAACTTTAAAATAAACAAATTTCATATTCATATTAACTAGAGTTACGGGCCATCCGAATAAATATCAGGCAGTTATCTATTCCTAATAAAAGAACAAGCGAATTACAAAACATTAACCTATCTAATTAAATTGCTGACTCTTCCCAGTTAGAATATGCAAATGAAATATAAATCAATGGTACACAAATCCTGCAGATGAAGCTTAATGCCAGCTGCATAATTTCTGAAAAACTTTTCATTCTTTAGTTAGGAGAAAGCTAAAACTCAATCTTCTTTTCCCCCTCTTTTTTTCAAAAATTATCAGCAAATACAACTACTATAATTCGCTCTCTATTTTTTTGGTTAATTTGCTAAATAAAAATTTGTTGTAGTAATATTTGCTCCTACTTGATAAATTTTACATGTAAAACTCTATTAAAAATAATACAATTCCCTTTTATCGTCAAATCCTATTTTGAAATATTAACGAAAGTAAAACAAAAACTCATGATTAAATTAAGATAATTTTCTATCAATAGAAAAAATGTAATTTTGAAGGATTTTTCTGGGCGCTAGGTAAATCTTGTAACTAAGTAAAAATGGCTGCATTTACAAAAATGCATATGTAACAAAAATATTTATGAAAATAACTAATATTTTCATTTCCTCTTTTAAAATTTATGTTTAATACTGTTATTTTTTAATTTTTGTTTTGAGAGATTCTATTTATCAAAATTTAATTATTCCTTTGCTTTTATTCCATATTACATTTTTAACAAATATTTAATTTAATTTTACTGCTGATTTATATCGATATTTTGAATTTAAAGAATCTGATTTTATAAGATAGCCTTAGATGAGATTATTGAATAATCTTTTATAGAAATATTTACTCTTTTTAATCATTGAAACTTACATAAGATTTAAATTTAATTTGAAAAAAAATTTATTAATTTAATATAATAATGTGTGTAAATGATTATCAAAATCTGATAATATGATTAAAAGAGTAAAATAAAGCAAATTAGTAAAATTAAATACTCTATTTAAAGATGGAAAACAATAAATAAAAATTTAATATATAGTTAGAAAAGTATATTTATTAATTTCCTATATATTTTTGGAAAATTATTAATTAATTTAGTATTGGATGCACTTGGTTTATTCTTAATTAAATAAATTTAGTTTTATTAAATCATATGTTTGTTTGTTTCTTTCAGCCATTTTTATAAAATAGTTTTGTTATTTTGATAAGAGCGAATAAAATTTATATAATTTATTTTTTATTCATTCTTATATTTATCACTTTTCTTGTTTTATAATTATTATAAGAATCCTATTCAATTTTTTTAATTGTAAGTTAATATTTCTCAAACAATTTTGAATTCAAATTAAATAGAGTCAAGTTATTTATGATTACCATTATCATTGAATTAAATAATTCTATGACTCTTAGCAAATACGTTTTTAAGGTTAGTTGCAGGGGAAATGAAAGATGAATTCAAAGGTTAATTAGAAGATACAGCAGGTTCAGGATATGATTAAACTAGCTAAACATGGCCTTAATCTCCTCTGGCAAGATGAACATCTTGAGCTATATAGCTGTCATCTATATGATAGAAATGATTTTATCTAATAAGCTCTGACTCTAATTCGCATTTGTTTTAAATCTAATTACTATTCTAATCTATGTATTCTGAATTTATATACTTAAATTAACTGTTATCTTCGTAAATAGATTAGCCTAAAAAGTCATTGCTAAAATAACCTTAATTAAAATAGGATTTTTCCTCATACTGATTATAGTTTTAATTGATCTAATTATCACATTAAGATTAATTATTATTATTTTACTATTTTTATTAATCTTAATTGTATTCTATTTGCATTTGCTAGTGACCTATGAGAATTTACTCATTATCTTTCGTTATTTACTTGCGCTTTTATAAATTTTAGCGGTCTTTCAAATATTTATTTTTACTTTTTTCATAGTATTTTTCCAAAAACTCCTCACTTTGTTTTGTATAATTTAGCTCTTAGACTAAAGATTTTAAGTGAGAGTGATATTTATCTTATTTACGTAACGTTATGATTTGCTATATCATGTTTGGTTCTACATCTATTAAGCCAAACGCCATACAACTTATTTCATTATAATTATCAATTGGTAGTCTTAAATGAGGAGGGTATTCAATACATACTGGTAAAATCTTTAATTTTGAGTAAACACGAATATTATCCAAAGTATAGATTTCAAAATCTGATTGAGCTCCCTTAAACCTACCTTACACAATCGATAGCATGCGAACAAGCATCATTTTAAGACGAGATTCAAAATTGTACAATTCAGGTTTTCCTTGACGAAAAATTATATTAGTGATTGTTTATTCATCTGTGCCTAGAAGCGCTAAAAATTGTCTGCTATAACCAACTTCATAAGCCTCAAACGTAGAAGTAACATAATTAGTTTGAAACTTTTGTACAAAGTACATTTAATGCTCATCAATTTTTTCTAAAAAGAGATTCACTTGTTCATCAAAATATGCCCTACGTTTCGCTATAAGATCCTGAGAAAATCCAGTTAGTGTCCTTGCATTTTTTATTTATAAATGAATGAGTTTTGTGATCTCTTAGTACTTCTCTATTAATTTTCCAACTAAATGGATATTTTGATCAGGATATTCGATAAGAAGCTTTGAAAGAAAGTTAAAGTCAACCAAAAACTCATTGCTTGAAGCTTGGAACATTGACAAGCATCTTGTTTTTTTATTATATACAACTCTTTGAACAGGCTTATATAAATTAATTATACAATCTAAATTATCATTATTGTTAATTGATGAGAAATCCATTTCAATTAAGACATCTCCCATTAAAAAGTAGGACTAAGCACTCTAAGGCATAGTATAAGGAACTTTCAATTTCATACTGCACTTTTAACTTGACTCCCTTTTTCTATAAATATCCACATATGAAACTTTGGTTTATTTTACTCCTGCATCCTTGCTTTTCTTTTATTTAGATATTTTCTTTTTCTTTTTACACTCCAGCTATTTTTCAGATATATTTTAGCTGGAAATATCAGTTTTACGTTACGAATTAATTGATTGTTAGGTAATACTTAATTGGTTAGTACTACTAAGTTAAGTGTTTTTGAATTCATCATTCTGCTCTTCACTTGAACTTTCATAACTTTTCAAAAAATTGCTCTCTTCGCAAGAGTTTTGATTTAGTGTCTATGAGTGAGTGCGAAATTCTTAGTGATTTACTTAACTCTTACTGCTTTCATGCTCATAATTTTGATTATTGCTGTTATCGTTATCTAAATTTTCTTAATTCTATTATTCAATTTCTTCTTCTACTTCTTCATTATTTTATTAATCTTCATTATCTTCACATTCTTCTTCATCATCTTCTTCTTCTCCATCATCATTATCATCAGATAATTCTTCTTCTAATTCTTCGTCATCAATTGGAACGAACTCGTATAATTCATCCTAAATTTCTCTTAATTCTTATTCTGTCAAAGAACATTTGGATTTAATATCTGATTAAAATCCACCTAGAATATTTGAAATTGGAAGATTGAGATTTTCGATGTCAACTCTGTCATCCATTTTTTGAGTGAGAATTTTATTATTATTTTTTTAATTCTTGTTACAAACGAATAATTAAGTTGAAGTTGATATATTTAATTCAATCCAAAATCTCTTTTTATATCTTTAATTATATGTTCTGATTTTTAATTGGGTTTCACTTTTTTTTTAGTTTTTTTTGTTATTGATAAATTTTGTACAAAATCTTTTATTATGTTTTAATCTGCGCTCTAATTATACCCTTCATTTAGAAAGAAGATTTATTTATAATACATCAAATTTATTTTTTTTCGCCATATGTTTGATTATTAGTTTATTTGATAATTGTTAAATTATAGCCATACTTTAATATGTTGGATTTTAATATTACTTCTTTTTACAATCCATTCTATTAATATTATTTCTATCCCAGCAACACCTCTTTAAAAATCCTAGATCAAATATACTTAAAATAAGCTTAAAAAATAGAAAGACAATAAATTAGGTAAGACTAAATCTAAAGATAAATTATCTTATTTATTTCTTTTGTTTTTTGATCCTCAAAAAATAAATAATCATATTTTCCAATTATTTTTCTTTTTTTTCTAAAAGAAATCATTTTTAAAATTATATAAAAATAAAGACTTAAAAAATGTGATAATTTCAATAAGGGAATAATAATCACTTCAAAAAATTTTCTTTATATTAATGTAATATATTTTAAAAGAAAGATACCCTATATCACATAAGTTAAGTATTTAATAGAACAAGTGTAAAGTATAAATTTAGAATTAAGTAACTCTTAATTAATTAATAAAATCTTTCAACCTATTAACATAAATATAATCCAACAAAAGTACTTTTAAGTATTTGTAAGATTTTGTCATAATTATTGTAAAATCTAGTTAGCTATCATTTGCTCTTTATATTTCTTTCAAAACACTTTTATTATAAAAGAAATATTATGAAGAATAATTGATTTGTAATAAAATTTTTTACTACTTTATTGATTTTGATAAATAATTTTCTATTTTTTAAATGCATCTCTTTATCTGGATAATAAAAATGCTATCAAATATTTGCATATTTGATTTCTTTCAATTTTCTTATTTCTCCTTTTAAGTCTAAAAAAAAATAAAAATATTTGATTTACATTTATTAAAAAGTTTTTATTTGATAATTAATAGACCTTTTGATATTTAAGGTAAAACAAATGGGTATTAGTCAAATCTTTTAAAGATTAAAAATATATATATGATTATTATAACAATTAAACCTCATTCAAATTAAAATTATTTAATTTATGGGACAAAGTGAAAAAAAATAAAATAATTTCACTCAATTCATAGCTGGAATTTTAAAATTAAATTGTTTGTAATCTTGATTATAATAAATAAAATTGATAAAACTTAATTAAACTTTTATCTTATGTTTGACTCTTCATTTACACTTATAGAAATCAAATATTGCTTAACATAAAGAACAAATAAAAGAAAGTCAATTTAATTTTTCATAAAATAATAAATATACAGAATAAATTTATGATGAAAAGAGACAAGCTATGCTATCAACTTGAGTGCATGCAATTTTGAACTCTTCTTTAAGAGTCAAGGTAGATCATAGCTTCAGTATATGTTTCTGGGAACACTTTTGTAATTTTAGCATCTTTTTCAGCAACAAATGTTAGATGCAAGTCATTTGTTTTCAATCTTTCTTAACTTTTATTAACTTTGAAGCATTCAACTACTACGTGAATAACATTATCTTCACTAATATATCCGATTTTTGCATGCAATTCCAAAATACTTCCTAAATCTACACCATTTATGAACTAAAAGTCATCTATTGCATATACTTCTATTCTTTATTTATTAGTATGGAGATAACCACACAACCAACCTAATTCATAGGCTTCTCTCATGATATATCCTCCAAAAATATTTCCATGAAGGTTCTAATCCTAATATATCAGTTTTTATTAAATAGTTAATAAATTGTTTGTACAAGTGAAGAGTAAACTAATCTAAATAAAAAATAAATATCATAATTTTTTTCTCAATAATGAACTTATTTGTGGGTTTGATTCAAATAATATCTAAAAACTAATTTGCATAACCTAATAAATTCTTAATACATAAATATCCTCTTTTCATAAAAATAGGGAAAAGACCTTTAAAATTTATATTTTCTTCAAATCAAATCAAAAATATTTAACTATAATAATAATCATTAAATATAATTTAATATCCTATTTCATATTTTTGTGGCATAATTAAATTAAAAGAAAGTTCAGTAATATACCTGCTTATGCATGATTAACTTTTTAGATATATGAGTGAGATTGATTTATTTTTTATCCTTTTTTGATTCTTCTGAAGTAAAGAAATTATGAACAGTAAGACTTTCGTTATATGATGGAGGTTATTTCTTTAGAGAAGTAGCAGCTGCATTCTTTCTTTTTGTCTGATTTTAAATACCAAGCTAATATAGAATGTTACAATTTCTTACACTTTTCTCTCCATCAAATTTGAATACAGGTACTTGATGAGCTGTCTTATTATGACTTTCTTTACTTCTTGCTACTAATAAGAAGTTAGCTTTAGCTGCTAATTCTAATTAGTTACGGCTATTAACTTATAAGAGATCTAGCTATACTTCGATCGAACTTTTACCTGTATGTGTTGGATATCCCCTGACAATAATATCTCTATCATGATGGATTCTTCTATAAAACTGTATATTATCGACACAAGCAGCCATTATTGTTGCTTATTGCATATACACATATTTATAGGCAACTGTTGTTGCTACGTAATCATAAAGTTCTAAAATACGACCAATTCTTATTGATTTTGTGTTCAATAATTCCATAAATCTTCGTATAATTTCATTTGAAGAACAGGGTAGCTTAACTTCGTAATAGCAATTACGAGGATAATTAACTTTTTCATCAGATACTTCTTTATTTATAGCTTCATACACTCCTATTTCATAAAATGCAGATGGGAAATAACTCTATACTACCCTATCTGTCTTTTTCTCTTCCTATGTTAACTCTCTTTTTTCATTATCAAGAAGAGTAAATCTAATTGCATCATGAGAAAGTTGGTTTAATTGGTTTTTTAAATTGATCGCATCGAAAACCTAAGAGTATTAAATTCCATTCAAACCACTTAAGTATCTCTTGCTGTGATACAAAGTAGATTGAATCAACTAAGATTAAAACAATAATTTTTTTATCATATTTTTGTTTATTTTCTTTTGAAAAACAATAATTTTTATCTTCTATTTTTACTATATGAATGGAATAATGTAAATCTTATTTCTGATTAAATCATTTTGATAATTGCAAAATACCTTGTGTTTAATCAAAATAAAAATACAATAATGATGCATTATTTACTGAGAATTCATGATAAAAAATTGTTACTTTTTTAATGTTACTTCAAAAAAGGTTTAATAAAAAACTTTGTTAACTAAATAAGCAAATATAAATATTTCTTAAAAGTTTTAGAAAAATATTTTTAGGACTAGTAAGTAAGAAAATACAATATAAAAAGCAAATTTATTTGACAAACAAAGACTAAAAATATGTTTCTAACTTATTAAAAGTAAAAAAATTGTTGATAATTTTTTACAAACAATTTATTTTTAAAAAATAAAATAAGAAGTAAAAATGTTAATATATTTAATACTCTAAATAATTATAAATTATTTAATTACAAGTTTCATTAATAAAAACATAAATTTTATTTTATTAAATTATTTTAATAATATATTTCATCATATAAATTAGAGAAAATGTAGCTTAGATTTCAAAATAGCAATTTATCCAATCTCCTCTTGCAATCTAGATATATCATTGCTTCTTCATAAGAATAAGGGATAACTTTAGGTAGTTAAACCGTTTTAGGGGCTACTAGGGTTATATGAAGATCATTAGATTTAGTTCTACACTTATTTGTATCTACAATACTGCAGTTTACCACAACTTACATAATATTTTTCACTACATAACCTAATTTTGCCTCAAAATTAATAATTGATCCTACAGCTACGGGTTTTAAAAATTGGAAATCATCTACATGGCAAGTCAAAGGGTAATCTCCTTTTGAATGTATTAAAGCTGCAAGCCATCCCATTTCCATAGCTTCTCTCATCTATATTATAAATGACGTTAGTATTTTTTTTTTATAAAATAAATATAGAAGTAATAATTACCAAGTGTCCACCAAAGATATTTCCATGAATATTTCTATCTTGTTTATGCATCAATAAGTTTTTATCAAAAGTAGTAGCTGAAATTTAGATAGATTGTTGGTCTTTTTGTTCTGCTAAAAACTAGTTTTTATTTGAAAAGAATTGGTGGATCTCAAATATTTCTTGCTAGTTAGGTGGTTTATTTTAAAGGGATTCTAACTTTTCTTTCTTTCTTTTGATTGTATTTTTAACTCCTAAATGTTCTCTTAGTTAACATTTTTGTATATCCTACTCACCTTCGAATTTAAGAACAGGAACTTGGTAGCTTTTTGACCTATCATTAGCATCTCTAGCAACCATTAAAAATAATGCACTTGCTTTCAAGTCTCCTTCTTAAAATAAATCGAGCTAAATTTCCATAGAAGATGTACCAGCATAAGTAATGTATCCTGTTATTAAAAATAAATAAATAAAATTTTATTTCAAATGAATAAAAAGGCTCAATTAAGTGTGTTATTTATTTTTTTTTAACACAGGAGTAAATAATAATAAGAAGTTTATGATATAAATAGGAGATGTTGTATGCTAAATTATTTTACCTTATACTTCTAAATCTTTATCATTTTTCATTTATGAATAGAAATTCATATTATCTACACAAGCGGTGACATTAGTAACATGTCTTTGTCCAATATCTGTATAACAATGTCTATTTTATAAAATTTTATAAATAAAAATCTTTCAGGCATCTAATGAAATTAGAATAGAATATAATAAAGTAGGTAGATATAGATTTTTACCTATATGATATATATGCTGCTATGTAATCAAGAACTTCGAGAATTCTACCATATCTCAACCCATCAGAGAAGTAGTTAGTAAACCTATCTCTAATCATTGTATTTTTTTCTAATGGGAATACTACTTTATAATAAGAGTTTCTAGGATAGCTGACATTCTTATCTTCATGGTTAATATTTTTGTGCTCATAAATCTTTATATTAAAATCTTCATTCATAGTTGTGAAGAAATTTTTAATAATAGGCTGTCTTCTATTTTCTTCTTCATTTAATAATCTTAAGTCCTCGTCCTTAACTCTCATTACTATTTCATTGTGCTAAACTTTGTGCATGTTGCTTTTAAGCTACAAAAACTAAATTTCTTAAGAGTTAAAAAATCTCTTGCTCTAAAACTAGAGGGACTTGAAACTCTAGCTCTATTTGTATAAGAACTAAGTACCTTTAAATAATGCTTTCATATTAATTGAATTTGCAATTATCTTTTAAATTAATTTATTAATTAATTACTTATTTTATATTTATTTGATATCTAAGCATCAAAAATCTAATGTTAAAATATACTTGATTCTCTTCTATACTATTAATAATTGCGATTCTGATGGTAAAAATTTTCATCTTGATCCATATTATTTGGAAAGAATAGGTCATTAACATTCCAGATAATTTCTTTTAATAAATTCAATATAAAAAATAAGATCTATACTATGAATAAGCTCAGTTGTATTTATTAATTTACACTTCTGATTATTCATAATTTACTTTAATACCATATTGTTCTATGCCAATAGTGTAATTAGTAAATAATATGATTGCAATAAATTTACTTTTTGCAAGTGCAGATTTTAAAATGAAATATTTTCATTTTATTTATTTTTTTAAAGATTGGAGTAGATAAAAATTGAAAGAATTTTCAAGAAATTTTAGTATTTTAATTCTAAATTAATTAAAATAGAATATAAATTCTTATCAAATTTAGTAACTTTGTTGATAAAAAAAAAACAATTCAACTTTTATTTTTAAAATATAATTTTTCATTTACTAAAAAGAATTTCAATTTTTCATAATTTATTTTCAAAGAATGAAAGAATATGTTTACAATTTTTGATAAATAGATTTTACAGAATTTTGATAACGTTTTTAAATTAATAAATAAGAAAATTTTATTATATTTTTATTTATAAAGTATTTTGAATTAGTTAATTAATTTATCATAGTTTTTGATTTTAAAGCTCAGGAGATAGTTATGACTATAATTTATTTTTATTAAGAGTTCTTTAATTATTATTATGTTTTTTTATCAATGTATTTTAAGAGTTATCTTTTGAAATTACTTGAAATTGAAGGAACTCACATGTATGCAATTCTTTCAGAATCGTAGCCCATCTTTAAAAGAAGCTAATAAACCTTCTCCTTAAAAGGTCTGGGACCTTATAGCATTATTACATAATTTTCTCTAGGACTGGGTAGTGTTTGGATGATAGATCTTTCGCAAACATCACCATTAAATCCATAGTAATCTGATTTAGCCTTTTTTTAAATGAATTTTGAAGGTTAATAGATAATCTCTACCAGAAATTAAAAATATATTAAATTAATAAAAAATTTACATTTTGTAAAACTGTAGAGTATTTCATGTTGTGAGATAAGAAAAATCTGGTCATTTCGTCTAATAATATTTCATCTTGCTTTAATATGAAGAAATTAAGATTAGAAATATTTTTATTTTTTGATGGATATCAAAATAAGAGTATATATTTAAAGTTGTAATTTACTATTTTGTGATTATGAAATAGAAGATTTATCTGTGTAGGATCACGTGCAGAGATGACGCCTTAGATTAATTAAGAGAACGTAGTTATAGCACTGTTATGAGCAATTATACCAATTTTATCAAATCTCCCAGTTTTGAATTCAGAATTAAAGCTAATAAGAAGAATAAAAATAATATAAGTATTTGATTTTTACCCACTTTAAACTATTTACTTTTTTTTAAATGTGAGGTTTCCTAGGCCATGATATATATATTAAGTGTAGGGATCTTCGATAACTACTTTTGCCCCATCCTAATTTAAAACAATTGTTTTAGATTAAATTACTTTTTTCTTGATAATTTCAAAAATGTGGACAAATTATTAATTGCATTTTATCTGTCTATCAAAATCCACAAATTAAGAGAAAGCAGGGAATGAGTTAACAATTAATTGAATATATTTTGAATGAATTTAAGTTATAGATTACCTTTAATTAAAGTAATTGAGGTACCATTGGATTCGAGTTCTCTGCATAATTTGATTTATCTAAATCTTTGACAATACAATCAAAGTATCCTTTTGAAAAAGGATCACTTACAAGACTGTAATATCTTGAAATTTAGTTTTGTTTTTAAGAATTTAGAGTAAGTTTCACAGCTTGTCCAACTTTTGTTCCTAAGTGCTAATCAGGATTATCCAAAACTGTTTTTAAAAAAATTTCATTTTATAACTCATTCAAATTATTTTAGTAGTATGTGCTTACAGAAACGAAAGTGGTAGTGATCTTCATTTATTTTGAATTTCCCAGCAAATTTAGCATTTACTTTTTAATTTTAATGATTAAGAGCACAATCAAATTAGTTCAAAGTGACTTTTTTTGTTAATATAATAAAAAGATTAAGAGTTTAATTCCAAAAAAGATAAATTTATTTAAAGAATATCTTCAAATAAAAAGTTTTCAATATTTTTGCAATAAAAAATAATTTTATTTTGCTATCTAAAAGATTATGATATCGATATTTCTTATAAATATAGTTTCATTAAATTTCTTGTTATAATACACTTTAAGTATAAGATCCACCAATTTAATATCAATTATTAAAGTTAAGTTGTTTGATTTCCATTTTAAATTAAAGTTTTATCATTAAATTTACATAAATTTCTAATGGTTTAAATAGATCTGGACATTTTTTAGGTTTTTGAAGAACTTATTACTCAATGTTAATTTTACTTTATAAATTTTATTCTATTACTAGCTTTTGGATTTTTTTCCAAATATTTTAACAATTTTTATACATAATTAACAATTATATGGTTATATTTAGTTTGATCTTTAATTTAAAGGCAGTATATTTTATAAAATCAAATCAAAATTATTAGTTTTTATTTGAAGTAATCCTTACTAAAAAAATTCTTTTACATCAAATATCCTATCTTGTTTTCTTATATTATATTCAATTAAAAAGAAATCTATTTTCGACCTGAGAAAAATTGAATAATTAATTAGTTCTATAGATTTATAATGATTGTTGAGATACTTGTTTTATCATCTTATTTTCCATATTAACTATTTCAAATATTGGATATAAATTAAAATAATAATTTACTTTCAAAAGAAATTTTCTTCATTTCACTTTACAGTTAAGAAAAATAAACAAAATTATAAGCTTAAAACCATTATAAATGCTTTTTTGAATTTTAAATTAACCTTCTTAAGTCTTTGGCTAAAGCAATAAACACACAATCTCTCCTCTTTTTAATAATAGAGGAGATTTTATTAAAACAAGTAATAAAAAGAATGCAAATATTTTATATGAATATTTTCTTTAAGTATTCAAGAAAGTGTTTAACCTAATTAAATGGCCTTAAATATTTGAAAAGTATAATTGGAATTATTTTGTAAAGTTTTTAATAAAGATGAATTAACATTTTAAACAAATGTTTCAAATAGTTTTTGACTTACTCAGTCTCAGTAAATAGACAAAATTATTAAAAATTAATGCATCACAATTAATCTAAATATTAACAAGTTAAATAGTAAACAACATTCACTTTGCGTAATATAATTGTATTAATTTAATTCATTAATAAAAGAATAATCTTTACAACTTAGAAAAAGGAAAAGCAAAAATGTAATTAAATGAATAGTAAAAATGATTAAGTTTTTAATGATACTTTTAGCTAAAAACATATAAAAATAATTGTTTACCACAAAATGATTGACTTATTCTTTCCTAATTAATTTAAAAAATTGATAACTTAGATTAATTTATATACTGAAAAAACCTTTTTTTTGTAAAAGGATTAATTTTGTAAGAAAATTAAAATTTGCAAGCCTTTTTTGATTTACATCTTCTTATTCTTTTATATTTCGCAATAATATTTGTGAGAATCAAATAATTTATCTATTTAGATCTGTCTACTTTAAGAGTATTTTACAAATTTAACCTCTAATTTAAATAAAAGTTGGATTTTTAATTTAGTTTATAAAATAATTAAATAAATTTAAAAATAGAAATTTTATTATATTACATTTAATTAAAATAAAAATTTGTAAACATTATTTTTATTTAACATATTCATGTCTCTTTATTTGTTTATTTATTAGTTTAATTACTGTTTAAACTTAATTAACTCTATTCTTTACCATAAATAGTATAGTTTGTATTCTTTTATAACAATAAATTAGTAGAATTTAATTTCGTGACGCTTAGAAAAATAAAGAACGCATAATACATAATTTTTTGAATGGCAAGCCTCATACACTCCCGAAAAAAGATATTATCTAATTTTTAACTTAAAGAATGCCAGACAAAATTCAAAAAACCTGATTCAGATACTATTGTGTCTTTTTTCCCTCTTACTTCTGTATAAATAGATGGTAAAGGGATAATCTCTGATAGAAATGTAAAGTAAAAGGATTTATATGGTAAAAGAGATTTATCTAATGCAAATGAAAAGCAAATTTTTGATAAGAAGAATTCATTTTCTGAAAGAAGAAGTTATTTTGATGAAACAAACTAATCGACTGCTTAACAATCAGATTTAATTCTTAAAAAATCAATTAGCTAATTAAATATAAGTAAAATATAGAGAACTTAAGAAGACAGCTTTTTATCTCCTGCTTAGTTAAATGAGCAATTCAGCTATCCAAGCCCTATTTAAGATGGTAGTAGCAGGAAAAATGTTATGAAAGATAGAGTAATAGAAAGTATTTCTATTGAAGATTAATATGAAGATATCCAAAATTTATCAGCAATTCATTCTCCAATCAAAGAATAAAGTGAGTTGTAAACAAACAAAAAAGTTCTACCTAAAATATTAAACTACTAAGACCTTTTACAACTAAAATAATTTGCAAGAAAAGACAACTCTTCATTTTATGGCTAAGACACACACTAAACAAGTATTAGCAAAATCAGTCAACTTTCTGGTAAAGACTCATTGCCAATCTTAAACAAAAAAATAAACGAAAATTTAAAACAGACATTACCTAAATAAGAGAAATTTTTAATAATTGAAGAATCAACAGATAATTTAGATTAACTAAAAAGTTATATGTTAAAACAATAAGTAAAGAATAATGCTAATATATTACCCCTTATATCTTAAAACTAATATTATACTAATTAAGAGCTAGTATTAATGAAGAATGAAAAAGACCCAAAAAATGAAAATTAAAAAAAAAAGAATAAAAGAGTATAAAAATAAATGAAATAAATAACTAATCCTAATGATTTTCTCATTGATTAGTATTTATTAAAGTTAAACCAACATAATTAATAAAAAGAATAATAATCAAAAGATGTTAACAGTTTTTTTAAAAGTATTGAAAACAATAAAAGAAAAGAGGAGGATGAAAAAGTTAAAAAGTTACTTCTCTCAAAGCCTAAAATTGTTAATCAAATAAGCATCTACTAAACTTATAATGAATGTAATTTATCTATTTTGATTATCAATTTAATAAATTTAATAAATTAAGCAATTAAATTATTTACTTACTATATAATAATTTTAACAAATTCAAATTCCTTAGATTTAAATTTATTTTGTTACTTTTATTAGTGGAAGATGCAGACAAAGAAAAAGTAAAGAAAATGCTTCAAGGAATTTAAGAAATAATAAAATTTATATAGAAGCTTAACAACTCTGGCTAGGATAGAAACTACAATTTAAAAATATTTAAAAAGCTTATCCTTTAAAAAAAGAGCTTGAGTTAAATTTTTTTAAATGAAACAGAAAACGATTTTACTAATCCTTTAAATCTAGAATCAATAGAAAATAAGATAATAGTAAAGGAGTCATAAGTGATGAATAATTAAGTAACAATTGAAAGTAAGTATAATTTAACGTTGCTAAGAGATATTTAAGACCTAATCATGAGATTTTAGTAGTATTTTATGGAGTAAAAAATATTAACTATTGATTTAATTGAAGAAAATATTATAAAAGAACAAAAAATAGTTTTAAATAAAGCATAAAAATTAGAAATGTAAAACAGGTTAGAGCCTAGTTTTTTTGCTTACAATTGTATCAAGTAGCTATCAAGTGAAAGTATTGCTATGCTTTAAAAAAACAATATTACGAATTCTATCTAAGAAGCCATTAAAGGAGATCACTCAATCTCTAAATTATTCAAAGATGAAAATATCCATATGTACAATAATATTTCTAGAAATATTACATAACTTCACAGAAAATTGTTAGAGTCACGCAGAAATATATTTTTCTTTAAATGAAATCTAAATATATTATAATAAATGGCTTAACTAAAATACCAAAATAAAATTTTAGTTATTAAAAATGTATTTTTAACATATTATTTAAAGATAAATAAATTTTTTTATAAGATTTATAAATAAATAAATGAAAATGTTTTAATTATCTATTGCTAATATTTGAATATAAAAAATTTAATTATTAAAATAATTAAATTCATTTTTATGTTTTGTAAATTTGCATTAAAATAAATTCAATAAATTTTATATACATTTAAAACAGTTTTATATTATTTAAAATATAAAAATTTTATTTTAGTTTAAAGGGAGAAGTTTGAAAAGATCGATTATTTAGATAATTTTACTTATCAAAAATATAAGGTCTTTTGAACTTTAACAATATAGTATATAATTGAGTTTTTATTAAGAGAAAAATTTATAATTTAATTTTTTCTTATTTGATTAAATTTGAATTTTTTTAGAGGAAAAAGGCATGAAAAAAATTTTCGCAACTCAAAATAAATTCATAAATAAAAATGAATTTCCAAACAACTCAAATTTTTTAACATTTCAAATCCTGGTTGCGTGAATGCAGATTTAGTTTTTAAATTCAGCAATATCATCCTTAAGCTGATGATCTGCCATGCCTTTTTGCTAAGCTCAAATGTCATCTATTCATTTAAAATATTATGATAGATTGACGACAAGATATATCAAAATCTCCCCTCTTTTATTTAATAATGAAATTTTTCTTATATATTGTTTAACTGATAGCTGATTAGAACCGTATTAAGCTTGTCATTTTATTATCTATTCATATTTAAGCTGTCGAAAGAGATTCATCAAAATTAATCCATTCCTAGGCATAAGTTTTTTAAAGTGAAAAAAAGAAGAAGATATGAATAACAAGCTTAAAATTCTAAATCACTCTCAGAAAACATATATAAATTTCTCTCTTGATATATAAAAATATTTTTTTATTAGGCAATCGAAGAGAAGCAACAAAAGTGACAAGAGAAAAAAGTGGCTATTCAAAGAAAAAAAGAAAAAGATTTAAAAATAAAAATAAAATTAAAAAGCAATAATAATTATTAAATAAATAAATAAACAAAAAACTTAATTAATTAAAATATAATAAAATTAATAAATAAACAAGAAGAAAATTAGTAAAACAAACAAGATAAATTAAAAATCAATAAATATTCAAATAATCAATTTAAATTCACATTATATTCCAATTTCATACCATTTATTATTTTAGCTTTTATTTTATTTTAAATATAAAATTTTTGATTATTTTCATACAAATATTTTAATTTAAAATTTCTAATTTATAAATTTAATTTTTTTGTTTATTTTTTCATTTTGCAATTTATTTATTTTATTTATTAATTTATATAGTACATATATATATTTATAAAATAAATGCTAATTTAGTATTTAGGTAACAAATAATTGTATTCATTAATAATCCTATAACATATTTTTAATTTATTCACTCTCAGCTAGTAAGGCAACTGATAATCTATCTGTTGTTTCTTTAATCTTTAATTTTGAAATAAAAGCATTATATTTATATGTTTATTATCATTATTATTATTATTTAGAAATTTGCAAATTACATTAAACACTGTTTATTCAGATTCTTACAACAACTTCTCGTAATCTTAAAGTCTCTTTTTTAGGTCTTAAACTATTACTTTCTTCTATTTTATAACTGCTTCCTTTTACTGAATTTCTGAATTCTTTTGGTCAAGTAATTTTTTTTCATTATTATACCTTTGAAAAATGTTCTCTCTCTCTGACTTTAGAGTTATAACAGCTTTAAAAAAAGATTTATAATAATTGAACAAATAAATTTAAGCTTTTTTACTTTGCTTTAAATTTGCTAAAGAATCGTAATCCATTTTTTATAAAAATATCTATCAAATCTTCTTATATAATATACAATAATGAGTAAATAATTTAAATAAATATTTCAAAAATTAATTAATTTTCTGTAGATCTTAGTAAATAATTTTTGCCTTTATCTTTTTATAAGTTATAATTTAAAATTCCTTTCAAAACAAATCAAAAATATATTCAATTTTTTTTCTTAAAATATTTTTTTTAAAATTAATAAAATCAATCTTAAAATTGATTTTTCTTAATTAAAATAATCTGTTTTACTTGATTATTTTTACTAATTTACTTTAGTAATAACCTAAAATGATATAAAAAATGAATTATTTAATTTAAATTGTAATTTATTTTTAAAATATAATTCAATATTATGACTTAATTTGAATTATAATTAATTTTTAAAACATAATTTAATATAACTAAAACTTAAAAATTTAAAATGGTAAGTAATACAGTTTTTTAATTTAATCAAATAAATAATAAATATATTATCTATTTTTAATCATTATTTTTTTATTATTGATGATTTTATTCCAAGATAACTTCAAGAAATTTATTTAATTGTTGTTCTGTTTATAATAATTGTTATTAAATATATTTAAGAATAGTTTTCTTTTGGCTTTCTTTAGATTTACTCTTAATTTAAACCCAGTAAGGTAGTTTTTACTAGTGGTAAATAAATGAATATCAAAAGGAGTTAATTTAAATTTGTCAAAAATGAATGCCATTTTATAATATTAGATCAAATCAATTCACGGCATTTACGATTTTAATGTCAGAAATATCCTTTTATTTTTAATTATATTATAGGAATAGAATGCTGCTTTTATCATTTTAGCTTTTAATATTTTGTTGGACTTCCATCATTTATTAAAGCTCATCTTAAAACTTTTACTAATTTACATAATCTAGTGTGTTGCTAAAGCACCTTTTAAGTTTTCTTTAAGATGAAGCTGTTGATGCTGTATTTTTTAATGCATTTATTGCCTTTGCAGGAAATTCATTCATTTCAGGGTGATGATTTTCTGCTAATTTATCAAATTTATTTTTTTCTAATTATTAATACAAGTCTTTAGCCATCGATACCATAAAATCTTTAGCATCTTATTTAGAATATGCTCCATCTATTATTAATTATTATTTTCTTTCGACCTCAAACTTATAATCATCCTAATTAACCTACATAAGCGATTTTTAAATTTGTGATGGCATTCTTTGGATTTGTGAAAGACATATGTTTTGTTGCTAGTTCTTTATCTTCATGATTCTTTCTGCATCATAGCTATTATCATTCTATTTTTATTAAAATATAGTTAGAATCAAAATATAAATTAAATAACCAATTTTATATATTTTATTTTTAAATACTAATTATCTATTAATTACATCTGATTGTAAAATAGAGCGATTTGGGGATTAAGGGCTCTTTCTACTCGAAATCATTTCTACATGTTTTCTATAGTATTCTTTGTAAAATTCAAAAGCATTCACAATTTTTGTCCACTTTTCCTCAAATAGTTGATGAGAATTTATCAGAATTTCATTTGTTGATTCTAGTTCCAATGTTTACCTTTTTAGAGATTCATTTTAGATGGTTAGAGTTTTATTAAGAAGCATTTCTCTACTCAAATTTCTTCTAGCAATATCAATATCTTTTTCTAATCTAATTTATAATTAATAGATTATTATATATTCTTAATCAAAAACCTAATTTACTTTTTTATTTTCTCAATGTATAATTGAATATTTCCTTATTGTGCTTCTTTTAATTGTTGTTATTGAGTAGATTTTTTGGCATTCAATTCCATAATTTATTTAGCTTTAGCTAAGTTCAATATAGGTATTGCCATTTTTGGGGCGTTTACTTTGTTTTCTTCTCCTGTTGCCATAGGTGATTTTTCTTATACTTTTTTTTCACATTTATCTGGAAGCTGGTCAAACGAATAGTCCTCAGCTTCTTCATCACTGTCATCAGGATTCTTAGCCAATTTTTAATGGACTATACATAAAAATTTAAAAATAACAATTTATTTTTTATTATGTAATTAATAGCTACTATTAAAAATATTTAATATATTCCCTAAAATTTGCAGAAAATTAAGTTTGAGTTTAAAAATAAAATATGAATACAATTAATTAGCATTTAGGCATTCGGAGCAGGACCTGAAATAGCATCAAAATTCATTCTTCCGCTTGTGTGGGAAGCTTGTAATGCTGTTTTAAGCTTGACAACCTCTTGGCTAAGAGACTATAGTAAATTAAAATAAAAATTAAAAAACTAATAGTGATATTCAAGTTTTTTAAAAATTAAATGGGAAAAAAACAGTAATTAGTACCATATTTAATCTGAGTAGATCTTATCTATCACTCTTCAATTCATCAATACTTTTTTTTTATTTAGCAATAATTGCATTTAGTTTTTCCATCTCATCATGCATTACTTTTGTTTGCTCATTTACACTAATCACCTTTAAATAAATATTTAAAAATAAGAATCTTTCTATAAATGTAAATTATTTATTGTATGAATATAATAATATTGATTATTCATATAATAGTACTATAATTTAATCCAATTTAGTTCTATTTAAATATATCTATTGACCTATCAATATGTCTATCAACTGAATGATATTTAAATATCACAATAAAATGATTTGCTATTTAATTTATTTTTTTCATTCTTTCTTCTTTAGTTGACCATTTTATTATTTTTTGTTTTCTATTTTATTTTTAATACTTTTTATAAATCTAAACAAAGCTACTCCTTCCTAGCTTTGTATTGAAATTAGGCTTTAAATTTTCAAAATGTAACAAATGTACTATTTATACTTCATATTTGTATTCATGTAATTAAAATTTAATATTCCTTTATTACATCTCTGTATTTTATGACGATACCCGCTTCTTCATCATATTCTGGAGTGCATCTTTCTAGTTGATGAATAGTTTTTTCACTCTCTCTCAGCTTTTGTGTTAATCTTTAAACTTTTTCTTCTAGCTCGATTATCAATTCTCTTTCATGCTTCTGCGATGCTTCAGATATTTATTCATTTATAAATGCCTTTATATTTAATAAATATATATCTATAAATAACTCAAGTAGAAATGAAATACTTTGCTTTATGCAATATTTCTTTCTTCTGTCAATTTTTCTATTTTTCTTGAAAGTACAGAATTTTCTTCATAGAGTGCATGCAAAACCATATTTAATGCTTTTGGGTTATCTCCACTTTAAGATTGGCCACCACGAGAGTCTGTTGTTTTAACTTTTGTACTTTACACCTATAAGTTATCTGAACCTGGTGAAGTATTTCCAACTCCATTAACTGCAATCTTTAAGGCTTCTTTATTTAGCCGAAGCATGTTTTATAGTTCTTAAATTTCTTCTTTCAGTTAGATGTTTTCTTACGAAAGGTATTCAATCTTGGTAGATTTTCTATTAAGATTACTAGATTTTAAGTTACTTGCCTAAGTATATTATTCATAAGTATCTTGCTTGGGATACATGGAAGTACTAGCACTTACATCCATCTTTTTTTATTTTGAAATATTATAACTAATATTAAAATTAATGTGCTAACTTATTTATTTTTTTATATGTTGAACGTTTAATGTAGTAAATTTTAACAAATTAAATTATTAACTTTTTTAATTACAAATTAACTCAATTCTATTTGTTATAATAATAAATGCATTTATTACAATTAATAAACACCTTTTTTTTTTCTTTTTTATTTCCGTAATGATTATCTAGTATTCATATACTATAAATAAGTATATTTCTGAATTTTTACTTTTTATTTATTAATTCAAAAACTTAATTCAAAAAATTTAGTTTTAAGAATCTAATTTGATACTTTAATTTTAATGGAAAAAAAGATGATACTTACAACCAATAAAAATTTGTCAAAAAACTTATAATATATATGATATTAGAAAAAAGTAATAAGTACTTTATTGTGTTCTATTATTTTTACAAATTAAAAGTGTTAGTTATCATCCACCTCCTAATAACTCATTCCAAAATTTATTATCAAAAGGTATTAAAAAGGTATTGTAAATGAACTAAAATTTTAGCTAATTTGCATAAAAGTTTTTTAAAGATTGGAAATTAATAAATTTTTATTCAGTTATTAATATCTAATATTCTTTGAAAATTTTTATTTTGTACTATTGTTACCATAATTTATAGCATTTATCTAATTAATATCTACTACATAAACTAGTTTTGTTTAAATGTATATGTATTCAAAAAAAACAGTCAGTAGATATAAATATATTTTTAAATATTCACATTATTTATTAAAAAATAAATATATTTTTAAGTTATATTTAATTTGTTTACATTATTTTACATTCATATATACACATTAAAATTCGTTATAATTAATACTACTAATATATATTACTTAAGTATTTCATTAACCAAATTTTCAAGCTTCAAATAATGTAAGTCAATTAAATGAATTTACATTTTTATCAGTAACTATTTTTTAAAAATTGCTTTTAAGTTTATTCGCTTAAAATTATGCTTCCCCATTAACAAATTCATTATATTTATTTTTTTTTTCAAGTAAAGCATTGTTGTTAAATGAGTTTAAATAACCTTTTTAGAAGCTTTCCTCGTCTTGTCTCACATTTACAACTCCTTTTTGTAATCCTAGAAGTGAAAGTAATTTTTAAGATCCTAATGCCAGTGGGGTTTCACCTTTTTTGTTTAGAATGTTTAGATCTCCTCCATGAGTTTATATAAGCATTACACCCTTTATTAAAAAAAATATTATTGGTTTAAATGTATTAAAAAATAATTTTTATTTATAATTTAAATCAAATTAAAAATTTTTTATTTATTTAAATTTTATTGGAGTTTATGAAAGAAAGCTAAATTGCTACTTCTAATTTATTTGCCTAGAATGCAAAATGAAGAGGTGTCCATCCATTGATATTTCTGAGATTTGGATTGGCCTTTTTACTCAATAACCAGGAAGCAAACTAGAAATGTGAGTTTTTAGCAGCTAAGTGCAATGGTGTATTGCCTTACATATCTCTTACATTAAGATCATTTTCATAGAATATAAATCCACTGTTAATAATTAATTATAATTTATTTTCTGCAGCAGCTGCTAGTAGTCTTTATTATTTTATTGTAGGTCTTTAATAGTTTAATGGAGGATCTAAGTCTTTCACATTTGGTATTTTTTAAGGGGGAATATTTGGTATCATTTCTGAAGACAGTGATGAGTTATTTATTTCTTATTATTCAGATGAGTTATCATGAGAAGGTTAAAAGGTGTTTTCTATTTACTTGCTGCTTTATAAACAGCTAATTTAATTTTGAGAACTAACCTTATCAATAGCTTTTTGACTTGTTTGAGCTGAAGATGTAGGTGTTTAGAATAAAAATTGAGATATTTATGATGAAGGGAGAGTTGAATTATTATGAGAAATTAGTTAAGAATAGGAACGATCAATTTTATTAAAGTTCTGTATACTTTCATTTTGCTTTTTATTGAAAGCATCTGTAATTTTGGATGTAGCAGCTTTTTATTAAAGATTTTTGTTACTTAGAAGTAAATTTTCTTTAGGCGTTTTGGGCATAAGTAGTTCTTTTAATGCAAATTGTTAAATAACATTTTTTGTATCAATATATTTATTTATTTTAACAGCTGAAGATGGTATTTTAAAAAGTAAACTAGCTCTCTTTTGCTAGTATAAGTTGTTGTTAAAAGTTTATTAATTTATTTTAATAGTAGGAGATTGTTAATGATTATTGCTTCTTTAAAAGTTTATGTCACACTTATCTCCTGTCTCATCCTCGTCTTCATCAGATTTAACACTTTATTTGCTATTCAAATAATCTTTATTATTATTTTCTGCAAAATGAGATGATAAATTAGCAAATGTATGATCTTACTTTTTGTTAGTAGAAAATTAAGTAGAAACAGCTTCGTTTCCATATAAATTATCATGATATTCGCTTTTCGCCTTGTTTTAAATGAAATTTTGAGATGCACTCTATGCTTAAATTCTTTTATAAGTTTCAGCCATTTCTTGCTACATTTTTAAGTAAGAAGAAAAATAGTGATTACTACCTTGATTAAGCTAAATAAATTTTTGATTATTATGTCCTGAATTACTTCTTAAAGCTTAATTTTAAGGTGATTTGCTTTAATTTATCGGAGTAGATGGATTTATGTAAGTAATCTTTTCAATTATAGGAGAAATGTTTTCAGTCAATGGAGATTTATTTTAATCTTAATGATTTTAATTTTGAGGTACAAGAATATTTAAACTCGGATTTCGAGTATGCTTTTAACTCATAAATGTGAAAGACCTATCTCCTCCTTTAGCAGATATCATTGAATTACTTCTGCTCATATTACGTAAAAAGCTACCCCTGACTTACTACGAATGATGTTTTTTAGATATTTAAAGTTGTATATCATCTATGCTTGGTTTAGCAGGATTAAAAGTATCTTTCATAATTAAATGTATTTGATTTGGATTCATTTATATTTAATCTATAATGTGTTTATACTGATAATCTTTTTTGATCTGATTAGCCCTTAAGAATTAAACTAGCTACTTCCTTTTCAAAAAAGCTCTGAATCTTTTCTAGATTATCAAAATGGAGCGCATTTCTTATTGAGTCGCAATATTTTTACCTGTAGCTCTGTACCTATCCTTTATATTTGAAATTACATTATTTTTTAAGTTAATTTAATAAATATCAAAAGTTATTTACATATATTGTTAATTGATTTTGCTGTTTTTAAGGCCCTCCAGAATAAAATGTTTTAAAGTTTTGCTTTTCTTTAAGTAAATCAACTGTTTTGAGGTTAAGCTCATATTTTTCAATCTCTTACTTTTTAATTAAACTTTTTTTTGTTGAATTATATCTTTTTTATTCTTGCTATTCAATAGTCAAATCTTTCCTTAAATCTTCGTCTGAGCTCGAATTATGTTTTTCTATGAAAATCTTAGAACTTGGGTGATATTTTCTTCTCTTCATATTTTTGATAAATTCATCGTTTGTATAAGAAATGGGCTTTGATAACTTTTTGAACCTGATGGCTTACTTGTCTGATTCTTATTTTTCTTCTTTTTCCTACTTTTTACGCTGGATATATCTCTTAAACTCATATTCATTCAATTTTCCAACTTTGTATATTTTTTATATTGTGTCTTTTTCACTTGAATTTCCAAGCAGATATTAGTTTAAATACTCTGCACCATGAATATTTTCTGGTAATTTATCTGCAAACTTTTACTCTTTTTCCATTTTATCTAATAAAACTGTAAATATCCTATAATATCTCCTGTAAAATTTAGCATTCTAAATCTTTTTTATCTAATTTTATGCTTTTTCATATTAATCTCTAAGCCATTCTTGCTATTACTCTTATTTTTAATTTATAAATTTTTATCTTGCCTTTTTGATAGCCTACTTAGCATCTTCATAGTTACTTAAAATTTACTCTGCTAATCCTAGCTCCATCTATGAATAATAAATAAAATAAATAAAAATCTGATTGAAATATAATCATTTTAGTAATTTATTTTTACATTATCAATAAGATCTGGATTTACAATATTTACAGCCTTCTACATAAAATCCTTATCAACACAAGAATTTAGAAGCTCACTAGTATTAGCTAAAAATTTTAATTCATCTTCAGTTAACCATTCGCCTCCTTAATACCTATCTAACAGAGTATCTATGTTAAATTTAATAAAAAATATTTTATTTTTTTTAATATTTTAAAAATTCCTTTGAATAAACGAACATATTTTATTTGTTTAATTAAAATCTAATTAGCAAAATAATTGTTTAAAAATATTTTACCTCTCTAAATTGATTTTTTATACTCTAAAATATACCTTTGAACAAATGGCAGAAACCCAACATCATTCCAATTAGATGAAACTACTTCATTTGAGTATATGAATTTTTTTTGAGATCTATATTTTTAGAATTCATCTTCTCTCTCTTAAGTCCAATAATTTTCTTCATTCATTTCCTCATTTTAAAATCCTTTAATTCCAGTTGTCTGATTAAGTAACTGACTTTAGTTTAATTTATTTTTATTGCTAGAATCTTATTCATATGGATATACGAACATTTTATCTTCTGAATTGCTACGTTTGCTTTTAAGTTTGTTAATTTTAGATGTTGGATGCTTTTCATCTGGATATTTAGTAATCCCTAATCTGCTTAGATATAGTTTAATTTTGTGATTTCCATAGGTGCTCATATTCTTAAAAACCTCTTTAGAAGATATAAGTTTGAGATTTTTTAAATCACTGAAAGTCTTGTTTGCATCATCCAATTTTCCTTCATCTTTTAGATTCTGTTTTTTTTCAATAACCTCTTAAATTTTTAGCAAGTTTTCATACTTTATTTAGATATTTAGGTAAAAAATTGATATTCAAAGAAAAATTAAAAAAAAAATACTTCTATTAATTTTTCTACTATCATTTATCTGAGTTTCTTTTTTAGGGTATCATGAGATGCTTTTAATTTAAGCCATGTAAAATGATCTGCTTAGACAGATTTAATTTATTACTTAAACTTAGATTCTTATTTTAAAATGGTAGCTTCTTTTTAATTTGTTTTTTCATCAAAATTTTATAGAAGAGTATCAACTTTTTTGCACATTGTAGAATAAATATAGTCCATTTTACTATCAAATCCTTTAAGATTATTTATAACCACAGTTGATAAATCAAACATTTTTAGAACGCTTTTTTAATCAAAAAATAATTTAATATAGCTAAATGTAAACAATAATTTTAGAAATATATTCAGTTAATAAATACTATATTAATTTAATGCTGATATTGCATTCAATCAATATTCGCACTAGAATTAGTTACATAATTGCATTATTATAATAAAATATCAGTGAATTTGCGTATTTAAAATAAAATTTATAGATTTACTTTGAAGATATTGGAATATCGCAATCCATATTAATTTTAATATGAAACTTTTCTTCGATTGTTTTAATTATCAGAGACTAGAAAACTGTCGCTATAAGTTAATTACCAAAGTACTAAACAACAGGATTCTCTTTTTAAGTATTTTTTTGAAGCATAAGCTTAAATTTTTAATCTATCAGCCCATTAAGAGGTTAGTCTTTTTTAGAATTTTGATGAGATTAATTTAATGTTACAGTAAGAGGTTCTTCAAAACTCACTAAGCTTTAAGTTTTAAGGTGCTTTTGTGATTTTTGTTATTTGAGTATACCATTATTTTATTGAGGAATATTATGTAAAGTGGTAGTAACTGTATTTGAAAAAAGAGAATCTTATGAAGCAAATTTTTAATGAATTGTTTTTCTTCTCTGTGGCTTACTTTAATCCTTTTAATTACTCTTTAATGTCTCAGGAAAAGTTTCTTGCTAAAATTTTAGAGAGAAATTCTTAAATTTTTATTCAAATTGATCAATGTTCTCTAAATCGAAAGGATCAAGAGGTCTAGACTAAAAATCCTGAAGTTTCTATAAAGTTACAGCACTTTTATAGTGGAATACTGGTTAGTTTATTGACATTTTTAATCTTTTAAATATTACTTATATATATAAATGATAAATAAAGTATGAAAAAAATATCAAAGTGTTATTATTAATAATAGTAATTAGATTTTATTGATAATTATTATATGTGTGGTTTGACAAATTCTTAAATTTAAAGATTGATAAATAATAGATACTAACAAAAAATACGTATTAATTCATTAAAATTAATCTATCTCATGTAAAAATATTTAAACATTTTAAAGATTCATTAGCACTTACTATATTTATTTAGTTAGATAATTCATTCTAAAATAGATTATGTTTTTTTTTACAATTGCGATAGAAAAACTCTACTTTTGTTATGTTTCTCTTTAGAATCTTGTAGAAATAAAAATCATTCATTACAGATACTAATTAAATTTATTAATTCAATCTTGAGATATTTATGATTTAATTAATCCATTATTTTTAGTAGTTTATTATGAAATTTAAAGCAAAAAATTTTTTAATTTAAAATATTCTAAATAACTCAACATTTAATAAACAATTTTATTTTTTTAATTTTAATACAAACAATTATGTTAAATTAAAATTAATTAATAATGATATTATTAATATCCTAAAAATTAATAAACATTGCCTTTTTTTGGCAAATTTATTTTTCAAAAAATTATGTAATTTTTTTTTTAATGCTAAATAATCTAAAAAGACAGAACTATACCTTATATATGTTTTTCTTTAGAGCCATGTAAAAATAAAAAACGTAATTAACAAACATAAATTAAATTTATTAATTATATCTAGAAATATGTATCATTTATTAAATTAAATTTAACTTGTGTTAGTTATTATTTCAAATAAATGCAAATAAAAGTAAATATTTTAAAATTTAAATAAATTACAATTTTTAAAGATAGATTATTTATTTTTAAAATCTTATAATTAATCTAATGAAGTAAATTAAAGAATAATTAATTTAAAATAATAAAAATAATAAAAATAAGACAAAGTATTTTCAATTTGCCTTAATCATGAAAAAAAAAATAAAAACTGCATATTTTTTATCTGTTGCTTATTTGTGAATTCAAAATCAACTATGATTAAGATTTAAATGAATTCCGTACATTTTATAGTAATAAAAGCTGTTTTTTTAAAATGAAAATTGAAAGGTTGGTTTAATACCACAAAAATAAACTGAAATAGATAAGTAATAAAATGTGAATTAGAAACTGATTGTGGAACTAAAAGTATATTACCATAAAGTTGTAAATAGGAGATTAAATTCAATATCTTATTAGAAAACAGGTGAATAAAATTAATAATAAGCATAATTGTTCAGTGATATATTTCTGTTTGTTTGTTTGATAATACAAAAATAGGAATTTTGATGAAAAACTGTGATAGTTTGAATCATTCAACCATTCTTTAATTATTAAAATGCTTGCTAAAAGCTATACGGGATTAGTGTGCATTTTTTAATTATTGATAATTCGATTTAAAAATATTAAGAAAAGTAAAGAAATAATATTTAATACTTGAGCTCATAATAAAAAGAATTAAAAGATAAATAAATTTTTATAAGTAGTTAAATAAAGGAGAGAGCTTTTAGTTAATTAGAAATGGGTGCAGCTTGTTCGTGTAAAGGTAAATTATAAATTTGAGATAAATATTTTAAACAGAAAATTTGTTTAAAATGAAAAGACCATTTTAGTTTTAGTTTAAGTAAAATCTTAAATTCATGGAAATTAAGTTTTTTAAAGCTAAAGATTGCCCAAGCCAATATTTATTTTAATAAAAAAGAAAAGGATGATAAAAGCGAGATTTAGATCCACTACACAACAACGACTGATAGAAAGGTATCAATCAATCTTACACTTTTTTAGTTTTATTTATAGGCGTTTACATTTAAATCCTCCTTTTAAATGTAATTAAAATGTATAGAGCATTTGTTTATTTATTTATTTTAAAATATCCTCAGAGCCAAATAAAATATTTTTCATTCTTTTATCAGTAATCTTAAACTTATTTATCCCCTCTTCGCATTATTTTAACAGCTAACAAAATTTTTATTCTGAAATTAATGGAAATCAACTTTTTAAAAGAAAGAAGTCATTTTAGTTACTTTAAAATATAGCCTATTATTGTTATTATATTTTAATTTTCTATAAATATGACTTAATTATTAATTGATTTATATATAAATCAAGGAAAGCGCAGATAACAATAATAGTTAGAAGAAAGAGGTGAGGATAAATATTTTATTTAATTTAAGAGTTTAAAGAAAATCAATTTGGCTTTTATAATTCACTTTGAATTTTATAAATAAAAGAACATCTTTAACTTCATTTTATTTGAATTATTTCTTTTTATTTTATAAAAACAGCAGCGTTTAATTACTAATCAATAATTGACTAACTAATTGTTAATTTATAACAAATTTAAATAATACTATATTAATTTTTTTATTATCATACCCTAATGGGTTAAAAGAAGGGAAGTAGCGATGAAGAAATTAATGAAGAAGAAGAAGAAATTAAAGATTTACCTGTGCCTGATAATTAGAAAAGCGAGTTTTAAATTAGTAAAGAGTAATAGAATGAAGGTTTTACGTACTTGCCATTTTAGACCAAGAATAAGGAGTGTGTAACTCTTACAAAGCATTTACTCACTAAAAAGATATCGACTTATTTAAAAGATTCATTTTTAGACTTTACTTTGATTTTGTCATAGCTGTAGCAAGGTTTTATACAAATTTAAGATAGGATATCAAGGAGACATTTTTATTACACAGGGGAGAAAGCTAGAGACAATAAGCTTCTGTTAGATGATTGCTGTCAGCTTTTTGAAGATGTCCTTAGAGAAAGTGAATTATGTTGTGTGACCTATTGCATAAAAAGAGATAAATTAGAAAAATATATTGGTGAAAATTCATCAAACGCTAAATATGTTATTATGTTTACAGGATTAGATAATTAAGTAGATCCAGAGAATAACTGTGGATCTCTATTTGCTATTTGGAAGAGAAATACAACCAAATTTCGTCCACTTTCAGAAAAAGAAGATATTTTATAAAGTTGTAGCAGTATTATTGCCAGTGGTTACTGCATGTATGGTTAATGTATGAACCTTATTTTAGCAATTAACACGGATGTTAATGGATTTTCATATGATGTAAGTTAAAAAGAATTCATTTTGACCCACCCTAAAATAAAAGCAGCTCAGAGAACAGGCATTCTTTCAGTAGATACATCGAAAGAGTCAGGTTGGGAGCCTCCCATAAAAATATTTATAAACCGTAAATACCAAAAAAAAGACAAAAAGCTAAGTCTTAGATATACAGGATCTCTTGTCGCTGATGCTCATAGAACACTTTTATACGGAGGTATTTTAATGTATCCTCTGACTAATCCAAATTCTGAAGGAGATGTGAGTTTGATTGAGGCATTCATCCTTGGTTATATATTTGAAAAGTCTTGGGGGAGAGCAAGTCAAGGAGAAGGTGGTTCTGTTACTTAGATGAAACTGTACAACTTATAATAAAAAACACAATTTTATTGTGGAACCTCTGCTGAAGTAGTAGAATTAGAAAATGTATATTTATCAATAGCACGTCGCCAATCAATAAATAAATCAATAGCTTCTAGATTTTCATCCAACCAAAGCATAGGCTTAAATGGTTCTCTAGATTTATCAGTAAAAAGTGTACATTCCTGATAGAATATTAAAAAAATCAAATAAATAAATAAATAACTTGTTTACAAAACTTTCTTAAAATTTTATTCAAATTCTATTAACCAATAAAATAAAATTTATTGGTATAAAATAAAAATATCATAGCTAATTATGATCAATTTTTATATTATGTCGGCTTTTTCAATTTATTCATTGATTACAATTAATTGATACTAGTATACATAAATTGATAGCCTTACTTTAGTAGTTTAAAAAAACAAAAATGAATTAGAAATTAATTTTATCTTCTTGAAAGTTTGAAAGTGAATTAAATTAAAATAAAACTAACAAACTATTTAATTAACTATTAAAAAATATTAGTAATCAGTAAAATAATAATAAAAATGACAATTTAAGTAAAAACGATAGTAATAATCTTGACAATAAAATACAAAAAATCTTTAAAAAACTCAATAAATATAAATATAATAAAATAATCAAGTTATTTTCCAATACATAAATACATACAATAAATATTTCTTTCTCAATACTTTTATATTCTAAATTTATAATGAGAGTGAATTAAATAAACTTCTTATTAACAAATAATAATTATATTAATTATCTTATTTAGTTCATTTATTTTTTATAAAAATATATTCAGTGTTAAATATACTCTTTCTTTAATACTTTTCATTTTCATAAATATTCAAACTCATTCTTTTTATTTTTTTCTTACTTTCTTTTTAAATGTAAATTTATATTTATTTTTTAATTAAGCTATAAAAAAATTTTGATTCAATTTTTTTGCTAAAAACTTGAATGAGATTGTTGATTATTTTATTAAAATCTTTTAAATATTAAATTCATTTATAGAATTAAAGACTTTTTTCTTTTATTGCAAAAATAATTAAATAAATATTTAAAAATCTCTAAAATTATTCATGTGATGTAATAATACTTTCATGATTTTAATAAAAACTTATAAATTTCATACTAATTAAAAATAAATTAAATTTAAAAACTTATTCAGTGTGTTTAAATTATAAATATTGAGAATATGAACTATTTATTATACTATTTTTAGATAATAATTGCTTTTGAGAAGACTGTCAAATTCCTTAAAGATTGGACTTTTCACTTAAGCGGGATAATTCTACATAAATACTGTTTTTTTAATTCCTGAGTTTTTAAAAAGTACTGTTGTTGTTTTGATTACTAATATTATTTGGTGTGTTAAGATATTATATGCTTGATTTTTTGTTTTTTAAAGTTTTTTATTATAAAGTAGTATTCTTTTGAATTGTTTATAAATTTTTTAGACTATTTTTTTAGAATTATGATGTAACGGCAAAACCTCTTTCAGTTTGTTTAGTGTGATTTATGATATTATTTTATAAAGTATGAAGCGATTAACCAAAATTAAACGGTAAATTCGCAAGATTTGATGTAAAATATTGAGGAAAAATATATTTAAATTATTAGTTAGCTTAGTATTCTTCCATTTTATACTTTGATATAAGCTCAATTTGCTTTTTAGCTGCTAATTCATTGAAATCTATTTAAGTAATAGATGATGGTCTGATTGTTAAAAACGTCAAAAACGATAAAAAAAACGACAGGATACTTGTCGTCATTGAAATAATGACTGTCGTATTTAGTTATGATCCAGCACTCTTTTATAAAAAAAGAATCTACAAAATAATCTAAGGAAGATTCTTAAGTAAGAATTTTTGCATATAATTTAAGATATGACTATTTATAGATTAGTTTCTCCAACCTCTAAAAATGCACCAGTCCGGTAGATGCTTAACGTTGTAAGGACACATTTAATCTAATACTTCACTTAAAGCGCTACATTCAGTTAGAGCTGCTATTTTATAGTATTATATAATATTATCGGTGTTCAAAACTCTCTATATTTTTCTCTTCCTAAATAAGTATCTCAAAAAATATATGTAATTTAACATGAGATTAAAAGCCAATATTCCAACAGAGATGTATGCATATAAGTAATACCTATTTTTTATTTTTGTAATAATTATTTTAAAATTAATCTAAGATATTTTGTTTTGTCGACAAAAATAATTTTACTATTTTTAAAAGCATGCTACTATAAAAGAAACTTCACTAAATGTATCGTAACGAGCAATAACACTTTAAAAAAGTTATATGCCACATCGCAGAATTTTGTAGTTAAACATTTTTATATTCATTAAAAACTTTTTTAATGAATTCGATATTTTATTAACTATTCCCTTACTTTTTGTCACGTATAATCCTGGTATTAGATGAGAGACATATCTCAAAAGTCCTAAATACAAAAGAAGTTCTACCATAAAGCTCAACCCTGCAAAACCTGCAAAAATAAAATAAGCTATTGGAGAAATTTTACCACTTGGATTGTGAATATCAGAAAATAAAGCAGGAGAAAACTGTGTAAACAATTACAATATATTTATAATTATCAATATTTCTTTAAATCCAATACCATAAACTTTCTAATTTATAATATCATTATTCAGTTAAATTACCTATTTTTAATTTTTTTATAAAATTAAAAATAAAATAAAAAGAAATTTTAAGCAAAAGTAATATAAAAACTTTATTAAAATAAAATGAAATTTAATTTAAAATAGATTAATTATTTTATTTAAAATATTCAATTAATTACCTGCTGATCTAGTTAATAAATAGTTTCTTTACCAATTATTAAATCTAATATTGAATAAACCATTTTTTTTATAAAAAATGTAAATCTATTTATCTTTTTGCTTGGATCCATTTAGTAAGCTTTCTCAATTAAAGAAACTGCAATTCCATTATTTAAAGCAGAAGTTTCATTATAGTCTATTTCACAGCTTTCAAAGTAGTATGAATCATATAAAATACTGTAGAGCGCTTTTAGGAAATTTAAATTAGATTTTGGTTTTGTTCTTATAATAGTAGGAGGCATTATAAGAAGCTTTTAAATAAGTTCTCTTTCATTTAGATAGTAATATGAAGGATCTTCTTAGTTAAATTCGTACTCTAATTGGATTGATTTAAGAGACATTATATGTTGGCAATAAGATTATATAGAAAGAATAAATGTTCCATCTTTAATGCATTCAAATCCTGGATTCAAAGCGCTAGATGGGAAGATTAAATGTTCTAGCTGATTTGGTATAAATTCTAATATTTTAAAGAAATTAGCATTCAATATAATAGTATGTAAGTAAGTGCTATCAGGCTTAATTGGTAAAACACTCCTGCATGTCTTAAGGAAAAGTTCATTTACAAATAAAGTCGTCATACCATAATTTGTAAATAGTGATTCTAATTTAAAAAGTTTGAAATTTTTATTAAAAGAAAAGCAGTAAGCAAGTAGAGGCATCTCTTCTAACGACTCCCTTTTTACTATCAATGTCTTTTTGTTTTACATAAACCAGTAAATTTTTTCTATACATGAAGATAAATCTAGCTAAGAAATAGATAATTTATCTAGATAAAAAGTGTCTGATAAAGTTTAAAGAGTATCAGGATCTCCAGTGTTTTAGTTAATAGGTGAAGTAGCTTTACTTTTATTTATGTTTTCTTAGGTTGTATTATTTTTTTAATTAGTTGGTAAAATACAACTTAATCTATAATTTGTGTTAACTCTGAGCTAAACTTTAGAGCATTTTCTTATAACCTTTCTAAAATACTCTAACTTTTCTTGCCTACATCCTTAAACAAAAATACTGATTTCTTAGAAAGATGGTAGCTTGTTTGCACTATTTTCTAGGTCTAGAGCTTTCTGATTATTTGAATTAAGATTTAGAAAGTTTGAAAAAAAATTTGCAATTGTTGAAGATGGATTCTTTTGTAAGTCAGGCTGAGTGGGAAGAGTTTCCTACTCTTTCAATGAATAATTTGTAAAGAAGTTAGTTTATTATATTTCTTGTTCATTGTTGCTATCAAATTTTTTAATTTATGCCGTAACATCATCTGACTCTTTTCTATATGGCAAGATTTGTTTTAAGCCATTTTATAGATTTTATTAAGGCTAATTATTTTGTTAGTTTTGGCTACTTGACTGCTGATTTATTTAACTGCTCTATTTATTTACTAGATCTTCACTGTTGCTATTTGAAGAGCCTTCAATTTTCAACAAATTAAGTTAGAATTACTTTTTATCATTGAGAGTAGTATTAGTTCCATTAGGAGAGTTATTCAATGAGTTTTGTTTCTCTAAAGTATTGTTCTAGCGGTTATATGTTTATATATTTGTTTTTTCAATTTATTCTGAGCCTCTTTTCTATAGCTTACTTTCATTTTCAAAAATATTTTTATAATTGCCTGCTACAAAAGGCTTTTTAGAGGCATTAGGGCTGTTAAAATGTGGATTATAGCTCTAAGCAAACAAAGAAGGAGATATATCAAATATATGGCTTTTTTAATTCATTCCTGTGTTAGGAGAATCAAGGTTATTTCCAAAATTTGAAATTGAGTGTGCGCTAGGATTTATTTACAAATTTTAGAACTGTTAAGGTCTTCTTTTTGATTTTGGAGATTAAGAGGGTATTGCAGATACGTTTACATTATTGAGCTCTGTTAAAACTTAATTTTAATCAAATTTTTGTAAAACATTTGATATGGTTTCTATGTAAATTGATGAAATAACATAATTGGGATAATAAAGATCTAAAGTTTAAATTGTTTAATAATTATGATATATTATGTTTTATAAAAGTTTTGTCAAAACCATTTAATCATCGATGACATTATATGACAAATCTACTTGCTAAATATTTCTATTACAGTCAAAAAATTCAATAAGAGCTTTAGCTCTAGCATTGCTGATCATGGAATATTACTCACTTCCACAAATTTTAAGGCGTTTCACACTTTTGCATTAAAATATACTTTCTAATAGGAGATGTAGTGGACTTGTATTGATCGAATTTTAGCTGATATCTACTTCCTCAAGCAATTATAAATTTTCATGATACTCATCAAAAATTTGACTAAGCATTTCTACTCTTTCATCATCTAAGACCTGCATTTTAGGAGAACCCACTAGGCCAAGCTTTTTCAGAGATTAAAAGCTCCCTGCAAAAATTGTTTTTGTAAAATTCTCCAATACGTTGGGATTTATTAATGCAATTTCTGTTATGATGACTTCTTGTAAACTAGGGAATATTTTTCCACCAAAAGTGTTTATAATATCTTAATAGGAAAACGTTTACTCGTTATTTTCAACTTCTTCATGATCAATCATCATCTGCTTTTAATAGCTAGAATGGTGTCTCTTTATATCTAAAGTCCTTGATTTGTTTATCTATTTTAACTTAACAGATTTGTTCTCTAATAAGCTTTTGAATAAAATATTGAGAGGCCCTGCATCTATGTCATTTAATGAAATGTCTAAAATTCTAAAGTAGCATTAAGAACCACTAGTTCCTAAAGCATTGTTAATTGCAAAATTTCTATTTTTATTCTTTTAACTAGCTAACATTTAAGTAAAATTAATTGTTGTCAAGTTTGATGATATAGAGCTAGTGTTTTTTGTAGCAAGGCATTACATAGCATTTGCAACAGCTTTTGCTTTCTCATTTTCTATCATAGAAAATGATTAATACCCTCTCAATCTAAGTACCTCTAAATGGTTGCAATTAATTAAGATACTGCTAACCAATTCTCCTAAGACACGTGCACTAAGAGCTACATTACGAGATAGATCTATTTCTTTGATATTCTGTATGAAGTCTACGTTGTCTTCTAAAATGTTAATAAGAATTTCTGCTTTCTCATTTGTAAGCATAACATGTGAGTTAGAACCTGCTAAATTTAAGCATTCTAATTTACCACAATTAAATATTAAAGAAAGAATTAATTTTTTAAAACTCTCAGTTGGCATTGCTAAATTTTAGGAGAAATCTAAACATCGAAGCTCCTGACATATTCCTTAATCTAAAATTTTAGAAATTTCTTCTGCTATTGAGTCATTTATCATTGATTCCTTTTCTTTTCCTACCATTCTGATAAGTTATAAATTAGGAGAAGACTCAAATATATTATTTAATAACAAACCAAGATCTGATAATGATTTCTTGGTAAATAGGCAATTAAAGGAGATATCAATCTCTTTCATACTCTTGACCTTCTTTTTAGAAAATGCTTTTGCTAACAAACCAACATTCCAATCAGTTATCATATTTTTTCCTTCGTCATTTCTTCCACGAATATAAAGCTTTTAAATGGATTATTCTTAAGTTCTCAACAAAGCTTCTACAAAATTAGCTAGAGAGTTTTAAATATTCTAGTTAATTTAATGGTTATTTTGAGGAGCTTATTCAATTTCTGTGTTATAAGAAATATCAATAAGTTTTAATTGATTCTTCTTAACAAGCTTCATTTCATATAAAAGTTCTGATAAATACTCCAAATCGTTTTACTTTAGTACAGAATACTTTCTTTCTTCAGATCCTTTTAACAGTATTTCTGTAATATTAGGAGATTTAACTAAAATAGCACAAATAAAAGTAATGTAATTCTATTATATGCTGCCACTTAAATCTAATACATTTAGAGAATTTAGATTTAGGTCTTCATCTGCTAGAATAAGACTGCAAGCATGCCCAAATATTTAGCTAAAGTCAGTAAATTGTTTCCTCTTCTTTTTTCTCTCATCACTTCCATTTCCATAGATGTTATGTATATTGCTATTGCTATCTTCTCCAGTTCCATTATTCTGGTTACTATCTTAGTCATTCATGCCACTTGTTTCTTTTTACTTTGAAATTTATTAAAACACATCTTATTTATCATACTAGCTTGGAGGTTAAGAAACACACTCAGTAATAAAAATATTTACTAGCTTTAATTCTTTCAAAGTTTAACTATTTCTTCTTAAGATTGTATAAAGGGATTCGTCTGTAAAAATATTTCCATCTAAAATTATCTGCTAAAATCCCATTTAAGAATTATCATTGTGAAGAGCTTCATCTAATGCACAAGCCATCCAACTGTTTTTAATGACATTTTTCCAAGATAAAGTCTTTTTCACATTCTACCTCATAAAGCTTGTTATCATTTAAACAACTAAATCTTAAGTAATAAAACTCTCGTTTATTTATAATCCATCCAATTCTATACAGCATTATATATTACTCTCTTCTAATTTTCTCAAAATCTCATTTATTTCAATAATAAGCTAGTTATCTTTGATGTCTAAATTTTTTATAACTACTTTTTTGGATGAAAAAAGAACTGCCTCAAGTAAATAACAAAAGTATTCTTACTAAATTTATCTATTAAATAAATAAATAATTTATAAGAATTTCTTATTTAAAAAGTAAAATTTAAAATCAAACTATTTCAGAAGATATTGTTAGTATTTTAAATTAATTTCTTTTAATCTTCTTAAAAATATAAATTTATATTAAAAAACTAAAGATTTTTTGCTTTTAAATTAAATACATGATAGAGTCTTAGGAAAGCTTAAAAGATATCTCAAACACCTCGAAGGTTTTGTTAAACTCTTTGATTTTACTTGATAAAGTAAAAGCAAAATTCTCATTATACTAGACTAAGATAACTTCTTCAAGCCTCTTACTCTAACAAATATAATCAATTAAATAGTTTTCTGTATGCTAACTGCATTTTTTTAAATTAACTCTAGTCAAATCTAGCTTTAAGTTGTAGTCCTTTTAAAGATAATGATTTTTTATAATAGCTGTTAAAGAATCCTCATTTTCAGCTCTGAATAACTCATCACATTCAATTTAGTAAAAATCTTACACTTCACCTCTGAGTTTATCAACACTCTGAAATTAATAAAACTATTTACTTTTTTTTCTTGCCTCTTTTTTTGAAAGTTTTTATTGAATTTGCTGCAACAAGCTATTTTTTGGTTCTCTTTCTTTATTTAAATCTGGATCAAATTAAATTTTTTTCTTTGTTTTTTAACCATCCTTTTTGAGTGCAGCCTTTTATATATTTTATAATTACATATCTTATTCTTTCTTTTTAAGTTCAAGTTTCTTTTATTATTTATTAAACTCTCTTTGGTTTTAATTATCTCTTATTTTATGTCTGTAATCGTGAGAGTTAATCATTTTCTTTTTTTAAGTAAAGTCCTCTTTTTTATATTATTATGCAGTTTAAATTTTTTCTGTTTCATAAACAGAATTAATATTCCCTTCTTGCTCTGCTTCGATATTACAAGTAGATATACTTAAATCATTTTGATTGGTTTTTTTGGGTAAATTATCGTTATTCAGTTAAGCAGCATTAATATTTTCTAATTACTGCTTATTAAATCCAAGCTAAGTATTTTTTTTAGGGCTTTCGTCAGTAAATTAATTCTGCAAATTATCAGTCTTTTAAATAGAGATAGATAAATTGTTTTTAAAATTACTGTTAGTCTCTCCCTCAATCACTGCTTAACTCTCTACTCTTCTTCCTATATTTTAATCCTTTTTAACTTCTCCTTCTTCATTTTAATTATTCATTAAATCTACTATTTATAGTAGCTTTTTTTGATTTTAATCCTTCAGTAAATCTTATTCATCTATCTGTGTTAAGTTATTCTATGTTGTTAAAATAATTTAAGTTTAATTGCTATTAGGAACCAAATTAGAAGCAGGTTTAGTATCTTTATTTTTATCAATTTTTCCAACATTATCTTTTTAAACTTATTTAATTTAATCATTTTTTATTTGAACTTCAATTTCTTTTTTTGGGCTCTTTTCTTTTTATTTCGTTTTATCATTCTATTTTTTCGCCATTTTTTCGTTTTTTTCATCAATAATAGATTAGAATTACTTCATTACTTTAAGGTATGACTACGATTTAATAACATAATCATTATCAAAAATTTAAAGAGAATTCAAGCTTTTAAAATCTAAAATATCTAAATTTTTGCTATGTAGTAAGAAACAGAATTCTGTTTCATTCATGTGATTGCCTCCAAATACTATTTACTATAAATGGTTTTTATTCCACCATAGCAAATTTTTAACTATAATTAAATGGTCAATTAGAAGAGGCACATTTACAAAACATATACTTTTTAATTTAAGATTTCTTAGCTTAGAAATGACTATTTTGAAAATGCTTAAGTTCGGCTTATACAAATTTATAAATGTTACTTCTTAAATAGAACTTTCATTATATTACAAAGTATCTAATGTATATTATAATCCCTTCTTACTATTAAATGTATTTTCATCAATTGTATAGCCTCTAGCAATTCTATTTTGTTTAAATTAAATAAAAACTTAATATAAATTCTAAAGGTCTAAAACATGCTTCTTTTTTCAGATTGTTTTTTAAATTATTGAGAAAAACAGAATATTTCAATCATTCTAAATTTTTTATACTTATTTAGTTAGAAAATTTCAATAATTAAATCTGCAAATACTCAAAATAAATGTTTGTTAACTAAAAAATATATCTGATCAATTTATGGTTGGGTAGAAAATAAATTACTCAAATAGGAAGTTAAGGTTATTTCTCATTAGTATATGAGCCATTAATTCTTCTTCTAAATCTAATAAAGCATTCTCATACTTGACTTGCTCCCACTTTTACTGCTAAGCATCCATAATCTTGAGTGGTATTAATGGTTACAGAGAAATATTAATTTAATTTATTTAAGGAAGAATTTGTGGCTTCAAATAATCTTCAAGAAAAAGTATTCTTACAGCTTAGTCTCTCGAAAGAATTAACTTTTATCTGATAAATTGCATAATAAAATTTCCTTAATATAAAGTATGAAGTGAGTTTTCTGTATGTAACTAGACCTAATTCAACTCTATAACTCTAATATCCCTCCTTTAACTATAAATAAATCTTTTAAGCATCATAATATTGAGAACGCTTTTTGAGCAACCTAATATTTTGATTATTATTTTATCTTTGAATCCTGGTACCTTCTTACAGAGCATATTTATAATATGAAATACATCCATTTTACAATTCATTATTGTTATATCAGTTACAAATTTATTACTCTCTGTATTCATAATTGCTTTCTTTATATTTTCTATTTACTTTTCTCTTCTCTATTTTTCTTTTTATTTATCTCCCATACTATCGCAATTAAACCCAGATATAATGATCTTAAAATTGTTTGCCACTATTGTATTTAATAATTTTTTTTTCTTTACTAAATATATAAGCAATATGCTAATTTTTTACCTAACTATACCTAAACGTGGTCTTCCTGCTGCATTAGCTCTGGCATTTCTACATCTTAATTATCTTTTTTAAGTTGATTTGTAAATCATTCAATAATAAAATATTAAAATTTCTACCTTTTCTACTAAATGCTTTTATTGTCTGCATCACATTTTTTTCTACTTTAGTAGGAAAAAACTTTTCGGCTAAAGTTATTTCTGCTAGCGGAGTCAATTTCTATAATGGATTCACTATACCTGATACATAACTTTTTTCACCAACTGATTAAGATTCCTCATCAATTTTTATCATGTTTTTAATTTGTTAAAATTTAATTTGTAAATGTCAAAATAATTTTTTATAAAATTTAGATATTTTGATAAAAGGAAAAGGTATTAATTAGGTCTATCAAAAATTCTTATTAGCCATAAACTTAAACATTTCAAAAAAAAATATTAAATTTCGAATTGCTTATTTAAAATGTGTAAAATAGCTAAAAATTTTGGTTTAAGATAAATAAACACGATCTTACAATATTGTTAAAACAAATTTTTGGTATTTTTTTCAAATACAAAACAAATTTAGACAATTGATTTTGAAATTTATATCATAGTAAAACTTAAGAAATTATCAACAGTAAAAATTTATCCTGTATTAATGACAAATAAATATCTTTAATTAAAATTCTTTACTTTTTATGTTAATAAAAGTTTGAAATTGAAAATTAATTTTTTTATAATTTAATATTAATATAAAATAATTGATTTTATTTAATAAAATATTTATAAAAATATTTGTGATTATCAAAAATAAAATTTATGATTCCTTTTAAAGATTTAACACAGTTTTGAAAAAATTATTTATTTTTATAAAAACATCAATGTAATTATTTATATTTAGCTTATTAATAATTATATCAATTTTCACTACCAAATAATGAGTCTGCCTTTTTGAATTTAGATAATTGATTTATTTTAAATTCATTTTAGTTTATTTTATGATTTGAATCCAACATAGAATTAGCTTATGATAAAATACTACCTCTGTTTTTTAGATGAGAGTTAGTTCTCTCTCCTGTTTAAGTAGGATTTTCAGTAAACATAGTTACCCCTTAATACTCACTCTAGATTAGGTTATTAATTGGAGGTATGTGAGGATCTGATTTTATCTTAAGAGATGCATCAATTGTATTATCAAAACTCTATACTTACTAAAGGGATATATTTTATGGAGAAAAGCTATTTTTTTTAATTTGAGGAAGTTAAGATTGTGTTCTCTTCCTAGATAGCTTTTTATTGTGAGGTCTAACTGTAGTTATAATATCACTTAGCTCAATAGCTTTTTATTCTAATTAAATTTTAGGAGGAGAGACTGATTTCTTACTTAACTTGCTGGGAGAATGAAATCTTTAAGAGAGTTTAATGGGTGAATTAGATTTTTTCGATATTTTACTTATATTAATACTTATATCCACATCAATTTACTATATGTAATCCTTATTTTTTTTAGGACTTTTCAAAATTTACATAAGTTAACTTTAATCTTTTAGGCCAATTTGTTATGGATTTGTTTACTTCACAGCCATTGTTCTAGGAGTTAGAATGTTTCTACATTATGGACAATTTTTTTACTTTTTAATCCATTCTTACAAGCAATCCGCATGGAAATGGTGAGAACAATAAGTTTTTCTAATATCTTCATCTAATTCAAATTCGCAAAGACAGACAGGACATGCTGGTTCCTCTTCTTGTCCTTATTACAATTGATTTTTAAGCTCCTAAGTGTATTTGAAAGGTGGTATCAAGTCTAAAACATTGTTCAATTCTTCTTCTTTTTTAGATTTTTTTTTCTTCATATTAGAAATTGCGATGTTGATTAATTAAGTTTTTCTATGCAAATAAATAACGAGTATTATCAGAATTAATATAAGTAATACCAAAATAACAGACATAACAATAATTGTATCTTTTGATGATAGAATATTAACATCTTATAACTATTTCTAATGTGGTCCTTCATCTTTCATTAAGAGAATCATGTCATATTCTATGATATCATTGTCTCTCTAATATTTCCACTCTTAACGAAATCCAAAAAGTAACTAAATTTAATTTTAAAGGTTAATCTAATTATTAAAATTAGTTGTTTAATGTTCTTGATTATTTTTCGAAGTGTTGCTTTCATCATTAAGTAAATTCCTTTGAATGGATTTAAAACTTTGTAAAAATATTTCCTCACCATCTATAAGCTATTATTCAGTAAGTCGAAAAGATTCTGTTGAAAAAAAAGTATCTGCAACAGATAAATTTGAGGAATTTTGATTTTCAGATGTGAAATAGATATTTAAGAACCCAAGATCATCATTTTCTGATATTTTGTTTGTTGAGAGAGTTTAGTCTCTCTTTTATATTTATAAATAGAGATATCCGTTAAGCTAATTTTATATTTAATAATAAAAAGCTGCTTTTTATTATTTAGAGAAAGTAGTTTTCCATGTAAAATAATAAGGAGAATTATTACTCTACTCTCTATAGAAATCTAAATTTAAAGATTATCTTGAACAATCAAAATCATAGTAGCCTTTAAAGCATTAACACTTACCTGTATTTTAGTTACAAATTCCTTAACTATTTTAGCTAAAGCAATCAAAAGGACACCTCTTTTGTAATCCACTATCTTAGATCCCAAATTTCAATGTATAACTTAAATTTATTACATTTTAAGTGGCCTAGAATATGGTAAGATAGAGAGGATTTTATTCAATCAAGTATGATTTTTCAAAATCTATTCTATAATACTTCTTTTTCATATAAAACCCCCTCTTATCAATAAAATCAGCTTCGAAGTGATTGGTTTTATTATTAAATTAAAGAGAGAATGTCTAGCTCAAAGCAAATAGTATTTAAATATCATCTTATTCAAATCTGTTAATATTCAACTCCATTTCTATAAAGTATGATCCATACTACTTGCTAAAAATATTAGGATCTAATTGGTAAGTTTTATTTTATTAGGTAGTATTTCCTTCAAATAATTCGTTATTCAGCTGACTTAGTGATAAATATTCAGCGCTTTAATTCTAACATTTTATGCAATTAGTAATAATTGCTAAAAAAATGAGCAAGCTTAAAATTTACATTATAGCTCTTTTTATCTTATTATTTTAGAAATTATTAATTAAAATTCAATACATATTAGCTAAATGAATCTGTGTAATTACTAAAAATCATATATTCGGTAATTTACTTTGTAATCCTTAGCTTTATTTATTATCAATATTGACCTCATTTCAAATGAGAGGTAACAACTTGAACATTTCCTAATTAGGTATCAGGTAAAGTTGAATATTATTATAAAATTTAATTTTTTTTTATTTTTAAAAATCTTAATCTTAATTTGATCTCAATACATACTATAACTAATCAATAACACATTTAACATCATTTTTAAAATTCTTAAAAAATTATATAAAGTATTTATTCTATTTTTTATTAATCTTATTTATAAAATTGAATTACTAAATTACTTCAGTAACAATCAATTTAGTTTATTTCATATTTTTTTCTTAAAATATTCCTACTAAATTTTCATTTCCAAATATTATTTATTTTTTTATTATTATTTCTTTGATATCAACAGTAGAATATAAAATTTATATGAATTCTCAGGATATATTAATATTTATTTTTATATTAACATAAATTATCAATAAATTAATAAACTGATTATAACATTTTTTACCTAAAATTTTATCAATATAAAATATTTGTTTAGAAATCTAATCATAAAATAGGCGAAGCAATTTCTAATTTTTTTTTTTAACTTAAATTATTAAGAAAAAATCTTTCTATATTTTATTATATTTACCATTTGATTATGATTTTTCTCTCTAAGCAGAGCATTTAGATTTAACAAATTTAATTACATTTTAATATATAAATAATTTTTATATTTAAAATTTATTTGAAACTGTAAGATGCGCTTTATTAATTTTTAATAATTTTAATTCATTCAAAATAATTTATTTTTTTGTATTGATTGATAATTTTAAAGTTTTTCATATCATAAATATAAAAAAAATAATATTTAAATTTTTAAAAAATAATTCTAAAAAATAAAAATAAATTTAGTTAAAATTCATATTAACCAAAAAATAACAAAATTAATATCAAAATACAAGAAAGTTAACTAATATTTTAATTTATATAAAACAGACTATTAGTTTTATAATATTTGCTGTTAGGGTTAAATGTCAATTTGATTAGTTTTTTTCATTAATTTATATTTCTTCATTTTCTTCTACAATAATTTTATATTATATTTTTATAATAGATTGTTTTCAATAAAATTAAATTTACTTGTGGAACTCATCTATACAAAAGAATTAATTTCAATTACTCTATTTGGACTATTATGACTAATATTTGGAGTAAAAATGCTTTACTTTTCCATTTCTAGTAACCTGAATTAGAAATTATCTATATAATTATAAATAATTAATATAGATTAAAATTTTTTGATTTTATTACTTCTCTTTTTTTCTGTGTTGTTGGCTAATCTTGTAAAATATTTATTTTAAAGCTATAATGGCGGTACTATTTCTGAAGGAAGTATCTCGGAATTTACTATAGAATCAGATTAAAAGTTATCAATTAATTTAACCAATTGGGATTACAATGGTCCTCTTACAGAGTTATTAATGGTTGATTATCTAAGAAATTTAGAAAAATGTGTTTGAAACTATTAATTATCTTTTTTCTGCTTTTCTATTCCATAAAGTGCTAATAATTTTATATTTTATTTTAATTTTTTTAATTTTTATAGAGCTGCCATTGATATCTTTGGCTAAATAACAATAATAGTAAAAATATTTGGGAATAAAACCTTTGCTCTGAATAGCATCTATTGAAAAATATTTCTTTTTTTTCTCTCTGAAGGAATAGGCTTAATGAAAATATATATCACTAGCTTTAGAGCAAAGTATGAGTTGACAGTGTATATAAATAAAGAAATAATTTATCCTATTATATTATAGATTAAAATAATTTCTTGGTAGAGTAGGCAAAGGTTTATTGTTAATATTGATATCAGTATTGATTGAGACTCTAAGTAATTATGATTTTAGTTCTTATATGGCTTTAGCTTCATCTATAAAGAGTAATAAGCAATTAATACTGAACTGTTTGTACAAGCCTTTAATAAATGTTAATATAAAAATGTATTTCTATTAAAATTAATTTTACATTTATAATGGTATAATCTTACAAAAGTATAGCAGTTATCATAACTAATGATTTAATACAAAGGCGTATTATATCCCAGAAGTAAATCTTTTCTCTATAATCTTCAAACAAGAATTTGTAAATACTTTACTAAAATTTCTTTGAATGATTCTTCTTTTATTACTTTATTTTGAGCAATAAAGCAAAGGGGAAAATTATAACAAATATAAATGCAAAAGGTAGAATGGCAAAATATAAAAATTTCCCATGCTAATCATACTATCTACAATCTAAGGTTAAATCTATTTAAGTATATTTTTGATCCCCAATTTATCTACAGTTAGCTGATTTTGCAATAAATGTTACAATTGAAGGGAAAAAAAATAAGTAAGTGTATATAAGTGAAGTCATGTTATATCTGGAATTATAATTTTTACACTTGCAGCACTTTCCTCTTAATTTATTGAAAGTAATATATAAAAGTGTCAATATTAAAGGAGTTATAATTGATATGAGAAATTAAAAAAACCAGTAAGGAACGACTGCTTGAAGGTTCAAAGGATATAAGCAATCAAAAGCAAAGCTAGAAATCTATAAAGGATTTCCTACAACCTAAGAACTATAATTAAAAAAGCTTGGAAACTATAATTTAAAAGTACTAGCTATCGAAAGTACTTAGAAATGGTCTATCAGTATCTTCTAATATGCTGGATTTGCTGGGGCTAATTCTAAATTAATAGCAAATTATTAATAAAATTTAATTTAAATAAATTTACCAGATTTGCTAAAATAAATAAATCCACCTAGTTTTAAATAATAAATTGTAAGATATCTTTCAGCCTAAGCAGATATTCTTGACATAGCAAGGAAAATTTAAAAAAACTAAAATATCAAGAAAAATAGTGCATTAAAAATAAAAAAGTAAGCTCTTGAGCTGCATTTTAAGCATTAACTAGATTGAAATGCAATTGAATATCTATCTTGCCATATTTTTCCTAAAAAATCACACTACTAGCATAAAGGTCCTATATAGCCTTCTATGCATCCAAACTATTGTAAAATCAAACAAAAAGTAATGTATTTTATTTTAAAATCATAATAAAAATATAATAAATAATTAGAATTGAATGTATCTAAAAAATAAGAAAAATTAATTTTCTCAAATTATTTTATAAATTTAAATCAAATTTTTATGCTAATGCAAGTGTTGATTTGTATATCAAATATTCTAAATTCTTTGAGGACTTTAACCATTTCTGAAAAGATTTTAATTTAATCATCAAAAAAAAAAAAATTTTACTTTAGATAGAGGATTAGATTCTTAGCAAGAAGTGGATTCCTCATTACATTATACAATAGTATCGCTTAAGTTATTCTTCCTCCAAAATCCATTTTTAAGGGAAATATTTGAACCTTAGCAACTTTTTGCAGATTCAGGACAGATTTAGCATTGCCAATCTTTTTGGCTTAAAGAATATTTTCCATCAGGACACTTCTCACAAATTTACCTATTTAGAATATCCAGCTTGATTTCTCCTAGGATGCAACTTCTAAATTCAATAAAAAATAACAACTATATCTAAGATTCTTTTATGTACATAGAACCTTAAGATGTTTGGAGCTGACTTAACAAATTTGAATTGATTTTAAAACTACTGTTGCTGTTAGGCATATAAGTTAAACTTACATTAAAACTAAACCCATTATCTTAATATTTAGATACTAGCCCACCTTAAAATAAAATATCTTATTTATTATTTGAATTGCTAATTTGCAAACTAATTCCATCAAGCTCTTTTCCTAATTAACTAGCAAAGTTTAAGTAATTTAATTAAGTCAAATTCAAATAATTTTATTCTTCATCTAAAAAATTAATATTCTTAAGCATTAGTTATGATCCACTTTGAAAATTTTTGATGGAAATAGTTTTATCTAAATTCAAATTCATTTCATAATCGGCATCATTATTTTAATAGGGGGAAATTTCCATGCCTCTTAATGTAGAACCTAAATTTTTTCCATAGTAAAAAGCAGTGTTATTCTAAAAAATATTCTTTTAAAATATTGACTAATCAACTACTGAATCAGGTACTATTGTTTCATAATACATACCACCACCAATACCTGCTCTATTATTAAATATTTTTGAATCCTAAATAATTAGGTTAACTTTACTTAAAAAAATTGCTCCACCTTTTCCTTAGGTTGCCAAATTGCTAGAAAATTAATTTTGAGAAGTAATATTAAGGATAGTACAAATCTAGACTTAATCACTGCTGTAATAATAAAGAGCACCACCATTTAACATTAAACTTTAATTTTCAGTAAAAGTAGAATAAATTATTTAAGTGTTTATTACATCAAATAAATATAGAGCTCCTCCATTTCCTTTTAAGCAAACATTTTCTTAAAACTAAGAATATTAAATAATCAATTGTTTCATATTTAAAATAGAAATTACTCCTCCATTAATTACTCCTTTGTTATGAGAAAAAGTGGAGTTCTGAATTACTAGAGATGATGTAAGTTATAAGAATATAAGTTGAGTGCTACATGAATTTTACACTGCAATAACTTCTTAGAAATATATTGTGTTATCATGAACTTAATTGAAAAACTCAATTAAAGGAATTTGGTTGTTTTTAAAACTTGTTTATTTTAGAGTTGATTCTTCAAAATTTTAAATGTATAAAATTGGTTTAGTGTCATTTGATCTTATATTTATGAATTCTGTCTCCTCAAAAAGAACTCTTTTAGCTTATATACTCATTAAATTGTCTTAACTTTACTTAATTGTAAAAAATTATGATTTAATCATAAGTAAATTATTCGAAGAGATATATAGCGTAATACTTTACGAATCTCTAACAATTAGATTTTTGATTGTAATATTTAAACTTTGATATACGACTTCAATTGTTAAATCAGATACGTCAATTACTGACATAGACTCTGAATTAGTTACTAATACATCATATAAATTAAGGATTTAGCAACCTAACTATTAAACAAAGTAGCCTCCAACAATTTTATTTAAATTAACATTCTAAATAATTGAAAACTTAACCATTATTTAAGTAATTATATTTTAAATTATATATAATTTATCCAAATTTGTGAAATTAAGTTAAAAGAGCATTACATTATTTAAGCATAGTAAGTTGTATATTTAAGAGTTGGTACACGTCATATTTACAATAATCACACTTGACGAGTTAACAAACTCCAAAATTGAATGAGAAGTAAAATTACTATTGTAGACTTGTAAATTTTCAATAACAATATTGGTACAATTTTAGAAACTAATCATATCTGTGAAATTATTATAATTTAAATTGCTTATAGTTAAGTTTTTTATTATTAATGTTTCTATATTATTAAATTGAAGAGGTACTTATATTTCAGTAATATTTATGTTCATCAAATGAAATTTATTTATATTTTTTTTAGAGTTTATTATCACTACTTAATCTCCGAGTGTCTTTATACCTACACTATTAATTAATACATTTGTAATAAGTGAATTATCAAATATACTACCATCTTTCAACAAAACAACGCTACTGTTTGTCTAATCACTTTAAGAGAAATAATATAACTTAACCCCTTATTGGTAAATATTTCCATAAAGAGGAGGTGCTTAGAGTAATTAACCATTTTAATATTAAATTCTAAGCTCCCTCAAAAATTAATTTGAGTAAGCTATATTTAATTGAATATTCTTTTGTAAAAAGTTATTTTATATGGTAGAATCAGATTGCTAGTATTGATAAGTACATATTTATGAATTTTGTTATAGTGACACTCTATAGTAAACTATATCAATCAAACCTAAAGCTATAATTTCTAAATATCTATTAGAATTTACATCTCTAATAATATCAAAAGAAAGAATTTTTAATAAGTTTTAATCCTTAGAGAAGAGAATAACTGGAGTAGATGAATTCTATGAAAGAGATACAACCTAGAACAAATTATTCTAAACCAAAATAAAAATATCTTTCTAGTATGTAAACTAAACTCTGTGAAGACTTTAAAGAGTAATTTAAGGATACACTCTCTTCAAATTGATTCTGTTGTAAATATCTAGCTGACTATTACAGAAAACATAAATAAAGAAATCGTCAGATAAAATCTTGGTCTATATCAAACAGGGATTGCTAATTACACTTATTTACATGAGCTAGTAATTAAAGATATATGTAATACCTTAGTTACCAACAATAAATATTAATTATCGTTAGCTTTCAACATAAACATTAACTACCAAATAATCAATATTAATTGAGTGTTATATATTTTAACTAGTAGTATTAAATATTTTGATTTGAGAATCATTCTAAACTATAATTAAACACAAGTCATCATTCAAGTTATCATATTCATTTGTGTACTGATTTAATGGGATGTAACTATAATTTTAAAGCTAGCTATTACCTTTTTAAAGTTTTATAACTAATGAAATATCACTAGTACTGATCTATTAGCTAATTAGTTGATTATTAGTTTTGTAGGTGTACAAAATATTTTAAGAATAATAAATTAAATTATCGTTTTGTATAAATCCATTAAAATATATGTTCTGACCATTATTTGATTTGTTTAAAATAAATTGTAGTTGAGTTGTATTAATAGTATTCTTTAAAGATACTTGGTAGATATTATTTGAATTATTTTCAACAATTAATAAAATATTAAGATTTTTATTATAATAAATGCTGTGAATTGAGAGTTTTATATATGCCTCACTTATTTTCACAATTTTTCCTTTAATTATATCAACTGATGCATACAAGATATAGTTAAAATTTTAGTAAATAAACTGATTGACTGATGTCTTTAGTAGCTGAGCATATTTTAATAATTAACTATCAATTTAGTTTACTATATATATATCTTTGAATTAATTAAATTGAAATAGAGATAGTGCCCTATTTCTTAAATTGTAAATTAAGTAGTAGTTATTATCAAAGGCTATATTTTAAATTTCTAATAGTTACGTCTAGAACAAATCTTCGCTGTAGATGCTTAGTTATAAGTCATACAAAATTATATCCTAGGTATCTTTGTAAACTGTTAATACATTTAATTATTAATCTAAAGCAATACTGGTAATTTTAGAAGAATAATTTAGATTATCGTAAATGACATCTAAAAATTTTAAACTTGGAAATGAGTGACAATAAATAAATTATGAGTCGTAAAAGAAAATAGCATTTTTATTGTTATCGATTACGAAGCCATATAATTTCTAGTATTGTAGCAATTAGCTAGTGAAATTATTTTACAGATATTAATAAATTATGAGAGATGGAGATTAATCTAAAATAATAATTTGCTAGTTGCTCAAATCGACATATACATTTTAGATATCAAAATAATTAGCTGTATTAGTTAAATACTTTATTTGAGCATTTAAAGCATCAAATATCTTTATGCTTCTTGTCTTCCCATCTATCTACAATATATAATTGTATTGATAGTCATATTAGAAAACAGTGGAATCCTAATTACAAACAGTAAATTACTGTGAAGTTGTTTTTTCTTGTACTTATATAAATTAGTATTGGTAATCAGCAGGATAAACTAATATTTTTCTGTCAATATCATAATAAGGTTTACAGCCTTCTATATTCATCTACTATATATTCTAAATTAAAATTAAACAAAATATAATTTTTAAAATATGATCCTCTTTTGAAATTAATATTTACAAATGTTTGATTAGGATTTAATTCTCCTGAGCTTATAAAATATTCTAAAATAGAAGGAGAATATAAAACAATCAGATTTTTTTTGCAGAACAGCATTTATTTTAAAGATAAATATGGATTTTATAGATAATTTATAGCTTTGATTCTCTAAGTCATGTACTAATTTATTTTTAAAAATAAAATTAAAATTAAGAAATTTTCTTTAATTTACATTAAAAACATAAAGTTTTTGTGTATCTGTTTATATAATAACAGTTTGCTACTCAGTACAAATCTAGAGAGAACTAATTGAAGAGAAAGTCTAGATAGTTTTTAATTGCTGTTAGCTAGGTAGCGATGGATCAAATAGGTAGAGTTTATCTTCATAATCACTAAAAACAAATTTATCTAAATTTTAATCAACAACTATTAATTTAAACTGATAATTAAATTAATACTACTAAATAATTTTAAGGTTCATTAGTTTTTTTTTAATTATTTTTTATTGAGACTTACTGTAATAATAAACTATGTAATTTTAATTATCTGCATAGATAATTTATGAATCACTACCTAATTACGAATAACTATAAGGACTATTTTCAATATTTCTAATAACTTTAGGAATAAATATAATACTATCAATTATAGTTGTAAGTGAATCTGTTTCTGTTTTGCTGTAAAATATTTTAAACAAATTAACGGTTGTATCTAAAATTTTTATTATTTTCATATATTTGTGGTGTATTATCTGAAAACCGTAGCATGCCAATTCAAAATTTTATCCAATAAAATATAAAGAATAAACTTAATTTGGATTGTCTTAAGCATTTACAAAAGTCTAAATTGTAACAACTTAGAGAAGATTTAAATCGAATTTAAAGAAAGATTATTTATTACAGAATAAAACATATCCATCTCTACTTTTGTAGTAGAAGAATAATGTAGGAGAGCTTAAGCGAAGGCTTATAACTTATTAAACTGATAAATCAGGATTTAGTTGAATTACAGAAGAGCTGTTAAAAAGATATAGAAAATTTTGTGATACCCCAGAAAAAAGTCCTGACTCAATATCTTACCCATAATCATCATATGATAATTAGTTAGGAGAAAATGTAAGAGTTTTCAAATTAAAAGCAACTATGTATTGATAATTTACAAAAAGATAAATATAATCCTGAAAAACAATTTCATATTCATTGTTGTAAATTTACTCTTGAACATATTAGATCCAGTAATAGGAATAATTTTAAAATAATTGAACAACAGTTCTTTTGTTAATGTCATATAAATAAAGAATCATATTGTCATTATCAATTCCTAATATTGCATCTTCAATTTAGATTGAGTAATTTATATAATTAGAAGAAGGACCATTTGAAAAACTGCTTACCCATTCATTTTATTATAAATCAAATAGCATGTTATAGCTAGTTACAAGTATTAGATTATTTTTAGAAATGTAAATACTTCCAATCACACTAATTATTGACACAGAAGAAGGAATATTTAATTTTGTGATTACTTTTTTTAACTTTAAATTATAGATTACAAGAATGGTTTGACTTATTATATTATTATATTATATTGTGATTAGATCGTTATTATTAATTACCTACTACATACTTTTACAACTAAGTATTTAATTGTCCTCATTTAAATATTATTCGTTAATCCAAATATTTTTGTACATTTCAGCTTGTTAGTAAAATGGTAGATATAGCTATGTCTATTGATAAAAGCAAAACTATTCGTTTTATACTACCACAAATGAAAGAGTATTTTGCTAAAAAACTTAATTATAAACTCCAGTTTTTTGATTTCCTAAACTATTATCAAAGAAATTTGTATAGCCTTCAGTTGTAAAAAATTAAATATTCTATTAACTAGAGTCACTACTGATAGTTGCTTCAACCATATAAGAAGCTTTTTATTTGTAAATAGAATAGTTGAAAAATATGTATAGTTGTTAATCTATTAGATACACACTATAAATTATTATTTAAGAAAATTTGTTGGACTAGAAACAAGGAAAACTAGATGATTGCAGTTAAGATTGTTAAAAAAAGCTATCATTAATAGTAATTAAGCAAAATTAACTAGATTCTCTAATTAAAGCATAATAATTATTTTACCCATAATTTAAGGCATAAATTCCATTATAAATTTTAGATGAAGATATTATTTTAGTCTTCATAGTACAATTTGTCCAATCATTTGATATTTCATAAACAAGTGTATAACCTTGACTTTAATAAGTAATAAGAAAATACTTATTTTATGGAATAAATAAACTCTCGTTATTATACAAAAGTATAGATGAAATTGTAAACAGTTATGTTAAAGTAAATGTCTCCTACAATTAAGTTAGCTTATAGACTTGAATATTTTACCCTACTAGGCATGCAAATAATCCTTAATTATCGTTTACAATAGAAACTTTAAAATATCTTGGTATATTTATTATCTATTATAAAAGACTTCCATCTTATTAAATCTTGAGGAGATAGGTCTATTATAAAAGAAAATATATTAAAGCTAAAAATAAATTTTAATTTATTTATTTAATATATGTTAATATCAATAGGAATTCTATTTTTAAATTTAAGTATAATTATTAAAATATTTTGTATCATAATAAAATATTTTATTATTTAATACAAATATAAGCCAATTTACTTTTTTTAAATTATTTGATGTTAAAAAATATATTTTTCAACAAAGTTTTTTTAATAAATTAATTGATTTTTAATAAATTATTTTTTTTAATATTCCCTATTTTATTATTTTTTCAAATTTTGAATAAAATAAATGTCTAAAATTAGTCGATTATAATAAAGCAAATCAATAAAAATGTAATTTGATTGAATTGGAAAAAAAATTATTATCAAAATTTATTTAAATTATATGCTATCCTTTTTCATTAATTTGTTTATTAAAAAATAATATCAAATAACAAATTTATTTCGAGCATTTAATTTTTTTCTAATAGCTTACTTTCTTTTGATTTATTTAATTGTCTATGCATATAAATATGATAAAATTAAAATTTGTATATTAAACAAAATCTTTAAATATAAATTACAAATTATTTACCTTGCTTTATGCAGAAGAATAATAAATTGCGGCTCTCATTTAGTAGCTTATTGTATTTATATATACAATCTCATTTTACAAAACAATTTATATGCTTTATTTAATCAGGTCTACTAACAAAATTTAGTTTAGAGTAGTTATTTTATAAAATATTGCATTTAATTTTAGATCGTAATAAGAGAGAGTAAGACTTGACTTTTGAGAAATATCAAATTGTTAAATTATGGATTCTTTTACTAAATCATAAATAATGATTCTTTATTTGCTTGTGCATGATACTACATCACCATTCTAAAAAAAGATATCTGTCATTTATAAATTCTAAGAAAATTCATCAGGAGAAATAAGATCAAAAATTTACAATATTTGAAGAGTAGAACTAGCAAAATAAAATCTACAAGGATATTCATATAGAACAACTTTTTTATTGGAGAGCATAAATGCAAAAGAAATACCATTTTAAATTTAATAATTTTGATACTCATTTACAATATTACAATTCTATATACTTTAACATATTTTAGTTGAATAATTTTCGATCGTATTATTTTCACAATTAAAAACACACTACTTTGTATTGTAATTAAAAAACAGTTCATCTTAACACTTTTTTTCCTTTATATAGCACTACCCATCTTGCTATAGCTCCGAATTTGCATCACATTTAATGCATTTACCTATATAATTACAAGATATACAACCTGATATCAAACAATCATTACAGGTCATGGTTTATAAATCCTAATATGATCCTTGATTACATTTTGTTTAACAAATGTTATCATTTGGTTGTAAAAAAAGATTGTTTTAACATTTAGAACATTAATTTTATTGCTATCCAAAGCATGACGCACATGAAGAATCACACTAAATACAACTCTATTACAGGTAGTCATATGTTTATCCCTAAGTTTAGCAACTTTAGAAATAAAATAATCTAATCTATATCAAAGCTATTAAATACTTAAAGTATTACATACTCTTATTAATTTATTTTTTAATTATTGTTTGAAAAATAAATTTTGCAAATAAAATTTCTACTTTTATAAGAATTAAGACCAAAAAGTTGGTTTTATATTTAAAATAATAACTTTTAATTTGATTTTTTATTAGATGAATTATTTTTTATTGATTGTTTTAGTTTTTTAAATTCCAATAACAAATAAAAGTAGTACTAATTTTAAAAAATCTGTAAGCTAAATTTTTTTGAGTGAAGATTTAAAGTAGTAATAAAACATAGCCACAAAATATTAGTAATATTCAAGTGTATTTCATCTTCTATATATATATTTTTTTTTAATTATCGATTTTCATTTGTTAAGAATAAGAAAATCTAAGAAATGTAAGAAATATATTATCATTTTAGGTCGCTTCACTTATTAACAGTTATTCATTAAAAAAAGATAATTTGAAGAAGAAGAAAAAAATAAATATTCGAGTATAATTTAAGCATTTATATAGTAAAATATTTGAATTTATTTACAAATAAAAACTAAAATTATGAAAAATTGCTTTCAAAATAAAATAATTATGTTGGAATTCAATGATTCAAAATTATTTACAATATTTTCATTAAAATTTTAAAAAATTATATTTTTTTAGATAATTTTTTATTTCTTTGCTTGAAATAAAGAATAAATTGTATTATTATTTATTATTAGTGTAATATAAATAATACAAATTTGATATATTTTGTATATTATATGGAAACAATAATATAGAGTCTATAATATTTCTGAAGAATGAGTTTTTCTGAAAATTTTAAAGATATATTTCTAAACTTTTATTCTAATTGTTTTTTAGATTAAATAATACATATCTTGAATTAATTCAATTTTTATTAAGATAATAATTTTTTTATTTTCAAGTAAAACTTATTTAAATATTGTAAATTTGAATTGAAATTCAATTTTTTTAAATCAATATCCACTTTGTATTATAATTATTTAAAACCTAGAAAAAATATTCATACTTGATTAATATTGAGTTTGAAAGATATTAATTTAGTTAGTACTTTATTTTAAAATTGAATTGAATTATTAAACATATTTATCTTAAAAATATAAGAATACTTTTTTTTTTAGTTATAATATTTATATTTGAATAATTATTATCATATTTAAACTAAAATCCCATAAAGATACAAAAAGTATAACTATTTAAATAGAAATGTTTAATAAGTTATTTAGTTTGAAAAATGACAATTAAATAATTGAATAAACAATTGATCACACTTAAAAATATATTCAGAAAATGATGATGACATTTGCAAGATTAATAAAATTCATTAAAAAAATAAAAGTGTTTTATTATTAAGCTTTTAAAATTTTAGGTAATCAAATTTGTTATTTTTAAAATAAAAAACTCTTTTCCTAAAGATTTTTAAATATCCTATATTTGTGTATATCTAAGCTATTATTATAATCAAATGATAAATATAAAGAAAATTTATTAAAAACATTATCTATCCAATTTAATTCCAGTATTTTGAATAAGTGATACATTTAAAAAAGACCTAAAAGAAACATATACAAGAGATGAAGCAAATTAGAGCTTTAATATTTATAATAGCAATTTTATCTTAAAACTATATATATGTTTACTGTGCTAGCACAAATTAGCAAGGAGAAGATGAAAATATGAAAATAATAAAATAGATTATGGACAAAATATTCTAAATGAAGAAAACCCTCAACAATTCTACTTAGTAAAAGTAATCATCTCCAAATTAAATCATAAAGTTGAATATATTAAATATTGAAAATAATCTAAATTCTGTATATCTTGGACCAAGATTATAAGAAATTTTTTTGGCTCTTCATACAATTTTAAGTGAGGACACTATTTCTTATGATTCATTTAAAAGCTGGACATATGAGTATGGAATTAATTTAGTTGGGATGACAGGAGGAGCTTTATTAGCCCTCTAGTTATGCGAAATTTTGTCTATTACTAATCCTCACTTAAAAGTTATTTCTATGATTAGCATGGCTTATGTTGGAGATAAGACAGTGGATTTATTAAAACGTTATGATCCTAATTATGTTTTAAAAAAAGAAGATATTTTAAATATTATCGAAATGGACTCTGCCCATTCATAAGCAATAATTAAATACATTAAGGAGCATTATTTAGAAATATCTTTGTACTATATAAATTAATACAAATGAAATTATGGATTATAATTCTATAAACATTAAAAAAAAATACTTATCATTAAAAAAATAATAAGAAACATAGTATTACATATTAAATAGACATTTATAGACACACACATTTGAAAAAATTTATAAAATTAATTTTATTCTCTTTAAAAAATTAATTTGGCTATGATAAATAAATATTATTTAAAATTATTTTTCAATAATTTTCTTAAAAAGTTTAATCTATCTAGATTAAATGAGGTTACATTTTATATTTATCTATTTTTTTTGAAATTACAAAATTTTTTATTGCTTAATTTTCATTTTTTAAAATCATCTTTAAAAAAAGATAAAGTCTAAAATTTATTTTCTGTAAAGAATTTTTTTATTTTTTACATTTAAATAAAAAAATATAAATTAATCATTAAGAATATTTTCACCATTTTTATAAGTTATATTTAATTTATGATTAAGGGTTAAATAAGATAATTAATTTAATATAAAAAAAATTAGATTTAAAACTTTTGAACTATAATACTGACCAAATTTTTTAGCTATTATAAAAGCATCTTATTTAGATATATTGTAAAAGTTAATTCTTTGTAACTATTTATTCAGTCTCAGAATTACATATTGCATTAAAAATAAATATAGTTTATCAATCAGCCTAAAACCGAATTAAATATTTTAATTGTTAGTTGGTTGATTTAAGAGAAAATAGAAAACTTTACTGATGAAAATAATAGAAAACTAAAAATATAATTATACATATTTTTTGTTTGATTACATTAAATTATTACAAAACCTATATCTGGATGTAAAATTAAATTTATTCTTTGCGAAATTTTAATATTGTTTGCAGTTGGCTATTTTCTATTGCTTTATTCCTATTTTTATCTTTTAAGTTGGCAGTGTAACATTTTAAAATCTAAAGAAAAATACAATCTTTTTAAAAAATACCTACATTTTCTATTAAAGCAGTAATCTAAAAGAATTAAAATCATTTAATAAAAACTAAAAATTATTAGTATATCTGGATATTGTCTCTAAAAGAATTATCTCCATATTTATTAAGCTTGAATTAAAAATAAATATATATCAAAATCAGTGTTTTTTATCTCAAATTTCATAAAGAAGCACACTTGTTTTAATTTACAGATCAAAAATGTATATCTATTCATAATTTTTACCTGGTTTTACTAGATATATTTTTTAATGGATTCATGCATCTTCATCAAGTTAATATATCATATTTTTATAAATGGAGTAGGACATCAGATAAATTAATTACTTGTTTTTTGTATATTTTCGTTTTTAATTTTAATTTATTATAAAAAAAATATCCATAGATTATCTTTAAATTCTTGAATAAACACATCAATAATAGTTTGATAAAAAAATAATTAGAAAACAAAAAAATAATCTAAAAGATATTTCAAAAATTAGATAATCTACAAAATATAATAGAAATGCAAGCTGCTGATCAACACGTTACTGAAGTCTTATAAAAGTTAAAGCTAGCTATGAAGCACTACAATATTTCAACCATAGATGGCTACTTTAAGATGGACAAAGATAATAACTTCGTAGTAAGCGTTAGTGAATTTGGCGAGACTCTTAAGTAGGTCGATCCAACTTTAACTGCTTATGAAATTTAATTAGCTTTTGATAGATTTGACACAAACAAGTCAGGTACTCTTGATTATAGTGAATTTTCTTCTAACATGGATAAGATTTAAATCCCAGACACCAAAACTTACACCACAAAAGAACAATTATAGGAATCCTAATAAAATGTATCCAAGGCTGAGTTAGAAAAGTTATAAAATGATTAAGCTGCATTGCAAACAGCAGCTGATAGAGCAATTAGCAAGCTAAAATAAGCAGTTGCTTACTACAATATTAATCTTTATGATTTATTCAGAAAGTATGATAGTACTCGTGATGGAGTTCTTGATATAAATGAATTTGCTAGACTAATTCTCCAAATGGAACCTAATCTTGAAATTACAGATATTTTAGCAGCATTTGGTAAGTTTGATTCTGATTAAAACTACACTATCTCCATCAGTGAATTTTAAGATGCTATTAAGAACTGACATATATATATAATATATTCATTTATAAATATGACCAAAAGTAATTAGACATATCTGTTCATGCATTAAAACTTGTTTTTGTATAAATTTTAAACATTTTTCTATTTTAAATAAATAAAAAGAATTTTTCATGTATATTCATATCAAAATGATAAAGGTAATTAATAATTCTTTAAGTAAATTTTAGCTTTTTTTCTAAAATATTATAAATATACTCTATAAAATAAATATTTCAATTTAATTTATTTTATTTTACTTTTTACCGTTTTAAATAATTATAAAAACAAATTTTAATATATTGCATAGATAGATAGATATTGAAAAACTGATATTTATATACTGGTAATAGTGGATATCAAATAATTTTTTTTTTATTTTATTAAAAATTTTTTGCTTAAAAAATTTTTTTTTTTTCAAACACTTAGAGAAAAATTCTTTTTATTTCATCTCTGGTTTAAATAATATTTGATAATCAAAATTTTCTAAAATATTTACCAAAACATTATTTTGAACATATTAATAACAATTATCAAATAGGAGCTTATTTTGTTAAATTGCAAATTTTTAGTTAACTATAACAACATTATAATTTATGAATAGCAAAAATAATATTTAGAAAATCTTAAAATACATCTAACTAATACTTTCATAATCACTATCAATATTTAAAATATTATGAAATAATTTTTGAAAGCATATGTATAAATGCAATTAATAGAAGCCTTATCAAGTTAGAAATTAAAAATAGTTAAAATTAAGTATGATTTATGTTTAAAATAAGGTTAATTCTTATTTTATTAGATAAGAGCAACTTACAAACATGTAATAAATAGTTAATTAAAATATTTAAATACAAAAATAATGCAAATTTAGTTTCAGACATATATCTTTTATTTTTAATTAAATTAGCAAATTAAATAAATTTTAACTTTTTACAGAAAAATGTTAGATGAATATTATTTATTTCTCTTCAATTTTAATAGTTTTATGAATAAAAAATTTATTAAATATAAATTTGAATAAAATAATTATTGTTTTTAAATTAATGCTGATAAATAAAACTGTTATTTGTATATTAAATTTTGTTTTTATTTTTATTTGGTATAAAATTATTTAAATTTATCATAATAATCAAAAAATTATAAAAAATGAATTAAAATTATAATTTTATATAATAATTTACGTGAAATATTTTGATTGTTTGTCAGTAAAATATAATAAGCTATTAGATTTAAATTGTATTTTTTATTTAAAATTAATATTACTTTTTAATTATATTAATCTACTAATATATTATAAATTGGTATTTTCAAAATATCCAGTAATAAATAATTAGAATATATTGGTAGAATATATGCTTTTTTTTAGCTATTAAGAGCAATTTTAAATTGTTTTATACTTCTTTAACAGCTGTAATTTTAATTTAAAAGGAGTTTGTGGTTATGCTAGCTATGAAATTTTTTTTTACAAAAATTTAAAATCTACTATTATATAATAAAAATTTAGCTAATTTATGGCAGTTTAGATTTGCTTGATTTGAATTATATGTATATAAAAATGCATAAATGCGATTAAGCAAGCATTTATTTATAAATGAGATCAATTATAAAATCTTTAACATATTATTTTTGAAGATTATTCACTGCTTTTATATGACATAGAAGTATATGAATATTCTTTCCTTTTTTGATATTGATTAGAATAAAGAAATCGAATTAGATTATGATAGAAAGCTTTTTGTTAAAACTTTTTAAATATGTAGTATTTACTTACTTTTGTTTTGCAAAAGGAAAATAAATAATCTAAAAACAGGCTCTACTAATTTAAGAAGCTTAATCAGGAACTAAAACTTTATGAAGCATAACAATATATTTAATAATAAGAAAAATATTAACAAACAAACAAAATTAAAAAAGTTAATACAAAAGGTCTTTTTATTTATTGAACGAACAAGACTAGTTAGAAGAAGAAAAAAGGCATCACACACCCTCTTAGGGAAGCTAAAACTTTATAGTCTCATTCTTAAAAAAGAACCTTTGGTGAAAGAAAGGAGATTCATGAAAAATACATGTAACATTTTAACTTAAATAATTGCTCCTTTATCAGTTTCAAATTTCTGCATCTAATTATTCAGAAACTATTCTTAACTATATTAATACTTGTTTTTAAAAAAATATTAGAAAAACAAGAAAAAAATAAAGAACAGACGCCTACTGCGAGTAGCAGCAGTAACACTGGTAATATTAAGGTAGTTTGTAGAGTACGTCCACCTAATAAGAAAGAAATAGAATAATTTGAGTAGGGGTAGTAAAGATAATGTATTGATTTTGCTTCTGATGAAAAAACCATAAAATTAAATATACCCGATGCCGAAAAATACCAATTCACATTTGATAGAATATTTGCGCCAGATACTACTTAGCAAGCAATATATGAGTACTCTGCTAAACCAGTTGTTTAGAGTGTCTTGGAAGGATACAATGGAACTGTCTTTGCTTATGGGTAAACTTCTTCTGGCAAAACCCACACTATGCAAGGCCCATCAATAACTGACTAAGAATAAAAGGGTATAGTTCCACGTATGGTAACAACAGTTTTTCAACACGTCAATACAAGTCCAAGCCATATAGAGTTCAAAATAAAACTTAGCATAGTAGAAATCTACCTCGAGAAAATAAAAGATTTATTAGACCCATCGAAGGTAAATTTAACTGTGCGTGAAGATAGAACACATGGAGTGTATATATAAGACGTAACAGAGAAATATGTTACCTCAGAGAAAGAAGTTTTCAGTATAATAGATCAAGGAAACTAGAATAGATCTGTAGCATACACAAACATGAATGAAGGATCTTCAAGGTAAAATCAATAATTAAATCAATATTATTAATTTGATTTTAAACGAAAGATAAATTTGAAAGAAAGGATTAAAGATAAACAAAGATTAATTAATTAAATGAAACAAAAATATGAAATATAAATAAATAAAAATTCGATAATTTTAAGATTTAATAATTTTTAAACCTTATTGTACTAGACTAACAAACTAACCCATTTAATGAATCTATTTTTAAAATTACTAAAGGACCACATCAATTCATCTAATTTAATTTACAAAGGTTGTTTATCTATATCAATCAATCAATAACTTTCATAATATTTAAATAAAAAAATTGTACACTTCAAACAAATCTGAAAAGTTTTATGAATTTTTTGGTTATTGATTGAAATAAATTTAAAATTCTATAAATGCTTTTTTTTTATATTTTATTTAATTATTAATTATCGAATAAAGTTAATCTAAAATTAATTTTTAGAAATATTCATTAGATTTTTCATTGCATCTTTTCTTGCGCATTCCTAACCTTTAAATTATAAATTGACAAATATTAACCATCCACGATTAATCTTATTTATGATTTTTATTGATATCATTAAATCCACAAATTCTAAATTTAGTTTTAATCAATAATTTATTGTTAATTATCAATTAGGTCACATATGCTCTTTATCATGACTGTTTATCAGAATAATTTATAAGACTTAAGCGCAAAATCCGGAAAGCTATTTTTAGTTGATTTGGCGGGTAGTGAAAAAATTTCTAAAACTGGAGCAGAAGGTAAAGTCCTTGATGAAGCTAAAAAAATTAATTAGAGTCTGTCAAGTTTAGGAAATGTAATTAACGCCTTGACTGATGGAAAAAGTCAACATGTTCCTTACAGAGATTCTAAGCTTACGAGAGTTTTGTAAGAAAGTCTTGGAGGAAACAGCACAACCACGTTAATCATTACTTGCTCACCTTCTAGCTTTAACGATTAAGAAACTCTTAGCACTTTGAGATTTGGTATGAGAGCAAAATGTATTAAAAATAAACCAAAAATTAATAGAGAGTACACAATTTAGGAGTTACAACTAATGATACAGAATTAAGAAAAAATTATTGACGAACAAAAAAAGCAAATACGTTAATTAGAAAAGTAAATAGAGAACGGTAACTTTACTAACATGTCTACCATTTAAACAAATAATTCAGACACACTCAACACCTCCTAAGAAATAACAGAGACAGTAATAACTATTTATTTATTTATTTATTTTTATTTATTTATTTATTTAATATTTTACTTTTCTGTTTAAGTAAATATTAAAAATTTGAATTATGAATCCTAATTTAAATCATTTGTACCTAAATAGGACGAAAATATTGGAAGCTCTGCAATGGTTGACAAATGTATGGAGTTAGAGGCTTAACTCGAAGCTGAAAAAGCTAAATGCTCCAGCTATGCCTATCAACTCAACTAAGTCAAGAATGAGTTAAGCAATGTAACTAGCTAAATGGAGGCATTTTAGCAAGAGAACGAAGTTATGGCCAATAAACTAACTTAATTAGCTTTTTTGCTTAATGATTTAGAAACAGAAATGATAAATAATAAATTTAACATGGAGAAAAGCTAAAGCTCTAAATAAGCTATGATGCAACAAATTTCTTAATTCAGAAAAATTTAAGAGCAGTATAAGAATTAATTTTCAAATACTCTTAATAATCATTTCAATAAGAATCAAAGAGTGATTGAACTTGTTGGAGATGATGTAAAATAAATTAATAAAGATTTACTCCTTGTTTGCTAGACTAAACTTTCAGAGGAAGAGTTCAAACTATTTTTAAATCAAATGATAGTATAAAAAAATACTAACTAAGAGGAAATTCCTATAGCAGATTACAATAATGTTTAGCAAGAATTAGAGTAAGAAAAGTAATTGAGGTTATAAACTGAATAGGAACTTTAAACAGCTTAAGAAGAAAATAGCAAACTCCTTAAAATCCAAGAGTAGCTTCAAGCTGACTTAAGTTCTAAAAATTCAATTAATAGTGAGGCCAACAAAGAGCTGAACGAAATTTAATTGAATAAAGAAAGGTAGCAATTCAAACAAGCTAAAGAAAAAATACTTGATGAATTAAAAGAAAAAGTCAATAAAGTTCTTGTCCTTGAATCTGAACTTGAGAACCAAAAATCTTTAGCAAAGAAATATGAAGATGAACTAAAAAAGAAAGAAAACGACTAATAATTTAAAATTGAATACTTAGAAAAGAATTTAGAACGCATGATGACTATGTATGAGAATCTTTTCAGCAAAATGATGCTCGATAAGAGACAAGATGACTAAGAATAAAAATTGAAAGAAAAAGAAAAACAAATTTAAAAGCTTGAATAAAAATTGAATGAATCAATGTGTAAAAATTATGTATCTAAAAATTAAATAAAAAGACTAAAATCATTCTAAGAAGAAGAATAAATAAATCCAAAATCCACTAATAACATTCTTAGTGCTTTAAACAATGACTTTTAAAATAACTTTGGTCATGTAGATGATGGTAATGATACAGATAAAACTGAAATAAATAGAACTGTTAATTCTTCTGACTTCAGCTAAGATCCCATAAATGAATCGTTAGACGATGATAATATGGGTGATAATTTTATTTAGAATATAAATAATAATTAAAATATGATTAGCGAAGATGACTAAAATAATTTTGATATATTTAAGAAAAGTACATAAAACTTTAACCATAGACGAGAAACACACCATAGAAAGAATAGAAGCAACTCAACAGCTGGAAACTCCCCTACTTCTAAATTCCAAAAACCAAGTAAAATAACTGACCTTCACTTAGATTTCACGCTTTTAGAATAATAAAACTTGAATAGAAATCTAAATAATAGCTTCTCAGCTGTTCATAAGCTATCTCGTAAAAAAAGCGAGCCTCAATAATATAATTTATCTTAATTTAATTAATAACACAAAATTAAAAGCCAACAAGAAATGCTATTCAGAGGTAATAGCAGCTAAAGCCTTAATGCTTCAATAGATTATGGTAAAAATAGAAAAAATCAACCTTCAATAGCAATTTAAAGGGTTAATAATGACATTGGTTTTGACATCTAAGAGGTTGATGATGATAATGTGAGCGAAGCTTATAACAGCATGAACAATCCTTAAAATTTTGCATTCAACAATAAAAACTTTTAATAAAATAAATATAACTAAAATAACAATAATAATTATAGATAGTAACAAAATTTATTCCCTAACAACCAAATAGATTAATATTAATCAAATCAATAACAATTTAATTCAAATTAGCCATATCAATAGCAAATTAAGTAGCTTCCTGTTAAGGTGAGCAGCTTAAATATTTAAGGTTTGAATTTAACTTCGAATAACATGAACTATCCTTATTCAACACAACCTTCTAGTAGAATTCAAACTGCTCGTAGAAAATATGATGATAATAATAGTATAGTAGGTGATGATAACGATTACTATAATATATTAAAAAGCACAGAAACTGAAGGCAATACTAACAACTCAGAAATGCTTTCATCACAAATGAAAATACCAGTTACTCCAAGCTCAATCATTATGGGGTAATCTAATTAAAAAAACCTTCCTTTTGTAGATTATATGATGAATTAACAAAAAAATTTAATTTAAAACACAATTATATAAAGAAAAAATACTAACAATTTCAATTAGTCTTAAGTTAACACTACAGAAACATCTGATAGTGGCAAAGGCAATAATAAAAAAATTACTGGGTCGGATATCCTCAGAGGTAATCCTGCCTTATCTCCTTTTATCAATACTTTCTCTTTTAAACTTCTTAATCTTTAAACGAACTGTATATATGCATATTGAATTGGTGTTCTTGTCTGTATTCTTAAGACAGCTTCACCGTCATTTAAAAAAAACCTTCTTTTCTTTTCTTTTTTTAATTTTTATAATTTTCAAAATAAAATAGTTAAATTCATTAATAATTTTAAAACAGTTTATTGAATTTAACTTTTTATTTTAAATATTAAATAAAAAAAATTTTTATTTTGATTAAATTAATTTTAAGAAATTAATTATAATTCCTATTTTTCAATTTAAATAAGTTTTTATTTTAAAAATAACTAAAAATGTTAATTTAGATTAATATTTTTGAATGATTTAAAATAAAATAAAAATTAATTTCTAAATCTAAATGAATAAATAACAAATTATTTTAAATAAGAAGAATAATTATGTTTAATTTTTAAATAAAGGTTTTACTGAATATTTTTTTTGGTTTAATACTTAAAAAATTTTTTATTGAATATTTTAAACTGATTATGATCAAAATACTGAAAAAATGTTGATTCTTTTACACTAGAAAAAAAGCTTCACTTTCTTACAAGTAATGAATGGAACATGCATTTGTTTACAAATAAAATGTTTAAATACTTCAAATGAAAGGTTTATTTTCAATAGAGAAATCAGTAGAAGGTTAAGACATTATTTCTCCAAATAAAGCTTCTAATTAATCATAATGATGGTCTTTTTTAGGACTCATCTCCATAATATTTGAGGTTGTTGGATTTAAGTTTGTGAAGAAATCTTTTAAATAAATCTATTTTTTAAATTTAGTTTAATATTTATATTTTGTATTTAAGATTGAAATACATTTTTGGAGTCCTTTCTAGCATGTGTATTTGTATATGAGAAATCTCCTTATAAATATTCTTTGGTCCACTCTCTCATTATATCTGATAATAAAGAGTCTTTATTTCTAACAAATTCGTTTGTTAAGAAGAGGTAATTTGCCCTAGAAAATCTTGAATTTATAATAATACATGGATTTAAAATTATATATCTAACAATTTTATATACCTATCAACAATAGACAAATTTATATGAGAGTCTTTTCCATAAGAGTAGGAGTATTATCCTCTTGAGCTACTTCCAATACCAAAAATGTTAGGATTTGTATCAGGTTTGAGTTTTTCAAAAATAGTAGCTGCTGAACAACTGTCACTAAACATTAGCATTTCATTATAGCTATTTTATTTAAATTGAATTATTAAATGAAAATTAAGGACTAAGTAATTACAAATTTTTGATGTTGAATTCCTCAAGTGCTACTCTCATTTCTTCATCCATCATAACATCTGTATCTTGCATCTTAATGTAACCACTACCACCATGACCTGTAAAGTAAGTCAAAATCTTTGTATTTTTGTTAGTAACTAATCTCTTTGATCTAGGAGTCTTTTATTTATTAAATTAAAATAAATTAGCAAATTAATTCAAAGTCTTTGATTAATTAATTAGTTTATTTAATAATAAACGCGTGTTTTTTATGTATAGTTTGTGTCTTATAAATCAGGTATACATTTTATTTGTTTTAAAATTAATAATTGATTACATATCTATGATATTTTCCTCTTAACATGTTTGTGAGAGTATGAACATTAACATCAGATAACTTATAATCTATTTCACTGTTTCTATACAAATTAGGTTCACTTTCTAGCTCTAAATGACAAACAACACCTTTTAATATTTATTTTTAGATTATTATATTAAGTAATGAATGCTTATAAACTAAAATTAAACCTGGATTATTATTTCTTGGATTGCAAGCTGAATTTTCAGGGATCATTAAAATAATCTATTTTGAAAGTTGAAAAGTGAGTTAAATTATAATTGTTTTCATAAAATTAATTTACATCTTCATCTTTTACTCCGTTTTTCTTCAAAACATCGTAGATTAATAGTGTATTAGTTGCCTATCTAAAATTGAACCAAAACTTAGAAGTACTCATAATTATAACTTTCAAATCATGTGCTTTTTCACTACTAACTTGACATATTAATAAAAGAAAGACTATCACTAATGATAAAGAACTTTAAAGCTTTTTCATTTAACTTTTTTATGTATATTTTTAGAAATAAATTAAATATCTTTTGTCAAAATCTAATAATATTAACTTTCTATTTATAATTTATGATTTTCAGTTTGCAATCTTGTTTAGATAAATAGATAAAAAAATAAGATATACAAATAGAATTTAGTAAAAAAGATTTTAACTGCAAAAATATATATTTAAAAATATTTAAATTAAATTTTAGAAATATAATTTTTTCTTGATTTAAAAACATTTTTTAATTTTTATCAAAAAAATTACATTTCTCCTCAAAATTCTTTTAAAATTTAATTCATAATAGCAATTTAATATATACTTAAAAAGCAGTATGTTTAATTATCAAATTCTTACCAATCAGTGTATTTAAATTTTTTCAAAATTATAAATCAGCAATTTAATATTTTTATAAAAATTACAAATAAATAATTTTTAACTAAATATACTAACAAACTAGGTAATTAAAATAGGATTTTATTTTATGGATCTTAGCAAGTAAATTTGTTTTCATTTGAGAAAAGTTTATTAATCTTTTTATAATTATTAGACAGAGTATAAAACCATTTAGTATCAAGAATGATAAAGAAAAAATAATGAGTATTTTGAGTAAATATGTGCCATAGTACAACATTAGTAACACAGAATATCATTCAGCAATTGACACAATTAAAAGTGAAATTGAATCAAATTAGAGCATAGTCTCTAACTTATAAAGTAATGGAATAGCATTATCTTAATATATGACTGGAGGATCCACCCTTTCTAGGGATTCTATATTCTCAATAAAAAGAAGTGGATTTAATTTTCGAAACTCTAAAGATCGAATCATCTAAATAATGGAAAAAAACGAAAAAGATTCTTTTCAAACTATGGATATGAGTCATTAATTTGTAAATACTCTAGACTAATAACAAACCATCAGCTAAAAGAATAAATAATTCAACTTCAGATAAAGAAAATCCTAATAGTGAATTTATAAAATATAAAATGCTGAAAAAAAATATTCAAGTAATTAATCAAAAAATTTAATGAAAATTAAAATAGAATCTTTGAAATTAAAGTGTATTTTAAAAGATAAGTTTAATTAATCCTACTAAAATAAGTAAATAAATAAATGTGTAAAAAGAAAAATATAATTTATTGATATAACCAAATATATTATCCATTTAAAACAATGAAATACCTCCTTAATAAAAATAAAAAATATAAATTCTTTTTCCTTTTTTCTTTCTATCAAATACAATAAGTTATGTTTGTTTATATTCTCTATTAAAATGTAAATTTTCAATTATTATTTCAACATAAAAAAATCTTTGAAAATTTTCTCAAATTATATCAAAAATTCAAGGTATTGAAAAATATTGAAAATATGTTCATATTTTAACATTTGTTTCTTATAGATTACTTTTATTTATTCATAGCTATTGAATTTTTTATTTTAAAAAAGAAGCCCTAAATACTTTCATAAAAATGAAAGGAGTAAATAAAGAAGTTTTCAAAATCCCTTTTGTAATAGAATAATAATATTAAAAAAGAGAGCTTTTAAGTAAAGTTTAGTATAAATTTGGAAATTAATCTTAGAATAGAAAATATAGAGGCTATTATTTCAATTAATTTTTATAAGAATTAATCTGATTAATTAATTATCTTTCTATCTACTATCTATCTATCTATCTATCTATCTATCTATCTATCTATCTATCTATCTATCTATCTATCTATCTATCTATCTATCTAATTATCAGTTTTTAATATTTTATATTTTTATAGTATTAATAAAAAGTTCATTTGTTTATTTAGTAAAGATATTTTAATAGCTATTATATATAGAAAAGGTAGTTAGCTTAAATGAGTAGTCCTTAGGATAGAGAAAATCTAATATCAAATGCCATTTTAGTGAGAAAAAAGGATATTCATAAGTATCTCAGTTAAAATAATTATTATTTATAAGATCATCTTAAACCGATTTATGAAGAATTTGCAAAATCATTAAAAGATATAGATGTAAATAGCCATGAGTTTATCTTAAAAAATAGAATCTTTCTTAATACAATCAACATTCAAAATCTTGAGTAGCTTATCGATTCTTACTATTAAGAAGATTTAGATAAAATTAAATAAAGCGAATTAGAAATAATCAATATGCTTTCACTATGGATGCCTGACATTACTTTCAACGAAATTATACCTATAGATAATCAAAAAGGATAGTTGAAAAGAGTTGTTATTTAGTGCACATCGATTTGCAAAAATGTGAAAATAAAGTTTTACATGAAAATAACTGTCAAAAATATATAAAATATAGGAGATATGGTATAAGAAAAGGAACATTTTAATTAAATTTGCTCTTATTCAGCAAGATTTTTAAGTATGAAGTATCAAAAGGTAATTAGTGAACATTTGATTATTTCAGCTTCTTCAGTTGGTATTTCTAAAAATTTGTAAAGAGGAATATCAAATAGAGAAGATGTTTAAAATAAACACTATTTGGATATTGTTCTTACTGATTTTTGTGAGTATACTTTAAGATAGATCATTTACTATTCAAAGCAGGCATCAAAATAACAAGAGTAAAAATAGGAGTTAATGAGATAAAAAGTTAGCACAACCTCTACCTATTATGGAACAGCAAGCTTGCAGCAGATATAAAATTCGTTGAGCTAGACTTAAACATTGATAGAAAAATTTTCATTTTAGCATCTTTAGAAGGATCTAATTGAAGCTTTGTTCTTTATGCACACAAGAGGATATACGCATAACTCTATAAATTTAGATAATATTTTTTATGATAAGTATATAAATGCATTTGTGGTTGGTGGCTTTGACGCAATCAGTACAAATGTGAGGGATTATGATAAATTTCGTGATGATGTTCGCTAGTTTGGTTTAGTACTTATTGAATTTTTGTTGTCATTTTATAATATAAAAATTTAAGAGGATTTATACACATTAGATGATATCATGATAAGAAACTTGATTGAAAATCTTAGCTCAAATAAAATAATTTAATCAAAAAAAAATTTTATTTTACTAAATTTAAACATATTTTAATAAAGAAATATATTGTTTGACATATTTTGTGCTAGTGATAAAACTAATTATTCAAAAAATTCAAATGATATGTAATTAATTGCAGATAATTAAAACAAGTTAAAATATTCGGACTAAGATGATATTTCTAATTTAGCTGACAGGCCATTTGATATTGTTGAATTGGCTATAGCTTTGAATATTCAACACTGCTTAGTCACTTCATCTCATTCAACTATGAAAAGTTTTCTTACTTAGAATGATGTTTTTGATGAAAAAAGTTTAGCTTCCCATCTTATAGATCCACTTAATAACAAATATTCTTATTGGAAATATAGAGGTACTACAAAAAACGGATTATTTGATGGCCTAGGTGAAATTTTTTTTGAACCTCCTTAGCTTTTTGACTAGTTAGATGAAGTTCTTTATTCTGACTGTGAAGATGATTTGGCTACATCTAAGAAATAATAATCATTAACTTCACCACCTGTAATTTTTAATTAGGTACCCTATAAATTTTAAACACAAAATTCTTTCTATGAGGATTCAAATTGCCCTGAATTAGAAAGTCATAGATTAAACTAATTAACCACTCCACACACTGTGAGTAGGACAGCTAGTAAAGCTGGAATGCATTATTTCAATGTTTCAAATTGCCAAGGTTTTCATGATAGACTATCTGTGGTAAGAAATGAAGAATCAAATTATTTTCACTCAGACTTAAAACAATAAAAAATATCACTTAAAATATTTAAAGGAATTTGGGAAAACGGATTTAATTAAAAGTATTTAAACTATGTTACAACTGAATAGTTTAAAGATTTTTTCTTATTAAATAACTATTTGAAAATAATTTAGCACAATAGTCATTAAGAGCTATAATTTAGCGTAAAATCTGAAAAGCCTACAAAAGCTATTGCTTCAAGTAAAATCATAGATCTCCAATTTTCTACATAAAAAGAGCAAGTAATAGATTCACTAAATGTTATTACAAAATACCTCCAAATTCCTATAGCAAGAATAACATTTGACCTGAAAGGTATTTCATTATTTAATTTAAAAATTTTTCTTTGATATTTTAAGAGGATTTTAATATTTTAAAAGTTTTTAAATATAATTAATTTTAAACTAAATAAGTGAAATTATTAAAAAATATAGTCTAAAATTTAAATAAGTAGGATAAACTTATAATTCAAGCTGCAATATTTTTTTAAATAGCAAATTTAATAGAGTGTTATCATTGAAAATAGAAAATTAGAAATTCTTGTGGAATCTTCAAAACTAAATTTTTAATTTTTTTTTAAAAGGTGCATAATAGAGAAAAGTAACAAATGAAGCATAATGCATAGAATTACAATGCGATGATGGAAATACTCTTTATATTTTATTTGAGAGTAATTATTTGTTAAAAGAGGAAGAGTTCTATATTATTTTGGAAAAAGCTACTTTATCTAACTATTTAGCTTTGTAAATGTCAGACACAAAGATAACAGATAAATTTTTTTATGGAATGTCATTTAATACAAAACTTAAGTATTTATGCCACCTTTAACTAGCATACATAAATAAAATTACTGACGAAGGATTTATTTATTTTGTTAAAAATTGTCCTTCATAACATTTGAATTCTTTAGATATCTCTCATACTTAGCTCTCTAACATATCTATCATGGAACTTGCAACATCAAATAAAATTACTTAACTGAACCACTTGAATATCTCATATAATTCTTTAATAAATGAAAAATCAGTTATTGAATTTATTAAATCTTCAAACTCTCTTTTTATTTCTCATTTGAATGTTTCTGGGCTTGACATATCAGATAATTTAGTTGATATTCTCTGCTTAAGTCCATTCATGAAGAATATAACGGAAATTATTATGAATGACTGTCCTAACATAACATTTAGGATTTTCGAAGTATTTTCTAAAAGTGAATCAGTGAATTATATCAAAAGGATAGAGCTTTCTAATTGTTTACAGCACTCAAATATAACTGCTGCAAAAAAGACTGGGTAAAAGAAAAAATGTTTTATCACATAGATTACATTTAAAATTATTTTTATTTAGATTTCTAAATGGCCTTCTTGACAAGAGAAAGAGTAAGTAAGAATTCAAATCGTTTGCCAAGACAGATAAATTAGGGAATTTGAGAGTGATAAATTTATAAGGTTGTAATATCTTGCACAACCATATAAAATAATTAGCTGATTCTCATTCTTTGAAATAAGTTGAAGAAATCAATGTTTCTAGGTGTGATCATATGACTGATGAGTGTATAAAAGAAATATCTACCTCTCAGAATTTCTAAAATTTGAAAGCATTATATCTAAGCAACTTGAAAAATTTAACTGCTGTTTCTATCGAGCTAATAGGTAATTCTAAGTATCTAATTAATTTAGATACTATTTATTTAGATGGATGTGACAAGATAGATAAAAACATTTTAATAAATGCCATGAACTTGAACAATTTTTAGAATTTAAAAGTTCTTCGATTCGATGAGACTTAATATTCAATTTCATTAATTCGATAAATAAATTTCTCAAATAAAAATAGCGTCCAAACATTCTGGAGAATGTAAAGTATAGAAATTTTAATTTAAAACCCAGATCTATTTTTTAAGCTCTACATATCCGAAATCTTAACTCTAAATTAAAAACCAATAAGGTTCATAGTTTCTAAACAAAATGTAAGTATTTAACAAATATGTATTGTATATATTAAAAATATTGGTTTTAATAGGAGCCTAGTGTCATTTAAAAGCTAGCATTGATTTTGAACCACTAGATAATAAATTTTTAGGAATCAAGTTGTCGGATTAACGTAAATGATATAATGCTAAATGAAAAAATGATTGACGAAATTAAGAGGTAAAAAAATTAAAACATAAATAGTTTCTGCTACACAGACATTTGCACTTTAGGAAATTACAAAGCAGTTCAAAGAACTATCTAAACAGACAATGTAAAAAAGGAGAATGTTTCTCTTGATCAGTCATTTGTTGTTATAGATGGGTTTGAAACAAAATCACAACCATAAAGTACAAAATAAATTATAAACCTTCCTCATTCTTTCTACGAATAAAAAGTTTATTGCAGAAACGAATGCTTTAAAGCTATGCACTATTTAAAATTTGTCAAAGAACTTTCCAAGTTAGATCTATCTTACAGCAAATCTATAAATCTCCCTGGCTATCAATTTATTAAGGAATGTGTATTCTTTCCAAATCTTATCGAATTAAATTTGCAAGGTCTTTAAATATTGAATAAGCATGTCTAATAAATGTGTTATGGAATTTAGTTCACAGGTCTTCGTATTTTGAACCTTAGAAACTGCTCAAGCCTAACATTTTAAGGTTTTGAATATTTTTTACAATCAGGGATTACTGACACTCTTCAGTATTTAGACATTTACAATAGCTAAATTGAAGGAACTGATTTCTCTTTATGCTTGCCTGATTTTGCTTTTCTTAGCTAACTTAACCAAGGATAAATAAATATAACTTTGTAATATTCCAAATTTTATTTTTTTATTTGTTAAAAATGATTTTTTTAAAGCTGACCTAATTAAAAAAAAATGTTTATAGAAGATAAAAATATTCTTTTTGACACTTTTTTTTAGAAATAAATAAGATATCCACGATGAAGAGAAGGTAAAGAAGAAGATAGGTTTACTTTTTGCCAAAATAAGGAGTCTCTTTTATATAAATTAAATTTCATTTCAAGTTTATAAGCTAAAAATAACTAGCTAAGTGTTCTCAGGTCTTTCTAGCATCTTTTAAGACCATCAAAACACACTAAGAAGTGTGTAGGTTATATTTTGCAAGTATAAACTAGCATTTTTGATTCCTATTAATCTACAATTAAATATATTTTTTTAAATCTAAAGCGCTAAGAACATGAATTCTGAATAAAGTATTAGTTTTTGGAGTAGCATAGCTCAACTTTCAAAGCTGAAGAGTATAAGCTTGGTATTTTAATCTTGTAAAAATATTGATAAGCAATTTCTAAAAAATTTATTCTTTGGTGTATCTGTGCTGATTTAATTAGAAGAAATGCACTTAGTTTTCCCTAAGACCGAATTTATTATTAATAATGAAGATTTTACACCAGTGTGTGTTGCAATGACAAGATTATAGAAACTTTAAATTTTAGACATAAACTTGCATGAGTAAATAAATATATATTTTTTTATAAATGTATTTAGTTTTATTAAAAATGCAAATAGAATTCCTTTGGTCAACAATTAGTTTTTGGAGGAGTTAGTTTATATAGTAGGAAATCTAGAAAACATTAGAAGTTTATCAATTGATTATTCATGGATTATAAATTTCTAAATGTCTAATATATTGAAGTTGTTTGAATCACTTGAAGCATCAAAAATGAAGCTTTTAACACTAAACTTAGATTTTGAAATGTATTTTAGTTAGATTCATTGTTTTTATTTTAAAATAAAATAAACATTTTTAGGTGCACTTTTAATCAAGCAATATGGAAAAAGATGAAAAAGTATATTCTTTCTCAAAGCACACTGATAGAGCTTAATCTTAACATTTCATAGTAAATTAATTTATTACTCATTTTTGATTCTAACAAACTTTGTAAAAAAATAGTTGTGTTGAACTAAAAGAAAAATCTATTGTAAAATTTATAAACCAGTGTCTGGAGCTAAAAATGTTGAAAGTGTTAAAGCTTTTAATGTGGGGGTAAATATAAATTGAGAATTGATTATTATAAAAAAATATATTTTCATTTATTTATTTATAAATAAAGAGTAGGAAAAATAACTCAGAAAAGTAAAGATATTTTAAAGTAAAACACCAACATATACTTAATAGATACATTCGATTTATCTATCTAAGAAATTTAATGATATAATCAATTTAATAAATATAATTTGCTTGCAGTTTAATTTGTTTTGTTTGAATAATAAAAATAATTTTATCAAGGTCTGCCAATATTTAAGACTATTTTATTAACTACAAATTTGATGGATAATTAGATGAATGTATGAATAGACGGATGAATAGATGGAAGGACTGATGAGTTTTCATACAACTTTTCAATTATAAAATAATTTAATCCTATTTATTTTATGCTAATATTTTTGTAAATATTCTATATAAATAAATTGTTTTATACTTTAATTTATAAATTCTGCTCTCACTTAAAATCTATTTCATAGATAATTTATTTTTATCAAGTTGATATGCTTTGTTAATATTACTCGCATTCTTTGTTTTTTGATTTTCTTTAAATTCTTGATCGCAATAGACGATTATTTAGAAATTAAATAAAAATAATAAAAATCATCAATACAAATAAAGAAAATATATAGCTCTAAAATGGGATTACCAATTAGAAATATCCAATTCGCTAGATATCACTATTTAGCTGCAGTTACCGTTTTCACTTACTTTGCTACTCGTTGCTGCTTATTAGATTACAAGAAGTACTATCCTTTAGCTTCAGTCAAGAAGATTTGAATTCTCTGAATCTTTAAGAGGGTTTTTATAATTTTCTCTAGATTGAATCATTAGATTAATAGCATGTAATAAAGCAGTAAAAACGGATCAAAATAGTTAAACAAACGATATTAATTTATAGAATTAGAAATAATAGTAAAATTGATAACTTTGTTGCTATTCGTATATGCATGTTTTAATCTAAAGTATTGCACTATCTTATCACATTATCCTATTATTAAATTTATTTCTCCCATAATTATTTACAAATATAATTTCTCTGCTTTACTTTCAAAAATATATTATTTCTATCAAATTGCAAATATTGATGAATATATTAGAATTTTTATATAATTTTACAATTGAATATTTTATTTTTTATTTGTTAAAAAAGAAAAAAACGTGTTATTTAAAATATATTATAAATATCTAGAAAAACAAAAATTATATACAATATACATATCTTTTATTGTTTTAAATAATAAATTATTTGTTACTGTAAAAACAAGAAGATTCTAAATTAAAAGACCTGCTTTGAAATGTTTGATAAGAAACAAGCAAACTATTAAAAAATAGATTCTAATTATTTATAAAAAATAAAATTATGAATTTAAAATATTTTTTTTAAATCAGAAATATTACAAAAAAAAAATTAAAAATTGATTTAATTTCATTGAAGGCTGTATATAGGTGTAAATTCGATTTTTAATAAAACTTATTCAATTATAATATAATTTTTCAATTGTTTCAACATAATCTAAAATATTATATTAATCAATATTTGCTGCTTGGATTTTAGTTTATTGAATATTTATTCCTAAGTAAAATACATTCGAGTATTTTAACGTGAAGCCAAAGTTGAGAAAATCTTCTTCAATTTACTATTATGTAAATTTTTAGTTATGTTTTATTTATATATAAAAATTAACAGCTATAAAGCATAACAATATTCGATAAAGATAGTTAAAATTGAAAAAAATTAAATATTATAAAGCCCAAATAGCCTATTTACTAATAATTAAAAAGAAAATTAAGTTTACATAATATTTTATAAGCAAGTAAGATAGTAAGATAAATAAATAAGCAAGTAAGTAAGTAAGTTACGCAATTATTATAAGGCTTGTTATAAAAATATTTCCATAAGTTCAATCTGTAGATTCAAAAGTTTATGAGTATTAATAAATCTATATCTCTAGGTGTCTTAGCAGATAAATAATAAATCATTATGTAGTAGGATATATTTTCTCAAAATGGTAATTCATAAAATACTAAAAAAACATATTAAACAATATATTATCAATATAAAAGGATAAAAAAGTTAAAATTAAAAGCAATAAGAGTCATTCATCCCAATAACAAATTTGGATAATCAACAAAACCATGGTTAAAAGTTTGAATCTGGTAAATTATATAGAATACTTTTTTTAATTATTTATTTTGTTTTTTAGATGAGTAGGATGAAGAATTTAGGGATGAAACAGAAGAATAAAATTTAATTAACTAACTGATCTCCATTTTAGGGAATGAAGAATATAAATTACAAATACCTGGTAGATTCTTTAATTTAATTCATATAAAAAGTTATTTTAGAGACGTAATAAATGAGGTTTGCTAAAATTACTAATTAAACATAGAATTATTATGCCATATTTAATGATATTTTTTTATCTCTAAAAAATATAGAAAACTTGAAAAATGAAGCATTGGCTTTGTTGAGAACAAAAATGATTATTAATAACTAAAATGGCGGCGAAAACAATACAATTTATTAAAATTAGATAAATTAAATTCTTGGAAAAGAGCAGTCTAATAAAAAGAATGACGAATAATTTTCGAATTAAAACTCTGGGGCAAAAACTAATTCTTAAAATTAGCAATAAGAATAACAACTGAAAATTCAGTAGCTTTAGTAATAGCTTAACAATTAATATGGTTTGAATTAGGAACTCATAAACTCAAACGAGGAATAAGACAACAGAATACAGTAAGAATACTACAGTGAGAAAAACAAAAGTAATTAATAGTATTCAAGCTATTAAGCAAATTATTAAACAAAAACTGATTAAAATTGGTAGCCTTCTTATTAAGATTAAAGGTATGGACCTCCTGAAAATTCTAAAACTGATTAGTTTTAACAGAGTTAGCAGTAACCAGTTTCCTTTGCATGCTCTCCTACCACAAATACCAACATTTTAATTCCAAATAATTCTAATGAGTAAAGCAAAATTATTTTTAAATTATAATTTAACTTTTTATTTTTTTAAATATGAAAAAAATAAACTAATTAAAATTTCTAAAATAAAATTTAAAAAAATAATTATAAAAGTCCAAAGAGCATCATTAACGTTAACGATTTACTAAACAGAGTTAACCCAAAACAATTGTAAAAAGGGAATTAAGAATACAATCAATTGAATTAAAATCATTTAGAAAATATCACTGAAGAACCTAGTTTCAGCAATAACAATTCAAACAGTAAATACAATGGTAGCTCAGCTAATAAAAAATAATCCTTTTTTTAAGCTAAAAATGCAGTTTAAAAGAGACAAACTTCAACTTCTCCGATATCAAAAAGCTAAAAAACTTTCAATTAAAATACGAGAGGAAGAACTGATAACAATAGCAGCAATATTAATAGTACCAGCAGCAACAATAATAGTAGCAACTATGGGTACACATTTAACAATAATAGCTTATTAAATAACATTAATAAAAACAACTACAGCAGTACAATCACTAACTAGAATCCTAACTATTTAAATAACATGAGTGACAGCGGTAAGAAAAGAACTGCTTCCTCTTCAGTTAAAAAGATAAGCAGATCATTCTACAGTTAAAATAATAACAATAACAATAATTTTAATAGCACAAATGGAAGCACTATCCTAAATAATAGCTTTACTTATATCAGTAATAGTGGTAATTCATAGAATTACTAGATAAAATTGCTTAATAAAATATTTTAGAGTGAAAAAGAAAACAATTAAAATGAAATATCTGATATGATAACTCCTTAGAAAAATTCAGGTTCTTTGAATAAAAGATAACGTACCATGACTCACTCTCATTCTTTGAATAAGACATTTGCTTAGCCTAGTAATTAAATTATATTAAAAGCCCAGCAGTTATTTATAAATTTTTTGTATTCTTTAGGTAAACAATTGTAAAAAAACCCCTAAGAACTCAAAAAGCTAAAGATTTCTTCTTTCTAAAACTTTAGTCAAGGTGCTATTGGAAAACTTTAGATCCTAGAAAACGTAAAAATAAAAATTTTTATAATTTTATTTTTACTTAAATAAAAAACTTAAAAAAGGAAATTAAAAGTAGCTAGGAGCAAAAGAGGTTATTATAGGAATAGATAAACTAACTTAAAGCTGATATTGCTCTTGAGAAGAAGTGGTAAGAAGAATCTACCTTGAACAATTAAGTTCTACAAAACCAAATGAATAATATCAATAAAAACTGCAGTGTAAATTTGATTTAAAATAATTTTTCGATATATGAATATTCCATTTGTAATTTAGATGCTGATTTATGATGGAGTGCAAAAGAAAAAGCTTTTATCTGACTCTAGATTAGAAATAAAGGAAATTGAAAATGATAAAGAATAAATTATGAATAAAATTGAAGCTATTAACCAGTAAACTAAGTAAGAAAAAGAATACATTTACACTTATAAAGTCTTGATAGAAGAGATTAAAAAGCAAATTAAAAATGAACTTGTAAATTTTTTAAATTCACATAAACAAAAATAAAATTTAAATTATTTTTTTAGAAATTAAGAAATGATTTAAAAGAAAAAGTACAAAATAACAAAAAAATGCTTGAGAGCCTATAAGTAAAAAAAGATGCTCTGGTATAATTATTTTTTTTTATATTTTAAATTTAAATTAATTTACTTTTTTTTATAGTTTAATAAAAACTGCACAATCATATAGAGTGTTGAATAGTCCTTAAATAGGTATTTTGAAAAATAATGAGTTAATGGATGATTAACTGCTTTTTTTATTTGTTATTATTACCTCAATAAATTGATTAAAAAATAAATTAATTTTCAACTTGCATTAATTGTAAATAAGAATATAATTATTAAATAGAAAATTAGAAATTATGTAAAATTAATTTCTTTATAATTAAAACATTATCAAAATCTTTATTTTTTACTTGTTTATGTATTTCTTTCTTTGTTTGTTCATATTTGTATGTATTAATGTATGTATATAGATCTGTTAAATATTAAACATTCACTTAGCATTTAATTTTGATGAAAGATACAAAATTTTTATTTTAAGATTTTTGATTTAAAACCTAATTAATTAATTATTTATATTATTCTTGCAGCTTTTCAATTTATTAATTTACTTAATCAATACACCTTTCAAATACAAATTTGTACCACAAAATGACTCTTAAATCAATTGCTGAATTAGGTCATAAGATATTGTTTTTTGGCAGCGACTCTTTTGCTTATCCTGTTTTGAAGAGTCTTCATAGCCATTCAAAATCAAATCCTGAATTTATATCTGACGTTCAAGTGGTAACTCATTTCAAAACAAGCAAAAGCAAAAAAATAACTAATCAAGTAGAACAATATGCTTTGGATTAATCACTAAGTAAGTATTGGTTATCAAATAAAATACTAGTTTTTATTTTATTTTTAAGAAATATATTAGCCAATAGGGCAAACACCTAATAACAGAAAAGCTGAGTGGTAGCAATTCTATTAGAGCGAGTTATTTTAAAATAATAGTTTTAATTTGGGAATAGTATGTTCTTATGGCTATATGATTCCTTCATATATTATTGATAGATTTACTGAAGGTGATTATAATTTTACTGATAAAGATTGAAATTTTAAGAATCATTTAAACTTTATTTGAATATAAAAATCTATTTTATCTAAATTAAAATTTTTCATCTTAAAGATATCATTATTAGTATTTAAAACTTTAAACAATATGTTAACTTTTATCTAAAATTTATGATCTTAGCAATAGAAAATTCTATATTTTTATTATATCTTGAATTTAATTAATAGGTATGCTAGTTATTCATCCAAGTTTATTACCAAAATACAGAGGAGCCTCTCCTTTGTAATATGCTCTTCTTAATGGAGATAAATAAACAGGAGTTTCCATTATCGAAATTAGTAAACTAAAATTTGATGCTGGCCGTATTTTGAAATAGTCTCTTTTTAAAATTCCTCGTGAATTCACATATACTGACTTATCGAATTCACTTGCTTAATAATGTATTTTCTTATTTTTATTTAAGCAAGATGCAAATAAAAAAGAAATTTGAATATACTAAATACCATTTACTTTATTTAATAGCAAGCATAGATATTATAGATGTATTAGCCAAGTACAAGGAATATAAGTAAAATAGCTTAGAATAAAAAGAAGAAGAATATACTAAAGCACCTAAATTCTAAAATTCAGATACACATTTGAATTTTGAAATTGAAGATAATTAATAAATTTACAACAGATACAGATGCTTCAAAGGAACTAATTTTGTGTCAGTAAGGACAAAGTATAATTCAAAAGAAATCATAATAGAGAAAATGAGCTTACCAAATGCTAAAGAACAAGAATAATTAAAATTACTAATAAATAGCAAGCCCGGTTCTATATGGGCATTTAAGTAAAAATCTATGAAGAATTATGTTTATGTAAAATGCAAAGAAGGCTTTATTAGAATTGATGATTGGAGGTTCTTTGACTAATTATCAAGACCTGCTTATACTTTTGTTGATTAATTTATTAATAGAGAGCAGATGAGTTAGGATTTATAAAGAGAGGGATATATTTACTTTTAAAAGATAGAAACTGAAAATAAAGAACAATCTAATGCATGAAAATATTATTTTTATTTGTAGAGTATTTAGTTTTATTTGCAATAATGTTAGAAATATATCAAAAACTAAAAAATAAAGTTAATATGTAATGTGTGATAAAATTTGTTATCTTCTTCTATTACAATTTTTTTCTTTAGTAAAGCTATTTTTTAATTTAGAGTATTTTTTATTATTTTTAAAAAACTCTCTCTTTCTTCTATTTTAAGTAGTTTTTTACAAAGCTCAAAAAAATTTAAAACAAATTCTGAAGAAAATATCATTCTTATTAGAAAATATTTTTAAATTTAAGAAAATAATCATATTTTTCTGTTTATATTAACAAGAAATAAAATAATAAAAAGAATTTGTTATTACCTTTGCTATTACCAAATATTTAAAAGGTACTATAATGATACTATACCTATTTTTAGTATCTGAAACAATTACATTACTTATAAAGCTAAAATTGAAATTCTTTAGCATCTAAAAGTTTTAATTTAAAAACAATATGTAGGGTAAAATTAATTATCTTTAAAATTTATTTAAAATTCTTAATATTTTAGTAATTTTGACTTTAATTTAAATAATAAACAATTATAAATACGATATCTATTTTTTAAGCTGCAAAACAAAAATTAATTCAATATTTTAATAGTTCTAGGATTATTAGATCTAATCTTATAAAAAAGTTAAATAATTTAGTTAAAAATCAAACATTTAATTATTTTATGCTTAATTTTATGGATAAAACATAAATCTGCTAATTTGAATTTAATATTAGACAATTGGTAATAGTTTTTAAAAATAGATAGAACATATTTTATTTTTGTGTTGAATCATTTTTATATTATAATTAATTGAATCAGGTAGGTTGATAAATTAAATATTATTAAATTATTTATTTTCTTTAAATTTATATCTAAGGTTTAAACATAGAAAATTTTATTTAAAAATTTATTTAGATAATTTACATTTTTTATTTTTCATAAAAAATACAAATATTTTTTAGATAGATTTTAATTTTATTAAATTAGCATATTACATGTATGAATTACACGTAAAATTAATTAATTCGTGATAATATTAATTTCATATTCTTCAAAAGATTTAACTCAGATAACCAAGTATCAAAATTAATTTACAGAATGCGTTAAGGTTAAAAAGTAGTTATCAAAAATCTAAAGAAAATTTTTAGATTTTGTTAAATCCAATATTTTTTTAAACAAAAAATTTACTGATTTTTATTATCATACAAATACACTGATTAGTTTTCATATGGAAAAAAACTTTAAATATCCTATTGAAGATTTTTATATTGTTATTTGTGAACATACTTTAGCTATTTTCAAAGTAATAAAGATCATTCATAATATTTTTATTATTTATTCAACAAGAATTTAAAGTTAAGATTAAGAAATATTAATTACTCAAAATAAGTAATATTTTTTTATATATTTAGTAATTCAGAAATTAGTTTTAAACAAAAATTAAAGAAAAACATATCAAATAGTATTTAATAATATTATTTTCAACTTGTAGGAGATCATCTGAACCCTTAACAAAAAAAACAAATTATTGTTTTTAAAGATATAAAATGTCTAGATAAACTAAGAAAAAGAAATAAATTCATGGCAAAAGCAGCTCAGAAGAATCTTCTTAATCTGAATCTTCTGAATCATAATCATCTGAATCAGAGTCTTCAGAATCTGAAAATAGCAGATAACAGCGCAGAGGAACTTAAAAGAAAAACACCCAAGTACGAAAATTAACATAAAGAAAACCTACTTAGGCTCTAAGAAAATAGGGAACTTTGACACATATTGGTAAATCTGGTCGATCTTAGGAAGATATAAAAGATGATGATGATTTTAATTTACCTTAATAGAGGGGCGGGGGAAGAAAACAAACTCAAGTTAGGGGAAGCGATACTACAGCTCCTGAAATCAAAAGATCTAATTAAAGAGGAATGACAAAAATTTAAGCTTAAAATTTAATATCAAACTTAGAAAATGAATTAGTACTTGAAAAAACAAAGTAAGAATAGCTGTAAAAAGAAAAAGAAGAATAGGATATGTTAGTCAGAAACGAAGTATAACATCTAAACTAAGAAAAATTGTTGCTTCTGAGAAAGGCAGATCAAAAGAAAACTCATATATAAACAATTCAAAAGAAGTTAGAAGAATAAAAGCAAAATAATGTTGATATCATATCTACAAAAAAATCAAAAAGTACAGGAGGAATATTAAGTACTCTTTAATCAATAAATTAATTTTTCTTTGATAATTACTTACTGTCGTCATACTGTTATTAAATGGCAAACTACTTTGATAATAAGGTTTACGAACATTTTGCATTTATTTCATATTTCTATAACAGCTCTCTACTAGCCTTCTTCATCTTACTTTATCTTTTGATTAATTAAATTGTTTCAAATCACTCGAACTACTCAAATATTTCACTATTTTTCTCATTTACGTTTGATGGTAACGTACCTGCGTTTGTATTGCTATGTTTACTATTTTTAATATCGCAGATTATTATTGCTTTTATTAAATTTGATAAATATAAATGCAAAAGAGTGAGAGAAGTAGCAAGATATACATCAAAAATTAATTTTTTTAAGCTTGTGATTAGTGACTATAACTGGAAGATTAAAAATCGCACTTAGCTTGAGAAGGTTCAGCTTGCTTTCTAGCTCAGAGCCTCTTTTCTCTTACAAATTTAAAGCACAAGAAATAAATTTTAAGCAAAAGAAAATGACTACAGTGTTTATGTCTTTCAATTTTTTGGCTTTGTTTTGTCTTGCGGAATAGTTGTAGCTTAAATGTAGGATTTTAATTTGTTTTTTTAATGATTTAGTTAATAAAGAGTTAATGGTTTAATAATTGATTTTATGGTTTTTGATTATTCAATAACTAAATAAACAAAAATTATTAGTTTAGGATGTAAGCTTGTAAAGAAACATTCAGAAATTAAATTTATTGATACCATTCAATTTTAGTTATAATTTATTTTGCTAACAATTTAATGGTATCTGAAGTATTTTTTAGGAACAAATTAATTAATTTAAACATTTCAAGATTCAAGCAAGAAGATATACTCATTATTTTATTTATATTCTTTTAATTTATAAATAATTATTTATTTATTAATAAAAAAGATTAGGAATATAATTCATATTATAAGATGGTAGGACAAATATTGGGAGTAACTAAAATTTAAATATGTTTATATAGAGTGTTATTTGCTCTGCATTTTGCTTGATAGGAAGCTCATTGACTTAGGTATTCCACTCTTTTGAATAATTAAAAGGGCTCTTTTATAAATAGCTGAGATATTATTTGATATAGATAATTCCTTGTTGCTATTTCTTATTTGTTAAAACATTGGTTTTATTTGAAAACAAATACTCAATCCCAAGCTTTATTAATGTAGAATCTTTTATGGGAAGTAATTATTCTTGCCCTAATGAGTAACTTGGATATGAATTAATCATATTTATGTTAACTTATTCATTAGTTGCTATATTATATACGTATATTTAGATTCTCGTTCAATACATTTTTAAGAAATGTAAAGACAGAGGTAGAGAATCCAAAAACTCTCTTGCTATGAAATATTTTTACTATGTCCGCTTTAGATCATGCTAACAAACAATCCCATTTTTAATTGTTTTCTTCCTTATGATTTGTATAATACCTTTAAACCCTTTCATTATTATAGTAAATTTCTTTGTATTTGCTTTTATCTTCCTTCACAACTTCCTTTAAGCAAAACGATTTTTCCTACCTTAATTTGATAATTTTTCATCTACAATGATTAAGGGTATGATGATAAAATTGCTGGCTATAAGTCTTTTCCTTGGTTTGATTTATTAAATTATTTTATTTAGTCTTGAATATGATCTCGGATTTTTTGTAAAAAATGGAAATGTTGTAAATTGTGGTCCTTTTGAAAGAGGTCAGACTGGAATCAATAAAATATGGGATAATCTGGGATCTTTTTCTGAATTTCTACTTGTTATTACATGGAAGCCTATTATTTTATTCCTTTTAGCCTTGTTCATATTAATCTCTATAAGCTCTGCAAATTAAATAGATGAATGGTAAAAATAATATTAAGAAAAAGATAATGAGTTGAAAGCTATTAGACGCTTTTATAGTAAGGAAGTAACTAATTTGGAGGATAAAATCAACTATGCCTAAAAAAATATTGAAAATATAGTTGAAGAAGATGTCTAATAAATACAACTTGAGTCAGATAATAAACCATAACGCCTCTCAAATGGACTTATCTCTCCTGATGCAGAAAAAATTCCTATGGTACGTAGCATTGGGCATATTAATGGTTCTGCTTAAAATATTGGAAATGGGAGTTTGATATCTACTTTTATTTAAAATAATAAAGAAAATGACTCTTTAATATAAAATTTGAACTAACATAATAATAATTATCACTCAAGGAATGGTAGCATGGCTTTTAATATTCCTTAAAAACAATCTACATAATATCTTACCACAACAATAGGTACTCCATACAGTTAAATTAATAATAATAATAAACAAGATTCTCCATTAAAAGTAAATTAATTAGGTAATAATTCTCCTAGCCCTATTGTAGTTAACACTGGACCTAAATCTATATTTAATAGCAACCTTCTAAAAAAAAATTGACACATTTTATTTTTAACAATAACCATAAATTGATTATGATTCATTAGTTTTAAAAATTATTTCACCAAAGATTTCAAGAATAAAATAATTAATTAATTAAAAAATTTGAAAAAATAAATATAAAATTAAATAAATAAACAGAGAGATAAAAACAAAAAATAAGCTTATATTATCAAATATATTAAATATATAAAATAAAAATAAATTTTATAATCTATTTTTCCAGTTTTACTTGCTTTTAAATTAATGAAAATAATAGAAGAAATAGAGAAAATTTTTACTTTAAAATATAAAATTTGTTAAATTTTTAGCTTGAAAAATATTTTTTAATTAAAATTTTATTTTAAATTTTTTACAAATTTGAGAAAATTGAGAACAAATAATATTTTTTATGAAAATTAAAAATTATTTTGTTATACAATTAAAGAATATGATAATTAATTAACAATATTAAGAATGAATAAATAAATAAAAAGAGAGATAAAAACAAAAAATAAGCTAAAACCTAATTGAATTTATACTAAAAATATGTTAAATTAAAATTAATTTAATAAATAATCAATATATCCTATTTTATTTAATTTTAAATTTATGATAATAAATATTATTTATTATTTAATCAAATTAATTAATTTAATATTACAATAATTTTGATTTTTAAAATAAATAAATAATACATTTATTTTAAAGTTATCAAATTTTTAGCTTCAATAATATTTTATAATTTAAATTTTTGCACTTTTGATATATTTTTTAAGATTTAGAGCAAATTATTTTAAATTTATAAATTTCAGGTTAAGATTGAGAGATAATTATTATTAATTTCTTATTAGTATCTTAAGTTAATTATATTATTAGTTACCTCATGCTTATCAAATAATTTGCTGATTTTTTTAATGAGTTATCAAATAAAATAAATCCGTTAACCTAAAACAAGAGTAACTTAAAATTATTGTGATGTCTAATTAAAAAATGAATTGAAATTTTAACATTTTATATTTTAAACTTAAAGACTAGTAAATAGTTTTGATTGATTCTTAGCAGAAGTTCATTTAAACAACTAATTCTTTAATTGATGTTGTCAAAAATTGCGATTGGCAAAAAATAAGCCCAATTAAAACATTTTTTATTAAAAAACTAAATTAATTTCTTCTAAGGGAAGGAGATCATGTGGGATTTATAGTCTTATCTATGAATTTTATTTTATCTGATGTAAATTATTCTTATAACAATTAGTTTAGCATATTCTTTGTTAAGTTATATAATTTTAGCAGCGCTGATCTTAAGAAATTTTTGAGGGTTTTAAGGCTATACTAAAATGATATTTAGGAATGTCTAAAAAAATACCTAACAGAAAATTTTAATATTACAAAAGGTTACTGCTTTAATGCTATAAAATACCCTTTCCATAAAAATAACACAAGAGAAGCTCAATAATTATTAAAAATCTATGATTCCTTTTTCTAATAAAATTAAAACATTCCAAAAGTAAGAAATAAGCTAAATTAGTATCTTTAATTTTTTTATAATTAAATATAAAGTTTGAAAGCGTATACATTAAAAGAAGCTATTAAGATTCTCCTAGTTTTTAAATTTCTCTACTACATGAAAGGATACTATGTATTGAAAAAATATTTTTTAATTGTTGGCATTATGGACAAACAAAAGATCAATAGTTTTATAAAAAAAATATAATTGCAATTAATTTCAAAGGATTTGAATTTGTCAATACAACTCATAATATATCTGAAGATTATTTTATTGGCCAAAGTGAATTGATGGAGAGCATTCAATTATAATTGATTAAATTATAATAGAAATTGAATTTAAACTTGATTATTTCCTCTAATCACCCTTCTGATTAGCTCCTTTTTATTTTTAAGAAGATAAAATTGGATTTTATGGTAATTTATATTATTAACAAATTTTTGAAAATTTAGTTCAGTAATCTAAAATTTTTGATAATAGGATTCCTTTTTTTAAATTTAATTCTAATTAATTCATAAAGAAAGTAACAAAATTATAATGGCTATTACATTTAATATTTATGGTTGTTTAAATTAATGAAATATTAGGTGGGAAATATTAAATTACTATTTATTAAGGATTATAGATTAATTTTACAGCAATAGAAAATAAAAAATGCAAGTATTTCTTTTACCATTTGATATTTATAGGTAGTAGATAAGCAAGACTTAAAAAATATGATAAATGAATCAGGAATAAAGTTATATAAGACTTAATAACTAGGAGAAATCAATAAATTAGATGAAATTTTTTGTCAAATTAGTGATTTTACATTGGAGAATTAGCAATCTGTTTACTATCTAAGAATATAAGATAAAAATCACTTATCCCTTTGTTTTGAATATCATAGTATATAAAATAAATAGTATCTTGAAGCTCTTTCTAAAAGGATAAATAATTATTGCAAATAATATCATTGTAATTAGTTTTAAACCATCATTATTTAAAACAATAAGAGTCCACTTTATTAAAATGAGGCATTTATCAATAGTATTTCAGAAAAACTAGCCTAATAATATATATCTTTTGTTTGTGAATCAGATTTCTTTTATTGTTAGAGTATTTTATTTTATCTTATTAAAATAATATAGAATAAAAATCTATTCCCTTAAAATTGTTCTGTTAGCCTTAGCTTGATGTAAAACTCCTTATTTTAAGAAATATATTTTTTTATTCATTATTATAATTAATCAAAACTAGAATAAATTCTTTGGAAGAAATAATAGAAAATCTTAAAATAGTACTAGGGGTAGACGTAATTATATGAAATAATACTTAAATATATCAAACAAATCAAGTATATAAATAGGATTTATATTAATTAATACATATTTCTCTACTGGAAAAAAATATTCCCAAAATATTTATTATTTATTTATTTACCTTTGATTATTACATTAAACCTTCAAAATTGTTTAGTGGATAAACATTTATTTGATATAAAATAAATACTTTGATCTCTCTAATTTGTAATTGCAGATTACTCATAAGCACCAAATTATAAAATAAGCTTTCAATACCCTCTTAAAATAAAGTTAAGAAGATTTTTGTAATTCAGCAATTTCGCAACCACAAATTAATTGGATTTTATCTATTCTTTAAAGCATATGTAGAATATCAAATACAAATTCGTTTGGTCGTATTAGTTTATTTATGAAATTATATTTTTTGCATATTTTCACTGAAACAAATTATTTTGATTTAATTAAAAGAAAGTTTGTCAAAAGAAACAAAAAAGCGCATAAAATTTCATTTTTATTTTCGTTTTTGTTGTCTAAATAAGAAACAAAACAGCTGTTAATATCATAAAAAACACTCATTCAAAATACAATTTAATGTTTTAGTTAGCTCACAACGTTGTAAAAGCCAAGCATGGTTTTTTTAATATTAAACCAAGAAATAATGAGACAGATGATTATTAATATGATGAAGATTAAAATAATCCTAGAACATTTGAGAAACTGGCTAAAGATGAAAAAAATAATAAAAATATTACAGAAGATAAATACTTTTTTAATAAACTGAATGACATTTTTTAAAAATTTCTTGGTCCAACAATCAGAAGACAATACAATTATTTTTTATGCGAAAAATTTATTGAAGAAAGTATAATGAAAAGTCTCGATAGTATAGATTAAGACGAGTTAGCAGATGTAATTTTGCTTAAAAATGATTTGAAAATTTATTAATCTATATAATTTATTAATTTTAAATCAATATTTATCATTTTTTATAAATGAAATTATTAGTATGCTATCAAAATTTTACGTAAGGACAGTGATAAGCGTTTTTTTGAGGAAATCCTTATCTTATAGAAAGTAACTGAAAATGTTGAAGCCTTTAAACACATTAGGGCTATAAAAGGAAAAGAAGTTTTGTTTAATTGTTTGAAAAATCTAAAATATAAATATGGAAAAATGGGATCCTTTTTATAGAGATAAGATGAACCTGTGAGAAGTTTGTTTATAGTAATTAAAGGACTTATTCAGGTTAAAACAATTACAAATAAAGAAAGCAATACACCAAGGAGGAATATGGTTGTAGGAGGTTTTTCGGCTTAATAATCATCTGCTTAAAATAAAGATAATCAAATCAAGACAACTAATTTTTAGTAAAAATAAAAATTGCCCTAACGCAGATAAAGTAAGCTATAGAAAAAATTTAGTTTTTAGGAGTCTTTGGAAGAATTAAATTCATAAAACAAATTAAAGTTTTTATATCTAAACAGAGGCTAAAGCTATGGAGATAAATATATTCTTGCATAAGATGATGCCTTAGCCGAGAATCAAGCTTACCTCTTTGATAATTGCCACCTTGCTTACTTAGATATTATCAAGTTTAAGACCATTTTAGGTAATTTAAATTTTATAAATAAATAAATGATATAAAAAATTCATTAAATATTTTAAATATTATTAATTGTTAAATTTAAAAATTTGATGGTATTTTGAATATTCATTTTGCTTAATTAAAATAGATGAGAGAGTTTTATAAAAATTGTAAAGAGAAATTGCTGAATTTAGTGAGATGAATGTCATAAATTAGCTTGAGCAAAAGTTTGTAGCTGCTTTGTATGTTAGAACAAAAACCATAAATCTAAAGAGAAAAAATGTGTTAACAATCGAAAATGAAAATGCCGAATTTGTATATTTCATTAAGGAAGGAGAGGTCAAACTCACTAAAAAGCTAATTTATGATAATACTAAAAATAATAAGATTGAAGAAAAGAAAGAGAGCTAAAAAAATTAAAATGTAATAGCTGGTACATATCAGATCCCTCACTAAACTGTACAAAATTTCGAATTAGCAATCTTAGTTAAAGGATAATTTATAGGCTTAGAAGAATTCCTGAAAGATTAACCATATCAATCATCTAGCTTTATTTATTCTACTGAAGCTACGTTATACTAAATACACCGTTATGTATTTTTTTAATTTAATCGAATTTTTTTCAATATTTTAAAATGTAATTAAATTAATATTTAGGAATTTTTGCAATTACTCTCTATAAATAAACCTGTCAGAGATTAAATCACTGAATACTTTGAAAAACAACAAGAGGTAGATCATAGATAGGAAAGAGTATCAAACTACAACCAATACACAGGCAAAATTGACACGAAGACTAAATAGCTTGAGGAATAGTTAGAGAAATTATAATCTAAAAAATCAGATGAAGAAATTAAAAAAAAATTATAAGAGGGATAAGATATGATAATAAAATCAAACATTGCTCTTAACATCAAACCTTAGACTTTAAATACTAACCTTGAATTTATAAAGTAATCAATTTAACAAAAAGATGCTAAAATTCAATTTAAAAAGAAAAAGAAATAAGAAATTTATACAGGTTGCTAATTTAGTGAAGAATAGCTTGAAAATATGCAAAAAAATATTTTATCTTCTACTAGAACTTTTAACAAGTTTCCTGTCTAAACAATTGATTCACCACTAAAGTTGAATTCAACATCAAATAAATTTGAATTATACTCTAAATCAACTGCTAATTTAATGTAAACATTACATGCCCCACTTTATAGCCCAAATAAGCAAAATAGTTTACATAAATTAGAGAAAAAAAGCACTTTGCTTGAAATAAGTTCAACAAATTTAAACAGTATAAAGGATAAATACCCATCTACATTTACAAATATTGATAATGACTAAGATAATACTGATCACTTAAAATAAAATATCACTCTGACAGAAAGAGATTCACTTTAATTTATTTCAATCAAAACCCTTAATAAAAATAATTAAAATAATAGAAAAAACAAACTAAAATTAGATCCTATTATTATTAGCTAATCAACCTAAGTTAGTTAAACTGACGAGAAAAAAAATTTCGATGAGCATCTTAACAATTCAATGCAATAACATGAAATAAGATCTCCTTAGTCTATTTTAGAAATTAACTCTGATGGAATGTTTAAAAAAAGGTTAAATGTGAAATTAAAATTACAAGCTTAAACTGAAAGAAAAAGTCTAGATTACATTCACTAAGATAGCAGTAGATAGAAATCATATTTTAATGAATTTAATAACCATTCAACATAAAATATGAATTCTGTTGATGCATTTTAAATTAAAAGTTTTACTTAAATACTAAATATTAATTAAACAAATAGTATTTCTCCAGAAAATTTGAATAATTAAATTTATTAAGACTCTACAATAAATGGTTCTCAACATAATACAAAGAGTATATTATCTCGTAAAAACTCATAAGAAATTTTAGAGCTCTACGGAAGCCCTCCAAAGACATCTAAATCAAAAATAAATTTTAACAGAATCCATTCTAGATTAGAACTTGCAAGTACTTCTAACTTAAGTGAAAAAGAGATTATCCCTGCAAAAAGAAGTCATTCAACTAAAAATTAACTTCTACCCTTAAAATATAGAGTAAAAGACATAGTAGAATCTAAAGATAATTACTAAACTATGTACAAAGATAATATCAAAAGGACAAAACTTTACTAACAAACAAAGAACTTTTTTAAAGTTCAATAAAATCCCTACATAGACAATCACACTATATTTAATCATTGAAAAACCTTTTAAAATTTACTAAGCTAAAATAAAAAATTCATATAAATTACCTTTAAAAAAACTACCATAATTTAAAAGTGGAATAAATTTGATTTATAATAAACTTATTTTCATTATACTTTTTATAATTTAAAATTCGTCTATTATTATTAAATTCCTATTTTTTTATTTAAGTCTATAAGTGTTGCTTAAAGTCTACAAATTCTCAAAATTAAAAGCTTGAAAGAGTTAAATAAAATAGTTAAATTTGTTCGATCAAAAGAATAAATAGAATACCTCAATATTTTTTCTAATTAATTAAACATCGAAATACAAATTTTTAAACCATTTATCTATTTCATTCTATATTACTAACTAATAGAGTTATTCAAAATTAAATGTATTAATATTCGAATTTCTAAAAAAAATTTTTTGGATTTTATTATCAACGTCGTATATAAAATGTCTATAAAATAAATATTAAAAAATGAAAAATTGTGGTTTATTGAATACTATATAAAGCCTGTTACTATTAAATTTGCTCTAATTAATATTTAATCTGCTTAAGTATTTGAATTTTATTAATTATAGAACCAACAATCTTCATAAATTATTTTCAAATTGAAGAAAAAGCTTTCTCATGATTTTTAATTATATTCATAAAATTTAAAGCAGTTTTAATAAATCCCTCAAACTCAAATAACAAATTAAATGTTTTATTAAAAATCTAAAATTTTTAATTATTTTTAATTATCTTTGTTAACTTTGTTATATTTAAATTTAAATTTTAAGAATTCATTTATTATATTTGAATTTATTTAATTTAGTTATCAGAAATTTATAAACATAGATAATTTACGTGAATTAAGCAGAAACCTTAATATGAATTATATTTTTTATGCTTATTTAATTTATAAGAAAATGATAATTACAAATTTTGCAATAAAGATTTTATCATTAATATCTTAATAATTAATTTTTTATCATTGTTAAGAAATACCCATAAAATAAGTGTAGTTTAGTATTTATTAGCTTACTTTTACTTAATTAATAAATCATAATAAATTGAATATTGATTTTTTAATCTAAATGAGTATTGATTCACATTAAATAGAAAGAATTAAGACATCATGGATGCTTAATGGAGTTTAATGCTGGGCTAAAGTAGCACCAGAGGAAAACTCCGAGCTTATGTTTCGTAGGGCTATTATTACAGGTTTAGATAATAAGCGTGAGCATGCATTCTTAAAATATGAGTTTCATCTTATCTAAATTTAACAGCAAAAAGAAAAAGGTCCAGAAAAAGTACATGTTAGAGACTTAATAGAATGCAATTAGAATGCAGATAGTGAAAAATTTAAAGAAGGTTTTCCTGATATGGTTTCGATGAATGTATTAAATGAAGCAGAAATTTTGAATAATGTTTGGTTGCGATATTCTAAAGACCTAATTTTTTCCTACATAGGACCTACATTAATTGTAATGAATCCCTACAAGAATGTAGAAAAGCTTTTTAATGAAAAGGTTTTATAAGAATTTTAGAAACCTGCAATAAATAACAATTTCGATATAAAGTAGCATTAGCCTCATGTCTATGCAGTAACTACATTAGCTTATTAGTAGCTATTTATGAATTAAAAGAACCAGGCAATAGTAATTAGTGGAGAATCAGGAGCTGGTAAGACTGAAAATGCTAAATATTGTATGGCTTTTTTAACTTCTTTAAGTAATGAAACAACTAAGCAGTAACGCCCAAAAAAGAAAACTTAATTGGCGAACTAATTAAATAGATATTCTACAATGAGATATTCTTCAGTAGTAGCTAGCAACATCTCAGATTCTTAATATACTGAAGACTCTATACTTTAATTAAAGGATACATCGATTGAAGAGCGTATTCTTAGATGCAACCCAATTTTGGAAGCGTTTGGTAATGCTAAAACAGTGAGAAATGATAATTCAAGTAGATTTGGTAAATATGTTCGTATTTGGATTGGAAAGCATGATAAAAGAATTAAAGGAGCCTCAATTACAAATTACTTATTAGAAAAAAGTAGAGTGACTCTACTATCATAAGGTGAAAGAAACTATCACATATTCTATCATTTTTTATAAGGTAATTATTGAATCTTTCATTATTTTCAAAACATTTTGATTAAAAAGAAATGCATACAGTATTATTCATATAAATAGATTACTTAACATTTAGATTTTTAATTAAATTAGCTACATTTAATTCCAAAAGAATTTATCAATCTATATTAATTATAATTAAAATTTGATCCTTGAGAATTAATATTGGTGTAACTATTTTAAATTAAAAAATTCAATAAATTTTTAGGAAATTTGTTTCCCATAAAATTGACAAAAAATTAAATCATAAGATAGTTATGAATAAATAAATTATAACTAAAATACTCAAATAATTTTATTTATTTTAGATCAAAATATTTATTTTAAGTAAAGCAAATTAAGAAATTTACTAAGTAAAATAATTTCAACGAAATTAAATTTTTTATTCATATTTTTAACAAATTTACTGAAGAAATATGTAGGAATTGTTTATATAAAGCTAAGATTAAGCAAGAAATAAAATTAGATTTTATTTTTTATATTTTTCCTTATCTATTAAAATATAAAATTTCATAAAAATATATAAAAAGTAATAGTTTTGAATTTGGTATAATTTATTTATTTAAAATAGGATTAGAAACTTCACAACTTAAAACTTATAAACTTGTGGAAAAAAATGGTAATAGAATAGATTTAAAAAATTTTAATTATTTAAATTAAACTAATGTGTACGAAATAAGCTCCTTTCCTAGTGATAAAATAATGATTGATTAGATTATTGAATCCTTTGAGAAAATGGAGATTGATTCATACTAGTAAGTAGCTATTTTTAAAGTTTTATCAGCTATTCTTTATATTGGAAATATTGAGTTTGATAGCTCAACATATACAGATAATACTCCTTGTAGTATAAAAAACTAAGATATCATATAAACTGTTTCTGAACTTTTAGAAATAAATTAGTAAGATAAAATTTTGAAGTCAATTATATTTAAAATACGTTAAGTTGGTAGCTAGGTAAATTATTACTTTTAAAATGACTTTATATTGAAAATATAATCTAAAAATAAGGTTATGGAAACTCCAGTGAATGTTGAAGAGTGCAAAATTAATAGGGATTCATTAGCGAGAGCTCTTTATGATAAAATGTTTACATGGATAGTTTAATCATTAAATATGGAAATTTTACCTTAGAATAGTAATCCTAACGAATGTTTAAGTCTCGGATTGCTAGATATTTTTGGGTTTGAGAACTTTAAGGTCAATTCTTTTGAATAATTATGCATCAACTTCACAAATGAGCGCTTGCAATAGCTATATATTGTATATGTGTTTAAAGCTGAAGAAGAAGAGTTTAAAAAAGAAGGTCTTAAAGTCCATAGCTTAGAACTTTCTTATTAAGATAATTAAGTTATTATAGATACAATGGATAAGCCACCTAATGGTATTTTTGATCTTCTAGATGAAAGTTGTTCTTTAGGAAATTCAACAGATGAAAAGTTTTACTAAAAAATTGTTTCAACCTACTCTAAAAATGATTAAATTAAGGTACTATTTGATTTTTCTTATTTAAATCTTTAAAAAAATTTGTTTAATTTGAAAAATAAAACCAATAAAATTTAGCCTTAAATATTTAATTTTTAAAAAATAAAATTATTTAAGATACCAAAAATTTAAAACATGAAATTCTCAATTGTACATACTGCAAAAGAAGTTGAATACACAGCTGATGGCTTTAGAAATAAAAATAAAGATGAGATTTCTACTTTTCTAGATTAATGCATATCGTCATCTAGTAGTTCTGAAATATGTTCTATATGGTAAGGAATTGGAGAAGTTAATATGACAGATATGGAGGTTTCTTCAAAAACAGTGCAGGATATGTCAATTTCAGTGAGAAATACTTAGAAAAAATTAGAAAATAAGGGAAAAGCTCAAAAATTTTTAGGAGCAAAATTCAGGGCTTAAATGAAAGATCTTATGGGAGAACTTAATTCTTGTGATGTACATTTTATTAGATGTATTAAGCCTAATGAAGATAAAGTAAAAGAAAAATTTGTTAGTCAATATGTACTCTTGCAGATAAGATATTTAGGTATTTTGGAAAGTATTAAGGTGAGAAGAGAAGGATTTCCATGTAGAATGAGCTATGAAGAATTTTACACTAAATATCATGAGCTTGATGTTTTTAATAGGTAAATTAATAGGACAAGAATCTTTTAATAACTTTTTTTTTAGAAAAATAACATTATAGAGGCACTTAGATATGAAACAAGATATGCCAGGATTGTGTAGAGAATTGTTATTTAGAGTTGTAAAAGATGTTAACAAAAAAGAAGTTCTATTTGGTTAAACTAAGTTGTACTTAAAAGTTTAGCCATCAACAGAGTTAGATAATAGATTAATTAAATGGTGGTAGTTTAAAAATGATTAGGCTGGTAAAATCTAAGGATAGTGGGAAGTTTACAATAACAGAAAAGTTATTAAAGAAAATTTAAAGATTATAAAAAATGCTGTTAAAAGTTTTGTTAAACTTTAAGCTATTTATAAAATGAAAGTCTAAAAAAAAGCATATCTTAAGACATTATAATAGAAAAAGGGAATAGAAATACTTTAGAAAATACAAAAAAAAATGCAACAAGCTAAATTAAAAGAAGTACTAAAACTATGGGTGGATAAAATAAAAACATAAAAAAAGGGAGATAAATGGTCTAATGCAGTATCGAAAGTTTGTAATATAAGTAAAAGAAACCATGTGAGAGATATCAAAGAATACTGGCTTAGATGGAAGAATTTTATCAAATCTGAATAAGAAAAAGAATTACAAAACAAAATAAAAGAATAGGAAGCAAAAGCTATTGAACAAAATAAAGCAATAGAAGAATAAAAGCAAATAGAAAAAGAAGTAGAGGAAGAGGAAGAAAAAAAAGATGATGTTAAGGAATTAGAATAAGTAAAACCTTAAGAACCTGTAGTTTAAAAGAAGTAAGTTTAAAGTTAAATAGTTATTTAAATTTTATAAAAAACTTTAATTTATCAATCAGGATTAACCCTAATGGACTTGAAATGGAAAGAGAAGATATAAAGTCAGACGAGTTTACTTCTTAGGGTCTAAAAATTTGGCCTAACTTTTCAAACTTTACTAAGCCTTATAATTTATAAAATAAATTCTCTATCCCTAATGATATTTTAGACAATAATTAAAAATACTAAAATCCTAAGGAGCCAGAATAAAAAGACTTATAAAATTTAGAGTTTAGTGATTAGTTTCTTTAATTAGTTCAATAATCATCATTCTTAGAATATTGCAATAATAATGTAAAAAGAGCTAAGAATTTCAGTAAAAAAATGTAAATTGCTAAAATAATGCAATACTAATCAAATAATCTAAGTGAATCTCTACTCTAACAATCAGATTCATTCAATGAAGATGCTACTAAGATTTTTAGATCTTTATTAAAAATCTCTGGAAATAGAAATTCTCGTTTCTCTCCTAGATACCATTCTGATCTGATATTAAATCTATGTTATGGAAGGTTGATAATACTCTTTTTTATATTTTGAATTTTACATTTAAATTTTATTTTATTCTATTTATAGGGATTCGGAATTAGATCCTAACTGCTATGTGATAGGTAAAAAAGTGGAAAATCCAGAAGATTAAAAAAAATAAAATAATAGAAGAGAATCTAAAGAAAATAAAGATCTTGATTAGAGAAGAGGAAGCTATTTAAAAAATTACTCATCATAGGTATGCTAAAAATAATAAGGGAAAAATGGTGATTCAAATCAAGAAGAGGATGATTTAAGCCATGAAAACAAATTAGAATTAATGGCTAACTAAATCCTTCATGGTAATTTAAATCATATAAGGGATGAAGTCTACTTTTAAATATGCAAATAGATTGCTGGAAACAAATCCTAAGAGGCTAAAAAAAATTTATACAAATTTGCAGCTGAAATGTCCAATTTATTCGCACCTTCTTAGGATGCCCTCTATCCATTAATAAATTTCTTCATGGATTAATCATTACAAGATCCAAATGCTTAAAATAAAGAAGATGCTAAGTATATCGTCAGTAAACTTTCTGAATTTGCTAGAGGATATGCAGTAGTTAAATTAATGAACCCTGATCAGTTAAAAAAATAAAGTATTTTAAAGGTATTAAAGAATAATGATCCCCTTGAATTACAACTTTAAAAAAATAATAATTAGTAAGTCTTGATTAACTATATAAACAAGATGTAACCCAGATAATTAATTCCTTCACATCAAGAAGTCTCAAAAATTCATAATAGATAGTAAATATGCATAAAAATATATTTATTTGATGGTACCTATATTTGGGTTCCTGCTGAATCATTAGAAACTGTTAAAAGCATAGTAGAAAAAGCATGTAGCCAAATCGATATGAAAGAACGTTATTAATTTTTTAGCCTCTATGAAGTTCTTTATGAGTAAGGAAAGGTTATGAAAGAAGCTTTTTTATTTGACAGAGTTAAAATAATGGATATTTTTAATTCCCATCAAATTACAACAGAGCTATAACAGAAAAAACATTCTAAAAATATTGAATTCAGAATTTATCTTAGGATAAGAGTTTATTACAAGCTTTTTAAAGATGATATAGATTCGATAAATATGTTTTATATGCAAAATATATATGAAGTAAACTAAGGAAGGCTACCCTTAACTGAAAACTAAATAACTTAATTAGCTGCTCATTACTGCTATTCATCTCTAAGTAATTAATCATTTTTTAAAAAAATATTAAACTTTAATCTATTAAATTAAAAAACTGTTTTAAAAGTACCAATTAAATTTATTCTACCTCAAACAAACATAATTTAATGTAATAAATTTTTCCTAATTAAAAAAGTGCTTAAGCTTAAAAATTGGTTATAATTATTTTTTTTTTCCATAAAATATTATGAATTTTATTTACTTACTATATTCCCTTATTTCTCAAATCTTGTAATTAGCAAAAAGAAGTGAAGTATATGAAAAATTTTTTCTTAATAGTATCAAAAAATAGTCAAAAATAATGTTTTTTTTTTGTAGGGAATATGGTATTTAGTAAAATTTAATCTAAAAATAAAAAATATTTTAATTTAAAATTAGAAACTTAACAGGGAAATGAGAAGAATATAGAAAATATGATAAATAAAGCTGTGCCTTAGTACGCAATTCAAAAGTATCATAATAGACAATGGGGTAATGAAGTAAGTGAAATTTATAAAAAACTTGAATACTAAAATGCTTTAGAAGCAAGATGGATGTATCTTGAAATAATCAGACCTCATGATCTCTTTTTAAGCTACTAATTTGAATGCAGAATGTTTGTCTAATAAAAAACCGATTAGGGTTATAAGCTAGTTTAAAATTAATAGATAATTTTAGGTATTAGACCTTTGTAAATAGTTATTTCTGATTTAGAACGTAAAACTATGTTGATAATTGATTTTTCTGAAATGACTAAATGGGGATAAAGCATAAGTAGTAACTCCTACTTTCTAATATAGCATGAAAATTCAAACCTTTATGTGTTTGAAGTGTAAGATGTGGAGTTGGCTGATTATCTAATTAATGCATATGTAAATTGGAAACTCGAAAGAAATCTTGATGATGCTTCGAACCCCACTTACAGTGATGTTATTACTTTCTTAGTTTCTGATAATGATCAAGCAAATTAAATTAAATGATTTTAAGACAGTTTTCAAAAATAAAAAAAACTTAAATTAACTAAAAACTTTACTACCTATCTAAAAATTATTTTAAATTTAAATATATATTCATTTTATAAAACTTTATTTTAATAAATACTAAATCTTCTTATTCAGCTGAAAGTGTATTTATTTGCTTTAATTTCTGATAATTTTTTGTTGTTCTTTATTTAATCAATTTCAATCATACATATTGTGATCAGAAAAGACTTAATTAGAGTTTTATAAAAAGAATTTAAGAAAAATTTATTAATTAAGTAAAAAAGCATAAAATAAAAGCAAAAGCTTATTTATATTGATGGAAAGATCAGATCAATTACTTTAAGAAGCAATTAAATGTAAAGATAGGCAAAGCTAACAAGAGACCGAAATCTTTTAAACTTGCATTATCCCATGTGAAAATTAAGTAGGTTTTAAAAAGTTAAATCTGAACTATCAAAAAGCACTTAAAGATGAAATAAAAGTTTTTGATTTATCTTAGCAGCTAAGCTAATTTACTAATTTGGAAAAATTGAAAATATTATTGGAGGGTAATAATTTGAACGATTAACATTTAAAAATGATTTTAAAAGGAATTAAGTAAATGAGATTCCTCTAAAAAATTGGATTATTTTTAAATCAAAATTAAATTTCTGACAAATCATTAATCAAAATTGGGAAGTCAATTTAAAGCATGTAAAATTTGATAGAAATTAGAGTAAATTTATCACAAAACAAAGACTTGACAAGTATGGGATTAGTTGAATTTTCAAAGTATGTTTAATAATCTACAATAAACAGCCTAATCATTATTTTGGATAGACAATTAATAGATTAAAATTTTATTTTGGTGTGTTAAAACTTATCTGAAAACAAAAATTTAAGTAGATTCGGTTTAGAATTATGCTTTTATGGAATTGAAGAAGGTTTTTGTTAACTTATTTAGGGTCTTTTTCATTTAAAAAAGATGGATTTATTGTATATTAAAGATGCTTATTAAAAGGATAATTCTCTTAAAATATACTCAAAGCAAATAAAAACTTTAAGCTTGGCACTTTAAAAATACTCTATTGAATAAAAATAGATTGAAGAAATTCTGCAATTTATTTCTAATTAAGGCTCAATAGATTTTTTTAATTTTTAAATAAATATTATTGACAAAATAGATTTACAATAATTCAGTCACACTCTTACACTATAAAAGTAATTGAAACACTTGAAATTAGATTTCAATAATTACTCTTTTGATGAACAATAAATGTAGAGTTTCTTTAAATTTCTAGATAACTTAAATAATTTATAAAGCCTAGATACAAAGTTTAATATAGAGCCAAATACCACATTTTCTGTTTTTGGATAGTTTTTTGAGAAACTAAAAATGCTTAGAGTATTAAAAATTTCTATTCCTTAAATGATTAATTATCAACAAAGGTCTTGTTTGTATGAAAATATTCTAAAGTTAACTAATTTATAGGAGTTAATCATATCAACTTAAGTTATTCATTTCTTTGAACGTAAAAAGTAAAAACCATGTAAAATATTTAAAAGAAAACTTAAAAGATTGATATGTTTTCAAGATAATAATAAATCTATCATAATACCTATTTGAATTGATAAAAGAAAAATAAAGCAATCTCTTCAAAATATTATTAATCTAAATTAATTACAACTTTTTATATTTGGAAAGATTTATTTTATATCAGTAATGTAATTAAATTCATTTTATTAAAAATTTAATTAGCTTATTTTTATTTTAAATAGTGTTTAATTAAAATAATTAGACTGAAGAATTTTAGATGTATTTTGAAATATAAACAGAACATATTTTTAAAATTTTATTTTAGAAATTTAAAATAAAAAATAATAAACATTTGCTATAACATAATTATTAATTTCTCTTCTAAAAAATGTTAATTTAATTGCAAAAATAACGTTTTTATTAAAAATAAATAAATAAATAATTTTTATTTAAAATTTAATGCCTAAAAATGTATTTTGAATATGACAAGTATGGTATTATTTGTATAGTCTTATGAAGAAAATTATTATTTTATTTGCAAATGTAAAAAATATAAAACCATTATTTCAAATATGATTTATGAATTAGATACCAAAATATTCTTTACTCAGTTTAGCTATTACAACTAAAGCAATAATTCCAAAAATAATCCACGTTAAATGCTCTGAATGACCTGGAGCCTCAATGCTAAATACTGAAGTAATGTTGTAAATTTTCTCAAATTTTTTAATAAATTGTTTAATAAGGGCTAATCTCTCAATTATTGATTCAGCATCCCACAAGCGTTATTTTTCCGAAATATTAAAATTAAATATCTCACAGATTATCCAACAAAATTCATTGATCTTACTAACGCTATCTATGTATCCATGCTGTAAAAATGGCAAAAAGTTTTATTATTACAGAAAAGCTTAAAGTTAATAAGTTGTCATATTAAGTCCTCCATTATTTTAAACTATTTCATTGATAATTTAAATAACGAATTCTGCATGTTCTTCCAAGCCTACTTGTTAATCTTAAGGAATTGTTTAATCTTCTATAACTTTGGCATTAGCCACTTTAAAAGTATATCCATCTTCAAATATTCTTTGATTTTAGTGAGTTCCACTTTATGTTGATTCATTTTAGTTATTTGTTTAATTATTCTAGTTCTATTACTCTAAAGATTGTGCTTGATCTTATTACAAGTTAGTTGCTTCACTGTAATTAATTTTTACCTCTTTTACATCTAAGATACTAGCTTTAGACAAGACTTTCACTTAACATTTTATAGAACTAGGGCTTTTTTGATTATTTATCTAGTCAGGATTGTATATTTAAATAATTTAGCAATAAGCAGCAACTTATTCGTCATTTTTTGCAAATAATATAATCACTCTTTTATCAGAGCATTAAACTAAGAGTTGTTAGAGTTGATGAATGTATTTTAAATTTACATCAACAGTAGTGCATGGAAATAAGTATTTCATTTTAAATTCCTAAAGAAGCAGAATATTTTCTAACTTCTACTCCTATTTTTATTGATTATTACCTTCTAAATTTACATTATTTAATCCAGAATTTTACTATTATCCTAAATTGACCTTTTTCTTTATAGAATTTACCTTTTGCTGATATAATTCAGAGTGGTGGTGCTCAATTATATTTTGTAAAGTAAAGTTAATAGAGAGGTTATCTGGGTTTCCAATCATAGGATTTCTACATACTGGGCAAAGGGGTTTATTTATGAGACTTTCTTTTATGCAAGGTCTGCAATATGAATGTCCACATGGTAAAGTCACAGGCTAATAAAATATATCTTAGCAAATAATGCACTCAGGTACCTACACACCTGTTTAGTTTAAACTCATTTAAAAAACTAACCTTAACTTAAAAAATTGTAAAATACAAAATCTTTGAATTAAATAATTTTTTTTTATTAATAAAGTTATAAAGAAAGGCATATATTTTGGTTAGATTTTATATATATTCCTTTATTCTTCAATCAATATCTAAAAAAAACGTGGAGAATATTAATAATAATTTAAACTATAACAAATATCTATTCTTATTTATTCCAAATAATTCTAATAAGCAATTTTATTAAACTTATTAAATTCTAAAAGAGATTATTTTTTATCATAAAAATATTAAATTTGAATGAATTACTTACTCTTAGTTTAATAGATTTGAATTTTATATTTTTACTTTAATACAAAATATAAAAAATAAAGATATTATTTTTTTTTAATTTAATTTAAAAACTAATAAATTATATTTTAAATCTATTTTTATTAATAAATATAATTGATTAATTGTTTATTTATTTTATATTATGGCATTTAATAATACTAAAAAGCTATTTTTTTAAACACATTTTTAAGAATTTTAAATTTAATATTAAAATTGAAATAATTTATTTGAAAATAATTACTTTAACATTTTAAATAATTAATTTAATTCAAAAAATAATAAGAAAAGATATTTTTTTTTATTGTAGATTTAATAATATTTATTAAATTTATATTTAAATGTAATAAATTTTTCTAAAGATATTCTTTAAATTAGCTCTAAAAATGGATTTATTCATATTAGTAAATGCAATTCATTATATAATTAATTTTATTTTATGATATTATTTAAAGAAGATTTCATTGTTAATCCATAGACAATATTTAATTTAAGAAAAATGCAATTAAGAGACAATAATAGTTATAATAACTAAAAAATTAATTATCAAACAAGAAACAATTATAAATACAAAGTCCTTTAATTTATTTATTCACTAAATTTTAGTTTTGACAATTAAAGGAAATGAGATACATTATTAAAGGTAAATTCTCTATTATGTAATTTTATAAATATCAGATTAAAAATTGCTTAATTTTATTATTTAAAAAGGTGGTGTATGGAAAAACGTTGAGGATGAAATTCTCAAAGCAGCTGTTATGAAATACGGTTTAAATTAATGGTCCCGTATTTCTTCTCTACTTATTCGTAAATCAGCTAAATAGTGCAAGTAGAGATGGTATGAATGGCTTGATCCTTAAATTAAGAAAACAGAATGGACAAGAGAAGAAGATGAAAAATTACTTCATTTAGCTAAAATATTCCCATGTTAATGGCGTACTATCGCACCTCTTGTAAATAGAACTCCTAATTAATGCGTTGAAAGATATGAGAGATTACTGGATATTGCTTAAGGTAAAGATCCAGATGATCCTAACGATCCCAGAAAATTAAAGCCTGGTGAGATTGATCCAAATCCAGAAACTAAACCTGCTAAAGTAGATTAAATAGATATGGATGAAGGTAATATATTTAAACATAATGCATGATATGTATTTAATAAAAGATGAATTTTTAAGTTTGATCATTTAAGAATGCAATACATACATTTGAATTTTAAAATGAATCAATTCGAGTTACAATATTGAAGGGAATGTATTTAAATTTTAATTTTTATAAAAAAATAAGATCAAAAGGAAATGTTAGCAGAAGCAAGAGTAAGATTGGCCAACACCATGGGTAAAAAACCCAAAAGATTAGCAAGAGAAAAGTTAATAGAAGATGCAAGAAGATAGGCTTAATTATAAAAAAGAACAGAATTAAAAGCAGCTGGCATAGAAATATTAGGGAAAAGAAGATAAAAAGGAACTGATTACAATTAAGAAATTCCTTTTGAAAGAGTCCCATAATAAAAAATATATAAAGTAGATAACACTGAAACACCAAAGCCAAATCTCTCTTTCCAAAATTTAAGTTTAAGAGATATTGTAGGCTAGCAAAGAGTTGAAGAAGAAGAAGCTAAGAGAAAGCATGAAGAAAAAGCTAAAAAGAAACTTATGGAAAAAGATTTAAGCTAGGTAGTAGATAAAATGGCTAAGCAAACAAGAGATATTTTGATGTAACGTACCTAGTTAGTTATGCCAGAAGTTTAACTCAGTGATAAAGATTTAGAGTTATTGGGAAAGCAAAACGCTTTTTCTTCAAATGTTGGTACCGATAATGAAGTAACTAAAGGACTCATGGGTAATTTTTTAAAAAAATTTGTCAAGTTGTTTATGTTAATGATTATTGCTTGTATTTATAATTAAAAGGCAATTACACAAGCATGATGACTCCTACACCAATGAGAACTCCTAGAATTATTTAAGATACAGTAATGACAGAAGCAAAAAATCTTGTAGCTTTAAATAACACTTAAACTCCTTTATTAGGTGGTTAAAATGCTGAGCTAATCGACCCTAATAGAGCTTTTTCTACTACAGCTAACCCTACTTTTAAGGTTCCATAAACACCTAATTAATTTAAAAAAATGTTAGAAACTGCTAGTTAAAATCAAGTAATTTATTAAAATAAAACAATTAATTTTGAATCTCATTCAACTAAAATAATTTATTATTTAAATTAAATTTAGATATTTGCTTAGCCTGCAAGCAAAAAAAGATAGTAATAAATTCCTTAAACCCCTTTGAAGGATGAATTCAATTTAAATGACAAGAATCGTGCTCCATATATGGAGTTAGAAAATAATAGTAGTTGGGAGTACTCTTAATCTTAATTGACTGATGACACTTAATTTATTCCCAGATCAAATCAAGAATATCTTAAAATGGCTTTACAAAATATCCCTAAGCCATAATATGAATATGAAATTGAAATACCTGATCTGGAAGATGAAGAAGACCAAGAAAGAATGAAATAAATAGATGCTCGTGAAGAGGAGATATTAAAGCAAAAGTAATAGCAATAAGAAAGAGAAAAGTAATAAAGAATGAAATCTCTTGCTATCAAAAAGAAACTTCCAAGACCCTTTTAAATCCCAAATTAATTATATGATCATATCTACAACCGTTAAGATCTTAACGATTACAGAAAAGAAGCTGAGTAAATGTTGGAATCTGAAACTATCTAATTGCTCACATTTGATATGTAAAATTTCCCATTTGCAGGATGCAAAGTAATTTAATTACTATATATTTATTATTGATTGAATTGAATAAACAAAATATTTTAAACTGAGTGAATCCCTGATTATTTCGAATTTTCTAATAATACAGAATAATTAAATTCATTTTTTTAACTAAAATTTCTTTTTTATTATCGTTTAATAGATATAAAAATGAATTAACACAATTTTGATCAATTAATTTATTTTATTTATTTATATAAAGCCTGTGAATACTAGAATTAGCTTAGAAAATTTTGAAGAAAATGAAATTTTGAAAGCAAGCTAATTAGTTAATAGCGAAATAGATTAAATTAAAAAAGAATTAAAGGTAGAAAGTGTTGACTCAGAATTCATTACATCAAAATATAAAGATTCTGAAATTTCAATTTAATACAATCGCTAATAGAATTAGTAAATTATTAAATTACTAATTTATATCTTACTTACTTTATTGATGTTAATAAATAAATAGATTAGTGAATGTAAAGCAGAATAAGGAAGCTTTTAAAGAAATATTGAAGTAGCAAGCAGAAAGAAATAAATTAATTATGGTGAATATTTACTTAAAAAAAATAATTTTTAAAATTAATGTTTTTATTTTTTAAAAAGTAAAGAGATTAAAAGAAATTAGATTAATTTTTGTTACATAAAGCCAGAACTAATTTAACAGGATATGTGAATATTATTTAGAAAAATGCTAAGGAAATAGATGAGCTTATTTCAACTTAATTAAATTTAAAAATTGAACTTGATGTCTTTAAAAAGTTGTAAGAACAAGAAAAATAAAGTTCTATCTATAGAATAGAGGAGTAAAAGAATTACTATGACTAACTTGTTTCAAAAGAAAAGGAGCTCTAAGAAAAATATGATAGATTTGAATTGTTAAGATATCAAATTATCAATGAATAAAAAAATGAAACTATAGATGATGAAGAAGAGGATAACAAAAAATAAAATTCAGATGAAGATGATATCTATTTATCTAATAACCGTTCTTACAATTATTATAATTAAAATGTAATAATTGAAGAAATCAATTTATTTTAATGATTAAAATTGATATAAATAAATTTTAATTTGCAATTGTAAAGCAAAATTAAATTTAATTGTATTTATATGTAAATATCCTAAACACTTAAATATACTAATCTAATTTTACTTAACAAAAATGATTACACATTTTGAGAGAAAAAATTATTGATTCATAATAATTTATTATGAAAGTAAATGTATTAAAAATAGTATTAATTTTTAAATTCATAAAATAAATTAAAAACATAAATAATCTAAGATTTATATAAATAATGATCAATAATTGACCAAAATGAATCTTAAAAAAATTGACAATAATTTTTGATAAAGCTATTTATATCTAAATATACTTCATAAAATTTATTAAAAAAAGAAATATTCTGATAAAAATAAAAAATTTTAATTGTTTAAATGCTAATAAATAGTGGAAGCAATAAAATTAATTTTAAAATACAGTATTTTTATGGTTTTTATATCGTTTTATTTAATTTTTTGTCTCATTTAGAGTTTATGAAGCTATTGTTTTGAAATCTACATCTCAAAAATAAATAATATTGTAAACTTGTCTTTTATTTATAGAAAATAAATAACCTAACCTTCGTTTATTTAAAAACTTTGATTCAATTTTTAATTCTTATAAATTTAATTAAAAAAAAACAAAAGTAGAAATATCAAAATAAGAAATAAAAATAACAAATTAATAGAAAATTTGCTGATTTATTCACTATGATTAAATTAAAAAAAAGTTTTCAAAAGGTAGACATATTTGGTGTTAATTTAACATTCAGAATATTAAATGAAAGAAGTAATAAGACTTGGATAGGAGGAATTATTACAGTAATTATCAGTGGACTTATGTTGTATCAAATATAAGATTTAATTCAGTCTTTAATTAAACAAGAATCTCCTTAAGTAGTTTAACAATAGAATTATGTTTATCAGCCAGAGCTTTTTAGTATTAATCCAAAGACCTTTTCTTTTGCATTTGGTATGTAAAATTCTGTTGGAGCGCATTTTAAAAATGAAACTATTTATAAAATTATTGGTATATAACAAGAAAATCATAGAGTCTTCAATTAAACAACTAATAATTACGATTTAATTACAGTTTTTAAAGAAATCAAGATTGAATCATGCACGACAGAACACTTTTAAATAGATGATGTGAGAGATTATTTTTTAAAGCTTCCCTTAAAAAATTTATATTGCATCAGTCTAGAACAAGGTGATTTAAGTGTTGAAGGAGAATTCTCTGCAGTAGTGTTTAAATAAATTAACTTACAAGTTGTTGAATGCACTCAGTAAAACTGCACTGATTCTCAAGCAAGATAGACGATTCTTTCAAACTCTAGATTAGCGATTTATACTTCTGATAATATTGTCTAAGTAACTAATAAAGACAAACCTTATAAATTAGTAGGTAAAAATCTATTTTGGATTTACAGTACATTTCTTGAATACGAAATTAGGTATTAGATCATCAACAATTATCTCTATACAGACAAAGGTATAGTCACAACTCACAACACAACAGATAGGGTAGTTAATTATAGCTCTGATAGAGTTTAAGTCTATGGAAAAACAACATCAAGGATGTTTAATTTTTATATAGTTTATGAAAAAAATAAAGAAATAGCTTATTTTCGCAGTTATTTAAAACTAAATTAGGCACTCTCTTAATTAGGTGGAATATTTAATTTATTTTTAATTATAGGAGGTCTGTTAAGTAGACCTATTTCTTAGGTAGAATTAAATAGAAAATTAATAAACAAACTTTTTGACTTTGATGATACATAACAAGTAATTGAGAATTAAAAAGAAATTCAACAACAAAATTGTAACAACCATAAAAATTTCCCTTAATAAACTCGCATCACAAAAAAATAGTAATCTTCACCCAAAAGACAATCTTAGCACTTAGATAATTTAAATTAAGGAGACATAGATAGGAAAAAGAAAGAGCTTTAAAAAACTATAAAAAACTAAACTAACCTCGAAACAAATCAATCTAAATAAAGTGATGAAGACAAAATGAAAAAAAAATTCAATTTAACTGATTATTTTATTAGCATTTTTAGTTTTTTTTCAAGTAAAAAAACTTTAAAAAAATCTGAATTAATATAAATAAGCTCTGATATTATTTATAATTAAATAGATGTATTTAGAGTTATTAATAAATTGATAGAGTTTGAGAAACTCAAAAACCTTCTCCTTAATGAAGAGCAGCTTAAATTGTTTGATTATCTTCCTAAACCAAAATTAATTCATAATTAGATAAAAAGCAGTACATAAATACCTAAACAAAGGAAAAAAAGTTTCTCAGCATCTCTTAGAAGAAATGATACTGTAAACAGTCTAAATTTCTAGTAAACTTAACAATAAAATGATTTTATAATTACTGTTGAAAAAACAAAAGATGAAAAATTGAGAGATGCTATGGAAGCATTTAATATCATATAGGGAAGGTAAAAATCAAATTTAGACTTAAAATTAATTTCGATGGTTAATTAAAGTTTTTTGAAAAATTAAAAATAATATTCAATTTAAAATTAGTAATAAATATAAAATTAAAAAATGTCTATTTATGAATAAGACTGTGTTATTTAAGATTCAGCTAACACAGTTGTTTTTAACAACAAAAATAGTAAAACTAATTTCTAGCTGTTGACTCAAGATGAGTATTATTCGAGAAATTAAAGCCCCAGAAGTAATTTAAAAACTCCTAGATTATTGACTAGTTTAAAAACCACTAAAGATGAATTTAAATCTGATGAGTCTATAGAATTAAATAATATGAATGCTATTTACCACTTTAAAAATAATAGCTGTTAATTATCAAAGAAAATTTAATAATGACTTTTATTTAAATAAAAACTAAAAATGCTTTTATTTATTAAAAGTGTTATGAATTCAAAATATTTTCTTATTTTGTAATTAAAATATTTCATTTTCTTTTTATATTTAAGCAAAAGATTTTGATAAATTTATATTTTTTAAATAAAAAGATTATTTTTCTTTTTAACTTTATTTAGCTTTTATAATAAATAGTAATAGATTAAGAAATGAACTATTTTTAATACCACTTTTATATTTTGTTATTTTAACTTAAATTAGGAAAAACATTTATATAAATTTCAATAACTTTTATTTAATATTATTTTAATTATTTTTATACTAATTTTAATAAAACTATTTTGTTTATTTACTTAACTAATTTTTTTTTTTTTTTAATATGTTAAGAAATATAATTTTAAAAAAACTTTTGATTGTTGTAATTCATTTAAAGGTAATCTTAATATTATTTTAATGACTAAAGTTAAAATAAAATACTTTCAATATTATAAATTTTTATTTAACTTTATTATAAAAATTAAATTTCTATTATTAATAAAAATTTGCCCAATAATCTAAATGATACATTAAAAGAATCTTAAAAAAATCACAATCTAATTAAGGAATTTAACAAGAAAAATTAGTAAAATGCAACTCGATTTTATAAATTTAATATTAAAATAATGAGATATACCATAGATATTTATAGCAATTATTATATCGCTTAAAAATTAAAAACAATA